CCTTTATTTCCCACCGGATTATAATACTGATGAGGAAAGCTTTATTGGTCCATCTTCATGCACCGTCCTTCGTTTTCGTAAAATTCACTGGCACATTCACAAATCGCAGTACATTTAACGCCAAGAATCTCTTTATCTCCAAGTTCTTCTTTATCGATTAATCGAAACGTCATATTCGGTCCACATGGTTGTCCGTCTAATTTACAACCATAATCAAGGATTTCTTGAGAAAGCAAACAGTTCCCGTACAAGCAATTTAGTGAATTGTGCTGAAATTATTATTATTCTTTCATTCAATAGAGACAATTAATCCAATCAAAGATTCCGCACATCTCGAAGTTTTGCGATAAAAAAAAAGCACCATTTAAATAGACCAGTTCTGAAAGAAAGAAAATTGGTTTTTTTCGAAAAACTGACTTCTTCCTCTCTTCCTTTTGATTCGCTAATATTATTCTCAAGAGTGCTGCTGAATAAATTGTTTCGATTAATGCATTGTTCGCCATTTAGTACAAAAAGTTCATTGTCGCAGTGACAATGCTGCGTGCATATATTCGCCGACAAATTTACAGCGAATGGAATAAAATACATATTAACTCCACATTTCTGACCACTTAATTGACATCCCATATCTATTACAATTTCGCCATTTTTGCAATTTGCATTTATAAAACACGATCGATTGATCGCAACAGTACCCTTCAAATAAAATATGTAATATAAATATATAATACATGAAAGTGGCTTTATCAGATTCCAAAAAAAACAACATCGGAGATCTCTATCCAGAAAAGCGCACTAGTTTGTCCCAAGGCTAATGATAGCGGATCCTATGTTGAGGATTATCAATAACACCCACAGGCAATCTAATTTGCATTTTAATTTATTGTTTTAAATTGTTATTGTTTTAAAATTATTAAAAATTAAGCTTAACTCCCATTGAAATTCCAGCGATAGCTTAGAAAAAAAAGCAAAAACGAAAACGTTTAAGAAATTTTCGAAATCTTTAATGCGACGCTAATTTGCTAAATTTCAAGGACGTTTGCCTAATCTCACTCGTTTAAAGAAATATTTTAATTTTTATCTATAAAATACTAACCTCATTTAGTGAGTTCAGATTTTGAGTACGCTCAATGCACTGTTTATTTTCCTCTACGTATTTATCATTTATACACGAACAACGTTGCAAACACTTTTCGTGCGATATTGAATCGGTTATATTATAGAAATGTATGAATGGACGAAATATCATATTGGTTCCACATGCAGTATTAGTTGAAAAACAGCCAAAATCTCCGAATATATGGCCGACCTCAATGAGTTTTCGACGCCCTTTACTGGTGAAACGTTCGATTGCTGCATTATCGTTTAACTCTTCCTTTAAAACACTTTTTGAAACATTTTGCCGCCGGCATTAAGCAAAACATGAAGAAAAGTACATCTGTTAGAGAAGTGTCTAATATTACTATGCATATCTATTTACGATAGATTTTTACGATATATTTGCCTATTGATGCTAATGAAATTACTACTATTGTATTGCTGGTTAAGGGATAATCATTTGGTACTTATATTCTTCTGGAAGAACGGATCTTTTATATCAAATCCATGGCCTTACTCGCTCTTCTTTTTTAAATATGCCAATAAACTCGGCTAATTTCACCAAACTACCAAGTATGAATAATTGATTTTGAAAATAAAACTAAGGCTAAGAAATGGAAATGATCAGTTAGAAGAACTGAGCAGAATCATGTAATATATATCTTGGAAATAATATGAAAAATCTGAGATTAAATGATTTTTTCAAAGGAAATCTTTGGTGCCTTTTTGAGACATTGCCCGTCGCTTTCGATATAGTCGTCATTTATACATTTGCAAATCTGAATACAATAATCGGTGTCATTTCTTTGCCTGACGAATATCATATTAGCTCCACATTCTCGACCCGTAAGCGCACAGCCATAATCAAAGACTATTTTTCCAGGTTTATAATATCCTCCTTCATAGTACCACTAAAGGAAATACTTAGTGCTGAACAGAAAAATGCTATAATTTACTGATTTTTGTAAGAAATTTTTTTTTCAATTATAAAAATGACTATTCTGGAAAAAATTCCAAACTTTTTTAATGCATTTTCCTTCATTCTTGGAATATATAGAATCTTCCCTACACTCGCATTTTTGGATGCATCCTATAATAGTGTCTGAATTTTCGTTAAGAAAAAACTGCTCCACTGTAACGAAAGCCATATTGCTTCCGCATTTAAAGCCAGTCATCTGGCAACCCAGATCAGTTACTTCTTGGCCCAAATTATAATTGACCCGTGGACAATGCTGAAAAGCTAGAGAATATAATGGAATGAAAGATGTCAGATTTCGCGACCATTGGCCTTAAATTTATCTCAGTTGGTCTTTCTTCATTCTATTATTTTTGCAATATAAGGTTATTGTTTTCTTAAATGATTACAAATATTATTAGCTGGGATTTTTAAAAAATCCGATGAATTTTGGTAGTTAGTGGTGAAATGAAAAGCATTGATTATTTCCAATTAATATAAAATAAATATAATTAATTTTACAATTATTAATATAAAATTATAAAATTGCAATTATAAAATTATTAATATAATAATATAATATTATTATTAATATAATTATTAATATATTATATAATTAATTATTAATATAATAATATAATATATAAAATTACTTGAAGATATTCGTTCGTAACCATATCGCTTTTTAATTGAATTTTAGCCCGTTCACAATGAAATGTTTTTGCTACAAATTCCTCCCTCTCGCATGAGCATCGTTGGACACAATACCAAAGTGCTAATGAGTCATTTCTTTCTTCGCTAATGGTCCTGAATACCATATTCACTCCACATTTATGCCCCGTTAAATGGCAACCTGTATCGAGGACTATTTCGTTGACTTTGCACGATTCCATTTTGCACTGAAATTCTTATACAATTGTCTGCAATACAATTTTTTTAAAATATAAGAAAATATTATTATATAATTTTATTATAATTATATTATAACAAATATAATTAATATAACTATTATAATTTCTATTAAGTTATATTCGAATAATGTAAGTTATATTCGAATATTTTTTCAGTAAATTATTTGTTTCAAAACCAGTAAGCAGGTCATATGATCAAATATTCTCAAAACTTTTTTTAATTTTTATAGTATTCTTTGCTGTTGATGAGGCAAAATCGGATCGTTGCAGGTGTGAGGGGAATTCAAGTCGCATGATTCGAAAATAAAAAGTCCTCTTTTCTTTCAACTATTTAAATCCTTGTGTTGGTGTGTTCTTCAAGAATTCGTCTCATTTCTCACCAGTCTAGACAAGACTGGCCTTCCTACATTTGTCGAAGTGAAAGAAAAGGCTTAGCAATTAGAGAGATAGGAGCCAACTCTTAAGATGATCAATGAGAATAGCTAAAATAGCTTTAATATGTAAGCGTTCTTAGATTGCATTGTACATATCATATCATCAGAGATTGCCTAAAGGCGTTCGGTTCTATGTTCAACGAACTGGTAATTTTTTTCATCTTCTTAATGAATATATTCATATTCTTAATGAATATATTAGTATTAATGAATATATTGTTTGAATGATGATTTACTTTATTAATAAAATTGTCTAATAAAATTTCCCATAAATTTATCCTACTGGTGAACTACAAGTGAATTTTTCTAATCAAAAGAAAAATAATCAAAAACATTTTTACTTTATTAGCTTTTCCATCTTTCATCGTATCCATCTGTCTAATGCATTTACCATTTTTTTCTATGTGATTAGAATTTCTACATGAGCAACGTTGAATGCATTTAACAGTTAATGGTGATTTATGCGCATTACTATAAGAGCGCTTTTTGATTGGACGAAACATCAATTTATCGCCGCAAGAAACATCCGTAAGTCGACATCCTCTATCTTCGAGAAGTTCACCAAGTTTGAATGCTTCGTTTACTATCACTTTATTGCCAATTATGACTATCTGAATTGTCTTACATTAAATATTATATATATATATATATATAATATTTTTATAATATTAATATTTTTGAAAAACTTTTATAAATGAAATATATATATAATAAATATGTATATGCATGTGTATGTATATACATATATATATATGTATTTCATTTATAAAAGGGGCAAAATGGCTCAGTGGGTTGTTGCTCAATTGGGAGCGCCGATGGTGAGGTTCGACTGCCCGCAGGAGTAAACCTGTCCAAGAATCCGGGTGATGCTGGCGACTTACCTGTATTCTTATCGCCAAGGGACTTTACTGCCATATTTGTCCAAGCTCGCGAAGCGAGTTTCACTAGTAATAGTGAAAACTCTTAAAAAAAGAAAAGACATATATATGCATATTATCTATCTGCGCTGTTAAAATGTTTTGATTAATTTGATTAACTTCTCTGATTATCTCAAATATCTACAAATTATAATAAATGAAATATATAAATATTTTATTATGCATTTACATATATATTGTAATTTTATGATGTATATCATATCAATATATATTGGAGAAAGAATAGCTCAGTGGGTTGTTGTTAAATTAGGAGCGCCGATGCTGAGGTTCGATTTCCCGCAGGAGTAAACCTATAAAAAAATCTGGATGATGCTGGCGACTCATCTGTATTTCTATCGCCAAGGGACTTTCTGGCATATTGCTCAATTGCGACAAGCCAGTGGAGCGATTTTAACCGGTAATGGTGAGGGCTCTTCAAAAAAAAATATCAATATATATTAGAAATTTATTTATTTTAGCAATATATTTTTAAATATATGTATGAACATAAATATCTTCCATATTATTAATAATATATTAAAGGATTCAATCGTTCAATCGGACACCAGTTCTTATTTTGAAGGAATCTATCAATTCCCCATACACACAGACCTGCGCCCATAAAATATGGGTCGAAGGGTCGAATGATCTTTTCTGGGATACCATAGCGTTCCATCATCCTCCAAGGCACCGCTATCAATTGAATTGAAGGCAGCCGCAAAATCAATGAAACACATGATGGTGGGTGGGTTGCAAATATTTGAAGCGATATTCCAACACCCTTCTTAATGTCAATATCTGGTCATCTTTCTTGAAATTCGGGAGCAAAACTATTCCAGTCATCTGGTAATATTTCTTTTTTCCAGAAAGTATGTTTGTTGAAGGTGCGTTATGAAAACCATGAGCAATATTTGAAGAGTTAAGCCATCCTCTTACTTCCTGAAAGGATAACGGACCAGTATTGGAGCGACATGGTTTTGAAAATAGAGAGGGCGATAATGGAAAACTATTCCGCCTTCTTCATAAAGACAACTATAACTTAGAGAACGATTAGTAAAATGGTAAGGGATAGCAATAGTGTTATGAATATAAGGGATCGCCTCATAAGATTTATTTTTTGAGGTCAAACTTAGTCATGATCCGCCATCTCCGAATATCGTTTTTGTCGAACTATATAGTTTCAACTGCAAGTCATCAGTAGAAGAAGAAATTCGAGCTTTGGCAGCTTTTTCAAACAGTTGGACAATTGCGTCCGATACCCAAGTAGTGCATTTTATAGTATGCCTAGCGTGGAAGTGGTTTCATTCCAGGATATTCCTTTAATTGGGGGCCAGTATCCATTTGCCTTTATAGAAAAATCATTGATATTTATGATTCAATAATTCAATAATTCGGTTTGAAATTCAATCATTGTCCTCGAATTTTTTAGTTCTAGATAGTTCAAGGATGCTTTTTTCTGTCAGTTCATGCGGATCTTGACTTGGACCTTAACATGCTCAGATCCTTGAAGATTCAGCGCTGCGGTATGGATGACTATCTAGTACGGAACTTTTCCAAAGGGACTGACGACTGACCAAAATATAATTAATCTGGTTGATTCATGCTCTTTATTTCAAAAAATTCAAAAATTCATGCTCTCCGACATAACGAAGAAGGCGTTCACCAATGGCACACCGGTCTCCGATAATTGCCAATTGTTGAGGTCATTATGGTCTACGCGAGCATTCCAATCTCCCCCGATTATGACCATGTTTTGGTAGAGACTTAGCAGTTGAAATTCCGCATAGATACTTACCTTTATCCCTGTCATTTGCTGATAGAGTTGGTGCATAGATACTGATGACCGAAATTTTAGAATTTGCCTTTAAAATGGATATAGGCCATAGGTCGATTTCCACTCAATCAAAGCGGAATGGGTCTCATTAGACATGGCAATCGCTACGCCATTTCTCCTTGAGTTATCCGAAGCACTACAGTGATATAGCCGGTGCCTCTTCTCCAGGATTAATTACTCGAGACCTGACGTGGGGAAGACGGTCCTCCGACAAGCAAGTGATATCCACACGATATTTAGAGCGGATGTGGACGGTGATCGCTTGATTTGCAACGTGCATAAGCATTCCACGCTGATATGGCTATTGTCTCGCCGCAAAGAACTGTTGCCCTTGATAAATTTAGAGCAATTACCTTGGCTTGTGAGCAAGTTTTATTTATAACCTTGGGATTGCTTTGCGCCCGGATTGTATATTTATCGCATGTACCACCGGATTGGTAGTACCATGCGCGTGAAAAAAGCTGGCGCCGTACCATGAATATCTCACCCTTTCACTTGGAGGATAGAGGTGAGACCCCAGCAACCCATCTGTATACCCGGCTTTTTGATATGATAGATTTACTCCTATCAAAGACAGGCATAATTATTTTATTATTTTGTATTATTTTACAATATTATTATTATAAATTTTATGTATATATGTTTTATTTCAATTTCAATTATTCGTTTTTTAAATTCAGAAAAAAAAATCAATGAAATTAGCTTATCGTTATTTATAAAAATTCTAAAAATATTCCGAAAAAAACGTGCAAAAAAAAAACAGCGGAATGAAATGGATCTCAAGAATCGAAAAATTCGAATATTATTAATAAATTGTAGTAAAAAAATTTGTGAAAACAATGAATTTGCAATTTCTTAAATATTTAATTATTAAAAACAGTAAAAATTAGTACTGATTTACTGATTATCCTCAAGCAGAAACGATTTTCATTTTTAGTGATTTCATTGATTTTATAGGTAGATTGGCCGAGTTAATCAGTACTTCGAGTTTTAATATCCGTGCTATTTCTCGAATAATAGAAGATAGCAAAAATAACGATTTGCTACTCTGTCTTTCATTCAATTTTATAACAATAATAATGTTGCCTCAAATTTCTTAATAACTGTTACCACACTTTTCATTGCGTACTTGTTATCACTAGGAAATTTTTTATCGCTTATCTCTTATCATATATCCTTTTTCCTTTCTTTTTCGCATTTTTTTTGAACTGAATTAGCTTCGTATTTGTATCAGCAGTTTTTTGCAAATGCTTATTAATTTCAAAATAACTATCGTGAATTATCTAAATTTTCCCTTCATTACAAAATAATCAAATGAATTAATATATTTTATATTTTTCTAAGCACTTATGCATAAAGCTTAAATTGGTTCTATAGCGAGTGAACTGGTGACATTTTTCATTTTCTTAATACCCCCAATTCTCATACTGACCGCCTTATTTATATTTAATATTTTAATTCTGTTATAATAATATTTCATGTTCAAATTACTAGTAAACGTGTGAAGTTAGTTTATAAAAATGAAAACATTGCTACTAACTTTTCCATTTTCCAGTCTATTAACCTGACTAATGCATTTATCATTTTTTTCCACGCAGCCACTATCTTCCAATTGTTCACCAAGTTTGTAGGCTTTATTTATCGACGATTTACTACCAAGTATGACTATCTGAATTGTTTTACAGCCTTTAATCGAATATTAATGAATAAATTTCTCACACAAATGAATAGAAAATGTTACTAATAATAATGAGAAGAAAAAATTTAAAAAAATGAAAAAAATGCAAAAACCAACGAAAAATATTAAACCAGTCGACATAGTGAAATTTACTATAACTAATTTTAGCGAATTTTTTTTTGACTTTTGGTGTCGTTCATAAAAAATTTTTAATCAGTTTTTATTATGAAAAACTAATTAATTCATTTTATATTCTAACAAAACAACAAATTATTGTAATTATGAGCGGAGAGAATTTTTTTCGCTGTGAATTTATTGAAATTCATATAGGAATTAAAAATTTATATAAATATTAATAGAAGATTTTGATAGTAAAATTTGTCGTGAAATGCATTTGTTATTTCTTAAATATTAGAAATTTATTTGAAATTATCAGTTATCAGAAATTATCAGTTTTAACATATAAAAAACCTTACGTAAACTGGAAAATAACTTTTATAGTAATTGACGAACAAAGAAGAATTATTCGATTTAATGATAAATTTTATACTAAAAATATTATAGCTAAATTTTATACTAAAATATTGTAGTTTTTTAATTGTTCTTCATGATATATTAACATTATTAAAAACATCTAATATTGTGTCTGATACAATGTCACATCAATTACTGAACAATTTTCTTCACCATTAAAAGCTCGTAATCATTGTTTAGTCTGCTATCTATAAGAACAAAGACCATCTGATTGGTCCGACACCGTCGTTGATAGTAATAGGAGTAATTCCTTTTTCGGCCATCTAGGTCCATATATTGCTGGTCCTCTATAGCTTCAAAATATTTTCTGATCGTGTCAGTTCAGACCTTTATTAGCTCATCTCACATTTAACGACGCCATCCAACAAGAGTTTAACGAAATATATGTAAAGTTGTGTGGTAAGTAGCAGAGAGCTTCCTTAACCAACGAGATGTTTTGGGATGGTAGTATTGGTGCATGAATGAAGATGGTTGCAATTATTTGAGATTTTGTCCACTCGTCATATCCATGAGATGTATCACGAGTGGTCAAAGAAAGATACCTCCTCTACTATCGTTTGCAGTATCTCGCAGCCATATAGCAAGTGAATTGCAATTATGTGGACTTTCATTTTATGGTGATTTTGCGATGCCTCCATAAAAATTTCGTCAAGCTGAAGAAAGTATTTGTAGTTAACATGGTTTTAATTTCAATCTTCAATCAAATCTTTCTCTTGACCATTTACGAATAGAGTGGATCCAAGAAGATATTTAAAACCAGGAACTTTCTCAACCAGTAATTGATAAAAATAGAAATCAACTTTTATCATCTACTTCATTGTATAAGGCGAAAAGATTTTTGTTGACTATAAGCCAGATCCTTGCTACAGTTGTCGTCACATTTACATTTCATCATAACTATCAACGAAAAGAATTACGTATTCAATATCGGGGCATTTTCAAAATCTGTGACGAAAACTATGCTCTGGACTACTTTGCACACCACTTATGCTGGAGGTGCGATGTCCATTATTCATGCAAAATTGAATGCTGTAGGTTACCAGGACCTTGGCGGACACAAATTTTTATTCCAAATGAGTTCACCATATGAAATGCCTTAAAATGTCTAATAGTCTTCTTTGGAAAACCATTTCTGCTCTATCAGTTGAATCGAAAGTAGCTGCGGAATCGATGAAATAAACAATGGTAGATTTCCGATGAAACGATATTCCAGTATTTTTTTTAAATCTTGAATATCGGAGCGGCACAACCATCCGATCCAGCTAGTTGTTCTTCGAAGAATCCAGTGGGTAGAATCTCCAGACATTCGTGCCTTAGCCTTTCTAGACAATTGTTTCCATGACATCCAATTATTTCCTATTAGCATATTCTAACAGGGCTGACTTTCAGATATATACCTTTATTTGGAACCAGTATTCATCCGTTGTTCCAGAGATTCTCATTGATGCTCATTTCACTGAGGTGCTTATGCTATTTTACCGATTATTATAATCAGCTATTTTGATGAATTATTGATTGAATTGCCAAAGGCTAAATTTTATTTTTGGAAATAAGAATAACTGAATACCAAGAAACATAATTGGGGAAAAGTTCTATTGCCAATCCATATCTAATGGTACATTTACTTGAAATTCAAAATCCAATTAATTTCTTTAACGATAACAAGCAACCTTTAATTTAGTGAAATCAATCGGTCAATTATCACTTTCTAATATTGATAGATCAAAGCATAAACTTTTGTTTAGGATAAAACTGTTAGACTGAAAGATGAAACAGCAGATGCTTGTCAATTTCCTGCTAATTTTTGAATTCTTGATACAAAATAAATTCCTTGAGATTCTGGAATTGCGGCTTTCTGCGAGAGAAAGCACTGAGTTAGTCGACTGACCGACAGGTATTTTTTAGAAAAGTGAAACTTTTTTAATTTTTTTTACAATCGAAAGGCCTATCGAAAAATTAACATTGTCCATTAAAAGCATTTTTAATTATAGCGGAATGCCTTATAAATAAGGGGTAAACTCCATATTTCCATATTTTCAAATAATGGTTAACAGCGGACGTCAACAATTCCCGAGAGCACATTGCTTTCTTTCCAATTCTTGTTGTAAGATTTTTTGATAATCTTGTCAATCTTTATACATTTAGCCATTCCATTTCTATAGTCGCGCAAATAAAAATATTAGAATGTAAAACTTGGAATAGAATGGCCTTCGTAGATTATTACTCAGTTCAAAGCGCCTCTATTTTCCAGTACACTTGTCCAAAAATTCGATTGAGGCTGGCGAATTACCTGTATTTCTATCGTCAAGTTACTCTCTGGCCTATTTGTTCTGTACGACAACCCAAAGGAATAATTTCAACTAGTAATGGTGAGGATTCTTGAAAAAAGAAGCTATTAGCACTAGTTCCTCTAAGCTATACTGGGCGTCAAGTGACTCTTCGGAAAAATTAGCCTTGATTGACAAGCCAATGGAGAGAGTTTAATCAAAGCTGAGTTTAGAGAAAAATTTTTGATATCAAAAAATTTAAATTGCGAAAATTCTCTTTGCAAATTCTTCTTCTTCTAACAGCTCTCACCATTACTGGTTAGGTGAGCTCCAGCCGGCTACAATTAACGATTAAACGCTTCCATAATAAAGCGGCAAATATTTAATTTATAAGCTAAAAAGATTTTCATATTTCATATTTCATAAAATATTATTTCAGTTGATTTATTAATCGATTTTTTTTAAAATTAATTTTTTATTATCAAATTATTTTTTTAAAACGATTTATTAGCTTTGCCTCTAACATTCTATATATTCTATATTCTATTACTTTAAATATAATTAAATGTCGAATATTTATTAAAAACAAATTCATAAATTCAACAAATAATAAGATAAGATTAAGTAATCAGCAAAATCAATTCATATTTATTTGTTAAAACCCAAAATAATTTCACGTTTACGTATATATTTCACGTTTCGCTCTCTTTCATACACTTACCATCCATTTCAACGTATTCGTAGCTGATGCAGCTGCACACTTGAATACAATTTCCACCATCAACTTCTAGCAAAATAACGAATTTCATATTGATTCCACACTTGTAGTTCGTAAGTGCACAACCATAATCATAAAACATCTTTCGAAGTTTGCAGTATCCTCCTTCACAATACCACTAAATCATAGAATCACGTTAAATAATATACAAAATAATATACAAAATATATAAAAAGAGAAAAGAAATTTTATTGAACGTTTTATTTTTTAGTTTTTTTCATTTTTTAAATAAAACTTTCAATCGTTATATTTTTATTCATATTATATATATTATATAATTTATATAATTATATTATATAATTTTATGCTTTTAAACTTAGCTTATAGCACAAAAATATTGAAATTGCTAATCATCGTATGAACGCTGGAAATAATTAATTAGACTTGTAAATTTCCTTACCCATATTTTTTGCAAAAGGGATAAAGGGAGCTCTGGAAAAAAATATATATCTGCCTCTATATTTTCTTTTTCTATATTGTAATTGGTATTGGTGCATATTGGCTTATTAGTTAGTGAGACTAGTACTCATTGATATCTTAGTGATTTATGAAGATATTTTGAGGCGAGAAATATAGGCGAGTCCTCACAATTGACAAATTTTTTTATTGAAAAATTCAATCTTGGAAGAATATTTGAAATATGATGCTTAGATCATTTAGAATAGAATGGAAACAGCGTGTAAGCATTAATTATATCCATGAAAAATCCTAACTTCTCTAAAACATTCTCCATCTTCTTCATTGTAATTATATTCTTCTTCACAAGTACAACGTTGTATGCAATCATTGAAAAAATTTTGGACAGCCTTGAATACCATATTTGGTGCGCACTTTTGGCCAGTCAAACGACAACCCGCATCAAAAATCTCTTCTTCATGTTTGTAATGAACTTGTGGACAATACTGAAAGCTAGTCATTGAATAAGCTATATAAATAAAAGCACGATTTCTTTACGAAAAATTTAGATATTATTTTATTTTAACTACAATAATTAATAAATAATTATCGGTAAAAAATGATTTATAAAAATAGTCTCAAAGTCGAAAAATCGAAATTGAAAAATCAAATCAAATCAAAAATTTTTCGCTAAATTATGGAAAAAAAGCAAAAAATCCTCAAAATGAATATGAATTATATATTATATTATATTAAAGTTATATTATATTAAAGTTAATTTCACTTCAGTAAAATTGATTTGATATAATCCTTTCACTGAACGAAATTCATCTTTTTTTTCGCATTGTAAATTATTTTCAATAAATTTGTCACTTTGGCAACTGCAACGCTGATAACAGTACTCAGTGTTTGATGCAAATATTGTTCCACGAGTATGGATAACGAATATCATATTTGTTCCACAGAACTTACCAGTTAAATAACAACTTTCATCGAAAATTACTTCACCAACGGTGCAATTTCGTTTTGAACACTGAAATCGATCGGCAATCACAATTTTTTAAAAATTGAAAAATGTTATTTCGAATAAAAAAAGAACCATAATTATCATTTTTAGGATAATCCATATGGAATAATAGAAAAATAAATTAGATTTTTCCAAAAAGCCTTTATTTCCTACTGGATTATAATACTGATGAGGGATGCTTTGTTGGTCCATCTTCATGCACCGTCCTCCGTATTCGTAAAATTCACTGGCACATTCACAAATCGCAGTACATTTAACGCCAAGAATCTCTTTATCTCCAAGTTTTTCTTTATCGACTAATCGAAACGTCATATTCGGTCCACATGGTTGTCCGTCTAATTTACAACCATAATCAAGGATTTCTTGAGAAAGCGAACAGTTCCCGTACAAGCAATTTAGTGAATTGTGCTGAAATACTATTATTCTTCAATCCATAGAGACAATTAATCCAATCAAAAATTCCACACAAGCACCATTTAAATAGAACAATTTTGGAAGGAAGAAAATTGGTTTTTTTTAGAAAAACTTACTCTCTCCTCTCTTTTTTTCGGTTCGCTAATAATATTTCTGAATAAATTGTTTCGCTTAATGCATTGTTCGCCATTTAGTACAAAAAATTCATTGTCGCAGTGACAGTGCTGCATGCATATATTCACCGATAAATTTACAGAGAATGAAATAAAATACATATTAACTCCACACTTCTGACCACTTAACTGACATCCCATGTCCTTTACAACATCGCCATATTTGCAGGTTGCATTTATAAAGCATAACTGATTAGTCGCACCAATAACCTTCAAATAAAATTTGTTATATATATAAATAAACGAAAGAAGAGAGGAAAAGGTATGAAAACTGCAAAGTAATTTCATTGATAATTGGACCATTTAGAACTGCGACTCCTATGCTCTAAAAGTGGTTTTGAAAGAATCCCAAGGGTCAATATTGGAGATCTCGATCTGTTTTGTCCTAAGACCAATAGAAGACCCTAGGTTGAGATTAATCATTACCATCATTACCACTTATAAGCAGTGATAAAGAACTTTAAATTTTAATAGCTTAGGAAAAAAAAGCGAAACAAAAAACGGCCATTCAAGAAATTTTCGAAATCAAATCAGATTGTCATTTTCATTCATTCATTTAAATTTATTTAATATGACGCTGATTTGCTAAATTTCAAGGACATTTGCCTAATCTCACTCGTTTAAAGAAATATTTTAATTTTTATCTGCAAAATACTAACCTCATTTAGTGAGTTCAGATTTTGAGTACGCTCAATGCACTGCTTATTTTCCTCTATGTAATTATCATTTATACACGAACAGCGTTGCAAACACTTTTCGTGCGATATTGAATCGGTTATATTATAGAAATGTATGAATGGACGAAATATCATATTGGTTCCACATGCAGAATTAGTTGAAAAACAGCCAAAATCTCCGAATATATGGCCGACCTCAATGAGTTTTCGACTGCCTTTGCTGGTGGAATGTTCGATTGCTGCATTATCGTTTAACTCTTCCTTTAAAATGCTTTTTGAAATATTTTGCCGTCGGTATTAAGCATTAATTTTAGATTATTGAAAATTAAGGTATTTAAAATATCTTTTTGCACCAAAGCGAATTAAAATGACTTTCTTAAAAATATCAATAAAATTATCGATTAAAATTACTGATTACCAAATAAAGTGCTCAAGGCAATTTTTTCTGATTTCAACTGATTATAAGCGATAAAATCACAAAATTTATTTAAACAAATATAATTTAGCTGCCTCCAGTGAATGATCATTTATTAATTCCGTTTTTAATTCTCATAATTCTCTCATTTCTTTTATTCTTTTTTTTTACGCGAAAATTTATAGTCTAAACCGTTCATTTTGTAAAATTAATGAATAAAACTCGAATAATTTTATGAAAAAAAATCAAATTATGAATAATGTATTTAAAAACTGCATTATATGGCTAAAAATGAAAATGACTAGGCAATAGAATTTACGCTGTATAAAATTAAAATTAAAATTATTAATATTAAAAAAATCCGAAATTATAGCAAAATATTCTTCTCAAAATATCTTTTCTTAGTACCTTTTTGAGACATTGCCCATCGTTTTCGATGTAGTCGCCATTTAGACATTTGCATTGCTGAATGCAAAACTCGGTGTCACTTCTCTGCCTAACAAATATCATATTAGTTCCACATGCGCGACCCGTAAGTAGACAGCCATGATCAAAAATATTCTTTCCAAGCTTGCAATACCCTCCATCACAATACCACTGAAAAAAATACTTTAATACTAAATAACAAACGAATAATGCTACAATTTAACTTTTCCTTTTATTGCTATCTCCTATTTCATTCCTTTTTGTCAAAATTACTTTTATAGTTATAAAAATTATAAAGAAAATAACTCAAACATTTTTTATGCATTTGCCATCTTCCTTGGAATATATAAAATCATCCTTACACTTGCACTTTTGGATGCATCCGGTAACAGTATCTGAATTTTCGTTAATAAAGAACTGCTCCTCTGTAACGAAAACCATATTGGTTCCGCATTTAAAGCCAGTAATCCGGCAACCCAGATCAGTTATTTCTTCCCCCAAATTATAAATGACTCGTGGACAATACTGAAAAGCCAGAGAATATAATGGAATGAAAGATGTCAGATTCCGCGAGCATTGGCCTTAAATTTTCAATTTATCTCAGTTGGTTTTTCCTTCATTCTATTATTTTAGCAATATAAGGTTAATATAAGGTTAATAAGGTTCTCTTAAATGATCACAGTTATCTTTCAGAAGCTGGGATTTTTTAAAAAATCCGATGAATTTTGGTATTTAGTGGAGAAATGAAAAGCACTGATTATTTCCAATTAATTTCTTCTTCTTCTTCTGACATTTCTGACAGCTCTTATCATTACTGGTTAGGCTGGCTGCAGTGGCTACAAGGGTAAGACGCTTCCATGCGGCGTACTCTGATGCCATCGTCAGCAGTAATGGAAGCCATTCCTTTTTCCATCGTCTAAGTCCATATATTGCTGATCCACCTATATGTTCGAAATCTTTTAACAAAAAGAGGCATTTTATCAGCTTCTTGCACATAAGACAAAAAGGCTTTCGTTTTATTTACATTGATCCTGAGTCTGATTCTTGCTGTAGTTTCTGACGCGTTATTTTGATATTACTTGCATTTCGTTATATCTGTCAACAAAAAGGACTACATCATCAGCGTATTCAAGATACGAATTAATTTCTAATTAATATAAAATTAATACAATTAATATAATTAATAATAAAATTAATAATTATTAGTATAAAATTATAAATTATAATTATAAAATTAATATAATGATTAATATAAAATTACTTGAAAATATTCGTTTCGAGCCACATCGCTTTTTAATTGAATTTTAGCCCTTTCACAATGAAATGTTTTTGCTACGAATTCCTCCCTCTCGCATGAGCATCGTTGGACACAATACCAAAGTGCTAATGAGTCATTTCTTTCTTCGCTAATGGTCCTGAATACCATATTCACTCCACATTTATGCCCCGTTAAATGGCAACCTGTATCGAGGACTATTTCGTTGACTTTGCACGATTCCATTTTGCACTGAAATTCTTATACAATTGTCTGCAATACAATTTTTTTAAAATATAAGAAAATATTATTATATAATTTTATTATAATTATATTATAACAAATATAATTAATATAACTATTATAATTTCTATTAAGTTATATTCGAATAATGTATTTTTTCAATAAATTATTTGTTTCAAAACCAGTAAGTAGGTCATAGGTGATTGAATACTCTCAAATTTTTTCTTTATTTTTATAGTACTCTTTGCTGTTGACGAGGCAAGAACGGATCGTTGCAGATGTGAGAGGAATTCAAGTCGCATGATTCGAATGTAAAAGTATTCACACCTCTTCCTACTATTTAAATCTCTTGTGTCACCCCTTGAATAAAGCTGGTCTCATTTTCCACTATATTAGTCGAGATTGGCCTTTCTTACTTTGCCGAATTTATTTTAAAAATATTATATATGCTTGAATATGTGGTAGCTCATAACCTATTTTTTTTTCATAATGATAGAAAATTTCGTTTTACCAGTTAATAACCAATTTAGTAGGTGATATTTGGTGACTGAAAGCGAATAATCTAATAAATATTTAAATAAAATCTCTAATCGTATATTAAGAATCATTTCGATAAAAAAATAATTATAAAAAAAATTTTTCTAATATTTTTTTTCTAATTTAATTTTCTAATTTTTTTTCTAATTTTTCTAATTTAATCTTCAATATATTAAAAGTAAGGATATAAATAATAAATAATAAAGATATAAATATAATTTATATTTGGTTGCAATGTGTGTCATTCTACTACTACTGCGCGAAACCTAGCAAAAATTTTAAGGAAGCAAACTCTATTTGCATAATTAAAATGGATGGAATAGATATAACATAATTGCATCCTTTCGTTTATATAATAACTATTTCACTACATCCACGGTAGTTAGGCCAGTTTGCACCATCACAGAAATGATACATATCTCGTTAATTGCTATAATGATAAATAAAACGACGAGCTGGACTGGTACAGTGTTTTTGATGACCCAGCGATGTATAAACTTAAATAGTAGAAAATGGTTTTCTTTAATAACAAAAATGGCATCGGATTAAATGGCTGGTCTTACCCATGCGGATGTGAAGCCAAAATAACCAGGTCTGTGAGTTAGAAGAGTTTCGAATTCAAACATTATAGGTTTCAATTCATTTGCTAGATTAGTACAATAGTATCTGAATAAAATCTAAGTATGTTAGAGATTCGTATACTTCTGTCTCGAAATTTAGAAAGGGCTTCACTGCTATGATCTCAGTGATCTAAGCTGATCAATCAAACCATGCTAATCGTGTTCTGAATTCTTTTTCAACTTAATTCTTTCTTAAATCTTCATTAGCAAAAATGATCAAATAAAATATGTGCGTTATGTGCGGGAAATGCATTTGATTCTATTTAAAAATGAATTGGTGAATTTTTAATCTCAATTAGTTTATTTCCTCAATTCCTTTAGTGAATTGCTTCATTGATCACAATAATATTTCACATAAATTCATCTTATTTGTGAATGAATTTACTATAGCAAATTGAAAAATAGGCCTATAAAATATGCTATAGACCTAAAAATAGGCCTTCTCACTAACTTTTCCATCTTCCAGTATATCCACTTGACTAATGCATTTACCATTTTTTTCTATATGATTAACATCTACACATGAACAACGTTGAGTACATTTTAATCTTGATTTACCCACAATGCCATATCGATTAATGGTACGAAAAACCATTTTATCTCCACAAGAAACATCCGTAAGTCGACATCCTTTATCATTGAAAATTTGACCAAGTTTAAAAGAATCGCTTATCGGCAAATTAGCACCGAGTATGATTCCCTGAAATGTTTTAGATTTTTTAACAAATAAAACATGTATACATATATTTCTAATCGGAATTTGGAATATTTGTTTTATTTAGAGAAAAAATTAATGAAAAAAACTAAAAAACTAACGAAAAAAATTAAACCAGCCAACATACGGAATTTACTATAACTGATTTGGTAATAATTTTTTCCATTCGTAAAAGTTTTTAATCAGCTTTATTTGTGAAAACATCAAATTGCGATTTTTATATTTTTATATAATCCAGCAAACCAAAAAGCAATTGTAAATTTGTGAAGAGAAATTTTTTTGCCGTTAATTTAGGTTTTTTATTAAAAATTAAGAATTTTTTAAAAATTAAATTTTTAAAATATAAAATTCAAAATTTTTATTAATATTGTCAAATAACGATTTTTAATATTAAAATTTGACAAAAATAATACTTTTGCGATTCCCTAAATAGAATGGCTCATTGAGTTGTGCTCAATTCATAGCGCCGATGCTAAAGTTCCATTCCCCGTAGGCATAAACCTATTTAAAAATGCGGCTAATGCTGGTAACTCAGCTGTATTTCTATCGCCAAAGTTTGTGCAATTCATTGCAGTTGTGCATTTGTGCTTATCAATTCGATAAGCCAGCGAAGCGAGTTTAACCAGTGATGTTGAAGATTCTTTTAAAAAAAATCTCTAATTGTTCAAAACAATATAGCTGAGTAATATTTAGTGAATGATATACTGATTAGATTAACATTTTTCTCTCAACTTAATTCTTTGCAAAAATTTCTTACCTTATTAGAGAGTTCGGCTAATTTAACTAAATGTTTTCTATCATAGTGGTACTTTGAATTTATAAGAAATTATTTCTATATTATATAATAATGTATTAATATATATTAGCATTAAAAAATAAATGAAATTATAATCGAAATTTTAATAAAAAAAAAAGTGTAGGTGCTTAGTGCTTACAGTTTTTAATGAAAATAATCATGTCATTTATTCATATGGTTAGGAATTGTTACATGGAAATCACATGGATTTTCATAGATCCATAGATTTATTTGTCATTTTTTTCCAAGAATTATTGAAAAATTATCGAAAATGCATAATTTTCAATAATTTAAATATTGCTGCTTCATTCTTCGCTATCTCCAGAATTTTTTCAAGAAAATAAATTTTAAAATAAAAAAAAAAATTTTGCAAAAGTGAAAAAATTTAATGCAAAATATCGAATTATTATAAATATATCATTCATTCATTTTTCACATTTTTATAATTCTTATAATTACCATATAATTATTTGACAAAAACTCTTTTTCGTTAAAATTCTGAACAGCCCAGCGGGCGAATTTTTTTAGAAATGGTTCCACTCTTAGAAAAAAACTTTAAAAAATATTTTTTAAATTTATAATCCATTTTTTAACAATAACAAGATTAATGTTCTATAATTGTGGAATGAATTATCAGATTATTCTATTTATAGAATTTTAGCTTTATGTTTTTGCATTCATTCTTGCATGCGGCTGTGTGATAGATCGACTGTTTTAATGGGTTGTTCATAAATCTTTCCCTTTGGCATCCTTTTTCCAAATGAAAGTCTAAAGCGTCAAAAGTCTCTTCGAATATACAAAGCATTTTAGCCTCTTGTGAATTATACTATTTTTGACGATAATATGCATCATATGAACGCTAAAAATTTGATTGCCTCATACATCTTCTCTTCAAGCGGAGAAATGTGAGAAGCTAGAGAAATAGTAGGATCTGAAAAAAAGATGTGGAAAATTAACGCTAAAGTCATTCCAATATTTATAGGAGTACCAGAGCTGAGTTCCTTGAAAAAATTCACCGTTCAGAGGATTGAATCGCTAAAGAGCAACTAAAATAACTAAAATATTGAGCAGAATCCTTATGCTCACACGCTGCACTAAGGATGTGCCATATGCATTCACAAGGAGTGAAAAGAGGATTTCGTATTAGTATTACAGTTATTTTTTTTTCGCATTAGCCACAAATATTTATTGGTTTGGTTTTTTATCAGATTTTGACGTTTAATATTAGTTAATAAATTCTGTTTTTTTAGTAGAACGAAACTCATTGTAAATAATCATTATTTTATATGAAATATGATAATTTAAAACAGATTATAAAATGAAAATCAAATCACTATATACACAATTTTATTTATTAAAATCGTAACTATGTGGACATATACGGCTATAACTGTTAGTTTTTTTTTTTTTTATTTTAAATTTTAATATCATTTGAGAAATTTTTGTAAGCATAATCGTTTTACGATGGAATTCGTCGAGAAAATTTTCTCGATAATTAATAAAATACAAAGAAAATTGCTTTAAAATTATATTTCAAATGATAAGATTTATGATTATAAATGGTTATATAATTTTAATCATTTCTAATTTTTATCATTTTTACAGTTAAAAGTAATAATAATGATAATGATTTATCTCCAAAATTCTCTTCATATATCTCCATAATTAATTCGAATACCCAAATAAGAAGCAATATTTTTTTCAAAATATAGAATGTATTAGTAAAATAAGCGCAATTATAGATTGCAGGTGGCTTCGATTGGTTCAAAACTACTTACTTAAAAACTACCTTAAAGCCACTAAAAATCGATCTTAAAATTAAGAATTTAGGCCATTATTCAAGCTATTGGTTGGCATTATAGTTATGCTATGCTGGGTGAGATTTTTGAAGATTCTACTTGCCGATCAACTAATAATACGTGTGGAATAAATATGATATTTGTGCCAATTTTGAAGGTCGTTAGTTCGAAAAATTTGTTGACTTCTGAGAAATGTATTCAGCGTTGTTCATGTATAACTGATGAATATGCAGAAAGAAATGGTAGTTGTATTGAAAGGATTTACAGTTCGAAAGAGCAGGTATTTCTAAAGTGATATGAAATTATAGCAAAAAAATTATTAAAAATCATGAAAAATCATGAAATCATGAAAAATTTTTTATAAAATTTATAAAAAATAAAATTATTTTTTGAATCATCGCATATCACAGCGAAAAATGGATAGAATATTTTTTATAATTATATAATTATAATTATATTTTATAATTATATTTATATTTATATATTCATACATATTTAATTTGAAATATTGTTGATGCATAACAAAATTGCCTATAGCAAAAAAATAATGCATACTTTAAAAATTATACGTCGTTTAAAATCGTTTAAAATATAGACTAGTAGCAAGTAAAATATAGACTAGTGACATTTATCCAAATATCTGATGAACAAAACCGATCTTGATTAACCAGTTCAGTTGAACCAGCAAGATTCAAAAATGTCATGCACATATAAAACGTGAAGTATGGTTGTGCCAAAGAAACTGCCTTCAACGAAATCAGAAACATTGAGCAGTATATCAGTATTAATGCCTGATACAACTGCAGTTACTGTACCAGTGGTTGGGAAAAAATTAAGCAAAAAAGAAGCATTGATTATAGCAAAAACAGATACTATGCACCAGTTTCATCGAATTGATACCACAGAGAAAACAGAGGCAGAAAGTGTATATGCTGAACAGTATAACCAAATAGCTGGTACTATTATAAGAAAATTACACAGTACATAGGAATTTCATCTCATCAGGCCATTTGATAGGTTCTATAGAAAATTCTGGATGAGTTCAAGATTGCATCGATCGATCCTGGCGGACAATCAAGTGGTGGTCAGTTCAAGGAATGTCTCCAACCAATCCCAAGAACAATATGAGGAATCACTATCCAGAAGACACTACACGAAATTCCCTGGCCTCTGGTAGAATATTCGTTAAAGATCACTCATCACCTACATGGACACGGAAGAAATTGTTTTTATAGATTCACTGCTCGTCCGTTATGTACTTTGTTACATATACATAAAAACATATATGAAAATTGCCTCCCTTCGCTCATAGCTATTTCTCAGTTTCATGCCTTCTGCTGCTTAGAGATTAAGGGCCGAAAAAAAAAAATTTAGAAGTTTTTTGCCAATGGTTCCGTGGAAGATGTTGGAGATCTAAGCCATGGCACGTTAAAAAGCATGTCCATAGCCTATTGAACATTCACACGTCTCCAACACTAAAAGTTGTACTATATCCAACCCTCTATATAAGAAAATCAAATCTCTCTCAATCCTAATAGTAGTAAGGCTGATCGCTGGTTACTGGAGTCCTCCACCAGAGATCGAGAGGATTGAGAGTCCTATACAGTATTCCTAGTAGAGTCTTATTCTGGACAAATGCTATTCTTGCAAAATCTCTAATGATGTTATTATCACTAGGACTTTCACTTTTTGGCTTTCATTTTCCACATCTTCTTCAGACTCAAAGTTTAGGTTGTGCAAAGAAGTCTCAGAACCTGTCCAATATGATGAAAGCAGCAGCTTACATTGAAATTCACAGCAGCTGGTTCAGCTAGTTGGTATATGATCACATCAAAGTCTCTTAATCATTCACTGAAAAATTGTGCATATCAAAGCCAAAATTTTGTTGCCTCGACCTCTAGACTAAAAAAATGATTCAAAAAGATTCCAGGAATCCAGGAACAACATCATATATTTCTATCTAGAAGAATGCAAAGCTAAGATGCTGCGCTAAGCACTCGAGTTTCTCTGCATAGAACCTGAGGACCAGGATGATCCACAGCGGCGGCGAGGGTTGAAAAAGATTTTTTTGCATGAACGGAACTTGTGAATTGTGAATTTCAAAATCGATAAATTTAGTATTATAATTACAAATTTTGTGAGACGAATTAATCGCAAACAATATTCATCAAAATGTGCGATTAAATCATTTGGAAATAACTTACCCTTATAACCAGTGGAACTAACCAGTAATGGTGAAAGCTGTTACAAAAAGGTCTATATGCATGCCTATAAAAACATTATGCAGATTGAGGATTGAGGACAGAAAATTGAAGCGTAAGAAGAACGCTTCAGAATAACAATATGGTAAAAGGTATGGAAAGTTCCAAGATTAGCGCGCAATAATACCTATAATACCGGTGGATGTTGCACAATGATATATGTGAACTCGCATCTCTCATAAGAAAAATTATCGCAAATTCCTCCGCTCACTCATTTTTCCTCCCTTTCTGATTTCCTCCCTATCTCTAAATCCTCCTTCTCGCTGACCACGCTAAACTTAAAATCGAGAAGTATGACGTCCTCTATCCGTAAATAGATGCTTTAAGATTACTGTTTGCATAATTTCGGCCATATTTTCTATTCTGTTTCAATTATTCCGTTCTAGTTTCACATTCTTTCGCCATTCGATGACATATTTAATATAAAATAAAATATTTAATATAAAATATTATTAAATATTTTATTTAATATTTTAATATTATTATTAAAATATTATTAATATTAAAAAATATTTAATATTTTATTAAATATTAATATAAATTTATACAAAAAACTTTTATTAAAGTAATGAATTTTTATTCAAAATATGACTTTATACACTGTTTTTTTTTCTTTTTTCTTAAAGAAAAAAAAATTAATTTAGTGTGAAAACGAAATATGCAAAATTGGTGAAACAATACTTGACGTCGATTGCAATTTAAGTGGAAATGTGTGTGGAATAAATGCATTATTCGTTCTCATTTCTCAAGAAATACCCTATCCATCGATGGTACCTCGAAATTGTATTCAGCGATGTACTTGTAAAAGTATTGAATATATCGACAAATTAACTCATTGCAAGAAAAAAGAAGATTTCAAAATTGAGGGACAAACTGATTCGTACGGTTTTACTGAAGTAATTTTTTTTTTCATTAAAAAAATTATTCATTAAAAAATTTAAGTAAATTTAAATATATATCAAAAATTATTTGTCAACGAATTATTTCTTGAATAGTTTTCAATTCCACTGAAAATAGCACTCTCTTCGCTATTATTTATTTCTGCTAACTGTGCTTGTTTTTTGCAATATTTATAGACGATCGTTATATTTACTTATGCCTTTATGCAATTCAAAATGAACATTTTCAAATAGAATGATATCGAGAAATGAATATTTTCAATTTTTTATAATTGCAATATATAATGGTAAAAGAGCTAATACTATTTATTAAATTTTCAGTACTGTCCGAAAGCTTATTACAATCTTGGAGATGAGATTGCCGACATTGGTTGCAGGTTGGCTGGTCATGAATGCGGAATTAATATGAGATTTGTTCTTATGGAGACTCTGAAGGCTGCCAATAGTCAAAATCAAAGCCACATTATAGGATGCATTTTAAGATGTAATTGTGAAGAAAATTTCGAATTTTTCGAAAAAGATGGACAATGCGCGAGAAAAGTTCATTCATTCCTTTCTTTTAAAGTTTTAGAAAAATTCTTCAAATCCGATAAGCATATTATAATTTAATCAATCGAATCCGATGAGCATAGGAAAAATATTTGAAAGAAAATTTTATAATTACGAAATGAATTTATAATATATTTTTAAAGCTTAGTGGAATTTTATTTCACTTTGCAATATATTTTTTTATTAATTCGCTAATTGTTTATTCGCTTATTCAAGTTGGTTCATTGTAAGCAATAATTTAGTGGTACTGTGAAGGAGGATTTTGCCATCTAAAGAGGAAAATTTACGATTATGGCTGTAGACTTACTGGTTTGGAATGTGGAATTCATATGAAATTCGTTACTACGAAGAAAATTAATGATGGGATTTGCATTCAAAAATGTAAATATGCAAAGGATGGAAAATATAAAGATAAGAAAAAAAATAAACAGGTTTTCATGAAAATTTTTTCGGGAAATATTTTTTGTAAAATATTCAATTTGCATTAATCATCATTTAATTTTTTAGAAAATACCAACCAATATCTTTAGAAATAAAATTAATTAATTAAAAAATTAAATCACAAAGTTCCTTCCTAGAAAAAATTTTATTCAAAATCCCATTATTAGATGAATTTATCAGTCATGCTAATTTTGATACCAAATTGATAAATACTATATAAATACTATACTATATTCTTATAATATTTACATTATTACAAAAGCTTTTATGAGTAAATTGATGCATTTTTCCCTTTTCTCTCACTATTACTGGTCAAGCTGGCTCCAAGGGTGAGAAGCTTCCAGGCGGTGCCATCATCGGCAATAATAGAAGCCATTCCTTTTTCCATCCATATAATGCTGGTCTATACGTACTGTATCAGTCCAGGTCTTGATTGGAGCACCTTGCTTTCACCCATCACAAAGTTTAGGAAATAACAAATAACGAAATGTGCTCTAAATCCTGTGGTAAAGAAAGAAGAATGTGCCTTAGCCAGCGAAGGCGATGCTTTACGATAACATTATTAATGCAAGTGGTATTTGAACGAAGGTGGATGCGACTTTATTTGCTCGACAGACCCGTAAAATGACTGGCACCTTAGAATGAATGGCAAAAGGCTAATAGCTTCTTAATATTTTCCACTGTTATTGACTATATAGAAAGATCGAGCGAATTGCAGCTATGTGGACATAGTTTTTCGTCTTTTTGGTGATTTCGCGATAGTTCCATAAAGATTTCAATAAAATATATTTATAGATATTGTAATCCAGGTTACAATTGGCAAAATGTTACAGTTTCATCATTTGCATAGCCATTTGGCATTAGAGTGGACCCAAGGTATTTAAAATCAGGCTTCCTCAACCTTCCTCAACTGGCAATGAATTTGTTAAAAGAGGCATTTATCAGCTTCTTGCACATAAGACGAAACGACTTTCGTTTTATTTACATTCATCATGAGTCCGATTCTCGCTGCAGTCGCTGACACCTTGTAGCATTATATGCATAACTATCAACAAAAAGGACTAATGCATTTATTCAATAACATAATATAATATTCGATAATTTGATTTTAACTGTGAAGTGATACGAAAACATGAAAACTATTCCAGAATTTTGTTGAGCACAAATCGATAACAAAATTTCTCAAGACTGGTCAGATATTGGAAGATTTCGGATGTTTATCATCTAATACGGAATGTGGAAAAAACATGGTTTTTCGCCCAGTTGTCCGATTCTATAATATATCATCCTCGTTGTCGCATGAAAAATGCCTTCAGCGTTGCACTTGTAATGATAAATTTTACGAGGAAAATGGCCGATGCATTAAACGAATTGATATAGATGAGGTGTGTTCTTAACTCATCTATTTATATATATATATATACGAAATTTGAAGAAAAAAAGCGAACCTTTTTCAATGCAAAAACATTCATGGACTTGATAAAGAACTAAAAAAGTTATGAAAGTAATGGAAAAAAATTCGAATTACCTAAGATAATTCAGATAATCCGTACAGAGCATAACTTAAGATTGAAACATAGGTATTATTAGTGCATTATTTGTCTCGATTTTATATAACTTTACAGCTGCATTCATTTCATAATACTATTTTTGCAAATAGCTTCATAACGCTTGTAGATAAGTCAAAATTTGAAGCGTAAGGTCATGAAAGGTTTTGAAGTTTATACATGCGTACATGCTTAAAAATCATGCATAAGTAAAAAAAAATTCGACATATATAACGAAACTATCATATTTCACTATATAGTTATCAGAAAATAAATGAGTTGCAAATGAGTTCAAATGAGTTTACTAATAAAGTTGCGAAAAAAGTAGCAATGAAATAAAATAAAATATTGAACGTCAGAAAATCAGAAAATCTGAATAATTAGGGTGATAGGAGGATAGTTGATAAGTTACTACAAAAATAAATGAGAATTAACGAAGAAATAAGGATTTTTTTTTTTACAAATTTTATTTTACAAAAATTACTTCAATTTTATGCGTGAAAGTTGGCTATTTTTTATTATATAATTTTTTTGAAAAAATATATATAAATCTGTCTGGTTTTATTAAAATTATTTGCTATATTTTCAATAATATCTATGAAATTCTTTGAGGTCGACTATGAGGACGATTATGAGGATAAAGATTTTGTTATAAATCAGCGGTGCTTTGAAAATAAAGCCTGTCAACTCGGCGAGAAAATAATTGATATAGGATGTCAATTAACTGGCATAAAATGTGGCATAAACATGGTGTTAAGTCCAACTTCTATTGCGATAAACAACCAGTGTGTTCAGTATTGCGTTTGTGACATTGAGTTTATGGTGGAAGGAAATAAATGTGCTAAGAGAAATACATTTAAAACAACCTCTAGCACAGAATATCAGAATATTACGCAGGAGAGAACTGAGGAAAATGTTAGCCTAATTTTTTAAATGGTAAAATGAAAGAGATAAAATGATAAAATGAAAGACTTTTTTTGCAGACTGGGAATATTGTTATTAAATGTATGCGTGGAGAATGTGAGCTTTCGGAAGAAATTTCTGATCTTGGATGTATGTTAGACGGGCATTCCTGTGGTCGAAACATGGTTTTCAAGAAGATTTCTAAAAAAATATATAGAACTGCATTGAAGAATATGAATTGTATTGTGATATGTGAATGTGAAGATGGATATTGCGAAAAAAATAATCAATGTGTTCTTCCAGAAGAACCTTCAAATCCAGTAAGCCAGCATTCTTCGAAAATAATAAACTATAATGTCGTATTTTTTAGGATTTAAACAACTATTCAGTTTTTCAGAAACAACTATTTTTTAGTGCGAAAGAAAAATATGTAAAGCTGGGGAAAGAATTTTTGACGCTGATTGTCATTTGAGTGGAGTAAAATGTGGTGTTGGCATGAAATTCATTACTGTACAAAAACTTCATCCATCTTCATCGTGCATTCAAGAATGTCATTGCGAAAGCGGAAAATTCGAGGATAGCGAATGGTCATTATGCAGAAAAGATGTGATTTCTGTCAATTTTGTCGAAGTAATTTTTCGTATATATTTAATTTGAAGAAATTTTATCATTTGAGATAATAACCATCTTTTTTATGCTATGAAATTATTGGAATTATTCTCTGAATATACTAATGGTACCAGTTTGCGCAATCTACTCAAAATTTAGTAATAGAGTACCTACAGTGATTCGCACTATTCGCACTATTGAAATATCGTTTCGTTATAGACAATATTGCTGGTATTTTCGGTTCGATCGATAGCATAGAACTTTTTCAACTAAGCAACATGGTAGTGTTGCAAAAAATGATAACTTATTAAAGCATTTTGTCAGAATAGAGAATATACATTTTTTCAACTATGCAATAGATTAAATTATGGGTATTGCTTGCCAATACTCAAGAAAACTGGTGCAAATTAGTTCAGAGTTTAGTACCATTAACTTTGAATACGCTGATGAAGTTGCCTTTTTTGACCATTGCGAGAAATTTTGCCAAAAGCGAGAATTGGTTTGAGAATAGAATAGAATAGAATTTTAAATGAAGCGGAATTTTTTTCATCTTATATTACAGTTGCTGGTTTAAAAAATTCTGAATTTTCTAATTTTTCTAAATTTACGAAAAAAAATCAGATTTCAAAAGTCTTAAATCGACTATCATTCCTAATAGCTGTATGAAATGTGAAATTATGGCTGGGAGCCTCAGATAATCCTTGAAGCTAAAGTCTTTTCTTCATTTGACGAAGCTACCACAAAGCCACCATTAGAACAAAAATTTGCTCCCTATCTGTAATGCCCACAATCCTATTGTTTAACTGTAAAATATGATCAGTGAGAGTAGAATTAGGAAATAATTTGTTTTCGGCCATTCTTGGTTAAAGTACCTCCTGCTTAATTGCTAAGCGGGCTTATATAATTTCATCTGCTCTAGTCGGCTATGTCGATTAGACAGGGACTCATCATGGGAACGCCGTACATATAAATAGCTAAACTATATATTATATAGTATTTCAATTATTCGTAGAAATGATATCAAATTAAGATCCTTGACTTTATTCTTGTTGCTAAGTCAACAATGGTGTGACCTACTACAATAAAAACATGTTCAACTTGATAATTTTCATCAGCTTTGGTGAATCGTACATTGTTAAATGTAAATGTATTCTCTGGTATAGCAAAAGGAAATAATACCAGAAGATTGGAGCAAAACAATCATACTTCCAATTCCTAAGGAAGGTGACATGACTTATTGCAATTATAGAGGAGTCAGCCTACTGGAAATCTCCGAAAAAATTTGCGCTTTTCTTCTGCTTAAATAGACTCATGGCAACATGAGAATGCGTCCTAACCAAGCTGGATTCAGACTGGGACGTGGTTATGCTGACCAGATATTTATGCTATGCTAAGAAGAATGCTGGAGTGCTGAGTGCTTCAAATACCAGCAACCCATCGTCATTTACTTTATCGATTTTGCTTGTTTTCCAGGCTAACCAGTAATGAGAGCTATTAGAAGAAGAAATGAAAGTGTAAATTCTTAATTCATTATATTTTCAGCACTGTTCGCAATCCTACGAATTCGGGCAAAGAATTTTTGACAATAAGTGCCATTTAACTGATCAGAAATGTGGAAAAAATATGGTTTTTATCAATGAAAAAAAGTTCATTACTCCAAGCAATAGTATTCAATGCATCCAACGGTGTAGTTGTAAGGACGATTATAGTTACTTTGAAGGAATTGGAGAGTGTGCAAAAACAGTTAAAATTTCATTTTCTTAACCGTTTTTTAATGATAAATTTCTATTAAGAAGAATTTCTATTTCTATTAGGAAGAATAATCGAAAGATGGAAAATGATTCTGTGCCGCCAAATATTTCTACTTTGTTTCATCATTTTTTGCTTCAAAATAAACAATTTAGTGGTACTGCGAGGGAGATTATTGCAAGCTTGGAAGGAACTTCTTCGACTATGGTTGCACGCTCACTAGCTTCAATTGTGGTCCAAATATGAAATTTATTACTAAGGGAAAAGATGCGAAAAGCGATGCTTGTATTCAGAGATGTAGTTGCCTTAGTGATGAATATGTCGAAAGTGATGGACAATGTCTGATGAAGGTAGGAATTTTCTTAATACTTTTATTATATTTTTTAAATTCTTCACTAATATTTAAGCAACATATTTAATATTTGTGTGTATATTGCTTTTGCGAAGGCAAATTTAACCGATACGATGAAATTTTTAGAAATCATTTTTCAAATTTATTCTTATTTTGAGCAAAAATAACAGAATTTCGGGCTAATTTTCTCCAAGCAAATAGATTTTTTGAGGAGTTTTTTTCATAGTTTTTTACAATCTTCTTATTGATAATTATTTTTAATTAAAATTTATTTTTTAAATTTTAAAATTTTATTTTCAGCGATATTCAGCGAATTCTACAATGGCGATGAAATAAATTCTTGCAAAATCATTGCGATAATTCATACGCTTTTGTTTAAAGAAAAACCAAGCCATGCATCATAGTATTCCATTTTAAGCTGTAATATTGCATAACAACAATATAAATAAAATATAAATAAAAAATTCCATTTTAAGCTGTAATATTGCATAACAACAATATAAATAAAATATAAATAAAAACATAAATAATATAAATAGTATAAATAATATAATAATAATATAATAATAATAATTTAAATTCAAATCAAGAAAAAGTATCCATCAAAATAAATTCGTACCAACACTTTTACCTAATGATGAATAACACCGATATAAGCGTTGTCGACAAATTGTTCAATTTTATTTCAAAATTATATGGCAATGATGAACCACAAATCATAAGACAATTTAATTAAAATATAGCAATAAGGAAATTATGCCTTGAAAATTAATAATAAATTAATAATAATAATAATACGCAATTATAATTAAAAAGTAATTTATGAAATCTCTCAAAAGAAAATTTTCGATATTCGAATATTCGAATTTTTAATTATTCACGAAAGAGACAGGAATTTTTGTTCGTTTTTCTGAATAAATATTTTATAAATGGAGTATAAAGCTAATAAATAAATTAAATTATTAAATAAATTAATAAATTTAAATATTCCTTTTTAATCTTTTTTTCATTTTCTCTCAATTTTTTCAACAAAAAATTAAATTTTAGAAAAAAATTGATGAATAGAAATAATGAATAAGGAAAAGTATTGGCAAAGGAAAAGTATAATGATAATGGTAAAGATACACAAATTCCCTCAAGTTTCAAGTTTATAAATATTGTAAAAAATAAAATTATAAATTTCGCAAGCAAGGAATGTTGCTCTTCTGCGTTAATATTTTCAAAAATTCTTGATCCGGCTGCCTTACCAGAGTACGGTCTGGCTACCTTACCGTTAATAATGTAAAAAAAAAACAATAATATTCGATACAAAATCAAAAGTCTCAAATAAACAGTGAATAAATAAAATAAAAATTTCAAGCAATAAAAAAGATATTAAATATCCAAATATTGAAACCAGATCGCCTGGGTCCATTGGTGGCTCAGTAATAAAAAAATGAAAAACAATTTTCTTAAGAAGCATAAAAAATTTGCAAATTTGTAAGAGGAAATTGACCCTACGGGGGTTTATCGACTGACATATGTACATGGAATCAGAATAATTTAAATTATTATTATTAATTTATTATTATTATTTATATAATTTATTATTATTAATATTATCATTGTCATTCTATAAAGCTTACATTTCCACGAAAGCATCGCCTCCATAACAATATATTCTTTAGAATAGCCTTTTGAATGAAAATGCAAGATTTTGCACCGTCTTTTCATTGAATTAGTCTAGTGTTCAAATGATGATTTTCACCAATATGAAAGAAGGATTTCTGGAACTTTTAGTCAAAATAAAACATTAGTGCATCATCCTTCACTCCTATACACCACGGGAGAAAGGAGATATATATTTTACAATTACATCAAGTTACATATAGAATGATGTACTATTTATATTCCACCAATTCTCGTCAAAAGAGAGGAATCGGACTTCTTAGCCGAAGCACAAATTTAAAATATATTTATTGCGAGATATATTCCATGAGAATCTTATTGCCAAATATTGCTTGCTGAAATTAAGATCATACGATTTCGTCCACATTCTTTTTAAGACAAGTGATATTCTCATTTCCGTAAATCTACGTAAATTTTTTAGAATTTTTTATATTGCAGGAATATAGCATATGATTTAGTTTTTAGTTAGTTTGTTCTTATTGTAGTCATTAATACAATTGCATTATAATAGAATTTGTAAATTATTTGTTAATTACTTGTAAAATATCATTCCACTCAGTGTGAAACTATTCGCTAAGATGAATTTCTATAAATTCATATGGAATTTATCCTTAATGCTTCCAAGCTTAGTTGCATCAAAACAAAAAAAAACAAAAAACACAAAATTTAGATTTATTAAGTTTATTTTCTGATTCTCTGAATTTATTTAAAAATTGTATAAAATTTTTTAAAATATTTTAAATTTATATAATAGGCTTAAATGCCGGCAAAATTTCGTTTATTATTTCGTTTAACACGAGATTCATATGTAACTAAATTGAATAAAATCGTTATCATATACCATAAAAAATTTCGAAATATTTCTTAGTGAAGAAAGCTTCAAAAATTTTCTTTTTCATTTTCATACTATCCTTATCAATAAATTCTGAATGAAATGAAAGAGAAATCCAACACGTCTCTGGTTAATCGCTAGAGAAATATGTTAGGGATTCGTATGACGATAGAAATACAAGTGAGTTGCCATCTGGATTATCGAAATTTTTTCTTTTATAGAGCATCAAATTGAAAGAAGGATTGATTGCTTTTTATCATATCACAGATGAGAAATCTTTAATTTAATTTAATTTTATTTTACAATATAATTATTTTATTTTATTTCGATTTTTAAGTATTACGCTGATGTGCTCCTTTATGCATTTGATTCGGCAATAAGTTCTATTTAACAAAAAAAAAAACGAATAATTTAACTTATTCTTATCAATTAAAAAAATAATTTTTCAATAATTTATAGAGCGATAATCAATAATCAATAAATTCGCGAATAATTTATTCATTAATTTTTGATAAATAATTTAGCATAAATGAATATAATCATTTATGAATTCATTTATTTATGAGTATATAAAAATGATATCACATTTAAATGCTAAAAAAATATTTTTTGTATAATTTAAAATTGTAAAAAATTAAAATTTAAAATTTAAATTTAAAATTGTAAAAAAAATTCAGCAAAAGTTCAGCTAAAATTCAGCTGCCTGGATCAACAAAATGTTTGGGTGAAATGGCATAAATCGAACATAAAAAGTCAAAGATTTATGGGATGCAGAGAATAATGCGAACTTATCGTCCTTTAACTACTCATGCCTCAGATATATTTTATGGATTTGCTGAGCAGATAAAAGTGATTGCATCTACCTTTGCTTAAATAGCATGTGCGTTAACAATACTATCATTGATCGCCGCTAATTAGTGGCGTTATCCACCACATATTTCATGCTAAATCCTGTGATGGATGGATGCTAAATCCTGTGGTGTCAAAAGGGTGACGGCAGACTTAAGACTGCATCTAACACTAATAAAATCAACAAAATTTTTGGAAATACTTAGTAAATAGCGATATATGGATTTAGACGATGGAAGAATTAATAGTTTCCAATACTTTCGACGATGATGTCGCATTGAATAGCTCAGCGACGTCTTACCCTTGTAGTCATCAGTGGAACCGGGCTAACCAGTAATAATGAAGGCTGTTAGAAAAGAAGAAATTGATGGTCATTATAATAGTACTATAATGACTTATACAATTCTGGTTATTGTAGCTAATGTAGCGGACTTCAAAACTTTCCAGCAAAAATAAATCGCATGTATTTATCCTATTTCATTTATTATGATGAAATTCATATTTTGGCATAATGAAATTTATTATATTTATGAATACAGAACAAAATTTTTTATTTTCTATCGCTCGATTATTTTATGTAAATCACCCGATTTTTTTATACACATAAATTTTGAAAGACCTAAAATAACTGATGCTGTGATGCTGAACCTATTTATCATTGTTAGTCTCCTATATAAATTTTTTAATCATCGAATAATTTTGGCTATTTCCACAGGTTAATATGTTTTTTAGTGAGAAATGCGTAGAAATTTATAGAAATATATAGGAGAAACTTCTCCTACCATCTCGGTCCTAATTTTAATGATAAGTATATTTCCATCAAATGATAATTGTCAAATTTATCTTTCTCTATTTTTTCCCAGATGAATTATCGCAACCACTAAAAAGCCTTTCGTAATAATATCTATGCCAGATCTTTATTTAGATTAGACGAACTTCGAATGGTACTTGCTGTTCGATTTTAGTACTGATTTTTTGCATGAAGCCATTAATTAACCAAATGTTTAAGTGCTTAGGACTAATCTTATCTTTTATTGAAACTGGAATCTGAACTTAGCATTTAAAGGCATTTAGCATTTAGCATTCAAATTCCATAATAATCCAATAGTTCTTTTACATATATATTGAGATAAGCCCTTTTATATCTTTTAATTATCGCAGTCACTAATCATAATAAATTTTCTTAATTCAGTGATAACTTCAAAAATTTTTGCTAAAGGATATTTACAAAAAATATTTCTTAGGCAATTTTTCAATGTATTGCTGGTGAAGTTACAATGGAACAGAATTTTACGCTTGGAGAATTTTACGAAGATTTTGGTTGCATGTTAACGAATTATAAATGTGGAGAAAACATGGAATTTCATTTCATAAATCGCCTTATTGTTTCCAATAAAACTTGGCATGAAAAATGTATATATCGTTGTTCTTGTATTAGTAAAGAATACATGGAATTAGACGGACAGTGCCTAAAAAATGTTGGTAAAATTTTATTATTAACTTATTTTACGAAAATAATCAAGCAAAAACTATTAAAATATATGAATGTCTAAAATTTTAATGAAGCAATTACATAAATCTATGATTTTTGTCCTAATTTATCAGTTTATCAGTTTAAAATTTTTAATATAAAAATTTTGTATATTCTCCACTGTTTTAATTATTATTTGGACATATACAATTTATGAAAAAATGATAAATAATAAAACAAATTATTTAAAAAATTGTAAAATTCTACATATCAACCTTAAATCATCAAATTTCTCTCATGTTTTCTTCGAGAAATTATTAAAATAAGTGGTGCAGATTTAGATTTATAAGTCGCTAGCAATGTCCATAGGAAAACGGTTCAAAAAATTGGTATGAATTTTGGATTAGTTTGGATTAGTTGGATTATGAAAATAACTAATTCAATCAACTAATCGTTGTATTTAGTATAGTCAATCAAAGAAAAATTAGGAAAAGAAATTAGAAAAAATTTCTTTTGCTTTCAAAAAGAAATCGTTATTAATTCAATTTTTCCTGTTTAAACATCGAATTTGAAGTAATTTTACAAATCGTATGCATAATGATGAAACTCATTTAGCTTGCTTTATGGTGCAGTGGACCTGATTGTAAAATCGGCCGACGGATTTACGATAGAAGATGTCAGTTAAGCGAAATGAAATGTGCTCCAAATATGGTTTTTAAAACGATTAATAATGTTTTATATGCGTATTGTATTCAAGAATGTGTTTGCGATGAAAATTCTCAGCAAGAAGGCGATCGATGTATTCCAAAGGTTAGAAATGAATTTATAAAATACCATTGTAATAAAAATTTATTTATTTACAAAAAAAATTCTAGCAAAAAAAACTTTTTGCCAATAAAATTTATTGTAAATATAATACAAATATAAATATAATATATTTAAAAATGATTGCAAAAGATAAATTTAAAGAATTTTTTGGATATTTGGAAAATAGTGATTCTCTTAAATTACTTGGTTGAGAAAAAAATTCGGGTGATGCTGGCGACTCACCTGTACTTCTATCGCCAAGGGACTCCCTAGCACATTGCTCAATGCGACAAGCCAATGGAGCGAGTTTGACCAGTAATGGTGAGGACTCTTAAGAAGAAGAAGAAGAAGAATAAAAATAATAAAATAATAAACAATAAAAAAATAATCGCATATTCTTTTTTCCATCTATGAACTCTCTTTCAAATTGCAAAATATATTGCTAAAATTTTGAATATTAAAATACATACATTATAAATATAGTAAATTTTATCGCGTGGAACTTGAAATAATAGTTGTATAAGTTGAATCACAGGCTATACGAAAAGGAGAAGCATCATTGCAAAACAAAATGTATTTTAATAGTAATAATAATACCACAATAAACAATAAATTATATATAAACAACAACCATTTATAATGAATAACTGCCTATAATGAAAAGTTTAGTATAATAATGAGAAATAGAGATTCCCACTTGCTGGCGACTCACCTGTATTTCTATCGCCGAAGGAACCTGGAATATTGCCCAATGCGATAAGCCAGTAGAGCGAGTTTAACCAGTAATGGTGAGGACTCTTTAAAAAAAAAAAAAAATAGTGAAAAATAGGCGATCATCTAGTGTTATGAACGGACATAGTGGAGCCAACTGATTTTAACAAACCATAAGGAGCATAAGATGTCCTTATTAAAATAAGGGTCCAGCAAGTGGTCCATATTAATTGTTATTGTTACACTTGTATATATCATATTTATAAGCATTTATCATATGTCATTTTACAACAAACAATTGATAAATTTTAATCACATAAAAATTGACATTCGGTGCTTTTACACAAATAGTTATAAATGATTTATATAACTTGTAAGACTTATAATTTAAGTCTTCCTGCTTATTGAGAATTCATTTCAGCCTTAGTGACAATTGGTATAAAAACATACGTAAAATTTTCAGGCTAAGCATCTAAGCACAATTGATCCTCTTTTCACCAATACCAATTTTATGTCTTTTACTCTCGGACAAACATATAAAGATTTTGATTGCCGATTAACAAATAGTCCATGCGGAAAAAATATGGTATTTGTACCTTATATGTTGTTTTACACTTGGGGCATTTCATCTTTTCGTACGAATTGCGTTCAACGCTGTTCATGTATCACGGATCACGGTTACAAGGAAATCAATGGTCAGTGCATTTATAAGACAACGGAAATTGCGAAAAATGCAAAAATGTCTACAATAGTAATTTTTTGATGTTAAAAAATACTTAACTTACTAATAAACTTAACTATTCATTCCAGCAAAGATGAGCAATTCAGAAATGGTAAGTACCATGAATGTAAGTACCATATTGCCAAAATAAAATGGATAAGTGGAAAAATAAGTGCAAATAAGCCAATTTTAACAGCAAATTTATAAAATACAAAAAATAAAAAAAATAGTTTCTTTTATTCACTATATTTTATCTCTTATTGAAGTATTATAAAGGTACCACTTATAAACCACTTTTTTCTGCTGTTATCACTATGAATAATTTTTTTGAGTAGTTTAATTGTACGAGATGCTGGTGAATAAGTTTGATGGATGGCCAACAAATACGCTATGCACCTGCTTTTTAACTTCTCAATGAAATTGCTTATAAAATATATAAAACTGATGGTTTCCAGTTTATTACAATCTTGACTTGAGAAATAATTGTTGCATCATTATGATTTTTCGGATAATTTGAAATAGTTGTCAAATCTGAAAGGGCTAGATCAGCTCAGATACGGTGATAGCTTATTAATAATAGCCAGCTTATTCACACGAAGCCTTGTCTCATTTCAACTTCTCTACCATATTGCCTTTACAACAGGAATATTGATAGGCAAACAGCTTATTGAGTGTATAGCAGATTTCCAGATTGCCTTGGTTCCACAGTACCGTATGCAATATCCCACGTAATCGTCAGAGAGCGCTGGCCCTCCATTCTCACGCTGGTGTTAATCGAGGCAACATCTGCGCTAACAAAACACTAGAGTTCGAGACACCCTCATAATTGAGTTAAGGCAGAAAAATTTTCAGAAAGTTTTGCCTAAGGATTCCCACTAGCAAAATTGAGAGTGCTGGCTGCGATACGAATTCTTTTTTTTTGTTCCTCTCAATATTTATCGCTCACTTTGGTTCACTATAGCAGCCTTCTTTTTTTATAAGATATATTCATATTTTCACGTAAACATTAGTAGAAATTCAATAAAACGAAAGGCGAAATTTATCAAAATATACTCATATATTCAGTATATCTTCTATATAGTATGTCAGCATTACTAATTGGCACCGACATATTCATACAATTTATATTGCTGCAAATTAGCTATTTAATAAAAATAATTCGTTACATTCTTTATCATAAAAATATATTTGAAATTTTCAGACCACATTCGAGAACATCGATTTTAAATCTTTTACGAATGGGCAAACATATAATGATTTCGATTGTCCGTTAACCAATACATGCGAAAAGAATTTGGTATTTTTTTTATATATTTGGATTAATAACTCCAATATTTGCTTAAAAAACGCGTTCAGCTAGTAATAATAACTTATAATAATAATAATAACTAATTAGGAGATAATAATAATAGTAATAATAATAACTAATTAGGAGATTGATGATCAGCTTCTGATTAGGAATCAGGTATCAGAAAAATACAAAGTTGCTTGCAATAGTAATTTTTTAAAATATAAAAATATGATATATATATATATATTTCCAGTTCTCATAGCTAAGAAGTGAACCGCATATTTGATTCCTTGAGAGATAAAGAACTTACAAAGAAAACTTTTTTGATAGCCAATGAAGACTTATAATCCAGAAATAATGAGCGCGATCAATTAGGCTAATATTGAAAATTTTAATGATAATGCGTTATTGTTATTATTCGGAAGCAGATTAATTAAACAACAGTATCGGTGTGAGGTGATAATGATTAATGATAACTTTATCAATATCCTCTCTTTTTTCACTTTTGCTAATAATTGTTAATGAGCTAGTGAGAACCCATTTTCTCGATTCATGATCATTTTTACACCGTTAGTCATGAATTATGGTACATCTGTGGTTTAGTTACAAAATTACACCAATGTCGTACAGAAAATGGTTCAAATTTAAATTCGACCTATGTGTTTCATCAGGCACTATCGATATAGCGACTGATAGAAATCGATCTACCAGAAGCCTTTTGATTACCATGTATTTACCAACGTTTGCAGCACCTCGGCTATTACTCTATGTATAGACCTGTGCTGATATATCGTAATAAACTGCCTTTATGAGCCGAATGATTTTTTCCAGAATACCACCACATTCCATCATTCTCCAAAGTGTTGCTCTATCAAGTAAATAGACAGCAATTGCAGAATCATTGAGAAAATGATGGTGAATTGCCGACATTTAAAGCGAAGTTTCAACACTCTTCTTAATGCTCTAGCCTGAATCCAACTAGGTTGGGATAATGCTTCGAAAATTCTCGCGGGCATGTCTAGTAGGCTGATTCCTCGATAATTGTTAATATCGTTATATCTTTTCATCTTTTATAAGAATCGGGAGTGAAATTGTTTTCTTCCAGTCATCTGATATTATTTCTTTCTTTCCCAGAGAGTATATTTGTCGAGGATGTGATATGAAGGACAATGGATAACGTTTAAACCCGGAGACCATCTTTCCCGGGAATTTTTATTGGCCTTAAGAGCCTGGATAACAGATTATTTCTAGCTCGCGATTCGTAGTTGAAAACGTTTGGCTCGATGCGTTAATCATGCCGGATCAAATAATGCGTCGTGCTTATTTGGCCTCAGAGAATGCCTCCATTAGACTTTTCTTGATAAGCTTAATAGTCTGGGCAATACTATCTAGTATCATTTCATTGATCATTTTCCGGGAGATATACTGTATTATGAAGAAGATGAAATAGTTTCTTATTGTACCCTGATCAAGCCGTTTTCATTTACAGGGCTGAATAACTCTAATAGCAATTTCTTTCTCAACATGTAGTTGCTCGCTTCATCGCCTTGTAAGGTTTCGAATAATTTCCCTAATTCGTGAACATATTGTCTGAACTCGCTTTACGCCTAGATTATATTCTTATCGCATATTTTATTGAGCTTGGATATAATGCGCGGAAGAGGATGCAGATGTTGTATCTATATATATATATATATATATATATTATATCAGATCTTGTGAAAACCATGACATGATTTGATATAACCAGAAAATCTTGAGCGGCCTTACGATGCAGTGGAAAAGTAGTAATTTTTTTTGTTATCATGACACAGCATTGAATCGTGATGCTCGAAAGCCCTGAAGCAGTCTAATTATCTACATTGCACACTGCTAGAAAGTTCTTGTGGCTATCCATCTAATCCATACAGTGGCTGCTATTCACTAACGTAAAGAAATATAAAATTTATTATAACCTATAATCTAAAAGAATTATAATAATCATAAATGTATTTATTATCTTTCAAACATGTTTTCTTTTCTCAGTTTTGTGCGAATTTTAGTGCAGAACAGAATCGTGCAAAGTTAACGAAATGGTCGTTGATATAGGATGTAATTTAACTGGGCAAAAATGTGGTACAAACATGATATTCGAGCTTGCTAGCCAAGAAATTACTTATGCATCCAAATCGCAATATTGTATCCAACGATGTGTTTGTGAAAGCAAGAAATTTATTCCGAGAATATTTTATTGTGAAAGTGTAGAAGTTCAATTAAAAAACGATATAGTACCGACCGAATTTCTTCGAGTAATTTTATTTTAATTTAAAATAATCAAATTTTCATTTTTTTACTAAATAAATTTGGCAAAATTCGATTTTTTAAAAAAATCTCATTTTCTAAAAAGATTAATCTCTGTAATCATTTAAAAAAACACCTATCTTATATATTTTATATTTTACTAATATAAAATTATGAAGAAAGCCCAATTCCAATTTCTATGAAAATTTAAGGCCATTGGTTAGGAATTTTTCATTCTATAGGTTTTCAGTATTGTCCACAAGTCAATTATAATTTGGAGGAAGAAATCACTGATCTGGGTTGCCGTTTAATTGGTTCTAAATGCGGAAACAACATGGTTTTCGTTGCCATGGAACAATTTTTTGTTAGCGAAAATTCAAATATTATTATCGCATGCATCCAAAAGTGCGAATGTAAGGATGGTTTTATGTATTCCAAGAAAGATGGAAAATGCATTAAAAAAGTTTGGGTTATTTTCTTGTTTGATAACTAAAATAAATGAAATTTCTTATAAAGAAAAGTTAAATTGCAGTATTCTTTTTTCGTTCAATATTAAAGCATTGTTTTTAGTGGTACTGTGAAGGAGGATATTGCAAGCTTGGAAAGAAAGTCATTGATTATGGCTGCATGCTTACGGATCGCGCATGTGGAGCCAATATGATGTTCGTCACTGTGCAAAGAAATACTGAATTTTGTATTCAAGTATGCAAGTGCCTAAACGATGACTATATCGAAAACGATGGGCAATGTCTCAATAAGGTATAAAAGATTTCCGCATAAAGAATATTTAGTTATCATTTTAGATTTTTCTATTTCTAAGAGATTTTTCTTGTTCGAACAGCTCATTACTGTTTAGGTTGGCACTGCTAGCTATAATGGTAAAACGTTTCCAAGCTGCTCGATTTGATGCCATAGCAGATAGTAATAGAAGCCATTCTTTTTTCCACTTTCTTCCTCTAATCTCCATATCATTAGTTCTCCTAAACTCTCAAAATTTTTCCTGACTGTGTTTTCCTGTGTTAGTTCAGGTTTTGTCTAATCCAGCTCGCTTTTGACGCCATCCATTATAGAATTTAGCAGGTTTAGCAAGGAACGAAATGTACCAACTCTTGCAGTAGGCAACAATGAAAGTTCCTTCATCAGCGAAGGCGAAGATATTTATAGCACTACTAATGATATATGGATGCTGCCAAATGAGATCTACTAAACGAATCGCAAAATATCTTAAACAGGAGTGGTCAAAGATAACTTCTTGATATTCTCCACTCTAATTAGCCATGTCTTACAGCTATGTAAAAAAATCGAGCGAATTTTAACCATTTTTTAGAAATTTATGATTCTGACCCTAGAATAATCAATTAGTGATTAAAGGAAGCAACTAAATTAATTTTGTATTTTATCATTCTTATCATAATTAACTATAAAATTATTCATTAATTGGTGATTACATTGATGCTTTATTGGCTTTGGTTGAACCAATGATTCAAAATGATTCTTTAAATTTAAATTTTTCAGTAACTTAAAAATTCATGCATAATAATATAATTCAATAATTCATGCATAATGCCGGCAGTTCAAACAATTCAAAAAATACTTTTAAAGCAAAAATTAACGGATCATACAACAACCAAACATATTGCCAGTAAGCGACGTCGAAAACTCATTGGAGTTGGCTTTATTTTCGAAGATTTTGGTTGTTTTTCAATAAATAGTACATGTGGAGCGAATATGATCCTTCGACCATTCCTTCATTTCCACAATATAACGGATTCAAGATGGCATGAGAAATGTGTGCATCGTTTTTCGTGTATAAACGATGAATACATGGAGAAAAATAAACAATGTGTTAAGCAAATGGTACCAACTGCGAATTCACCTAAAAAGGTTAACGTTTTACAGATGAAAATTGTGTTTTTTTAAAAGATTATTACAAAGCTCTTTGAAATTATTCAAAAGAAATATAAATAATTCAATTGAAGATTTTTTTCATTTGCATGGTACTTTATCAATATTTTAGCTATTAATTTCCTAATAGAATATTCATAGAGAAAAAAAAACCATTTTAATATATATAAATGATATTTGAAGGTGACCGCTGCGATTAATCGACCATGTTTTACGAATTCAAAATGTCAACATGGCGATACTATAGTCGATGTGGGATGTCAATTAAGCGGTCAAAAATGTGGAGTTAATATGGAATTTAGTCCATTCACTCTTAATTTACCAGTGAATACGTGTATACAGAATTGCCTGTGCGACGATGAAAGTTTTGTATCAAATGATGAACTGTGCATTAAACGAAATTCTTTATTGGGCGACAATCTTGTTGATAAATCGAAAATAAGAGAGAAAAGAGTTAACCTTTCGTCAGCTTTTTTAAATAATATTAATTGTACAATTATGGATTACTGAAAGAATAATTTCAGCGCACTCTACTAAACTGTATGAATCGAAAATGTTTACTTTATCAAAAAATCGTTGATTATGATTGTACATTACAAGGATATTCATGTGGACCGAATATGACGTTCCGAACAATTGCCAAAGAAGAATTCAGGGATGCAGAAATTACTGGTGTTTCATGCACAGTGATATGTGATTGTGCTAACGAATTTTACGAAAAGAATGGAGAGTGCATTGCAAAAGAACGCATTCCTCTTCAGTCTAATCCAGTAGGAAATAAAATCTTTTCGAAGGATTTTATATGATTTTTTAGATCAATATTTTTTTTCCTAAAAAAAATTTCTCACTTATTTTAAAAATTTCTTATCAATGATTTTCAAGTGTTCAAGACGAATTTGTACAGTTGGTGAAATAATTTTTGATGAAGATTGTCATTTAACTGGACATCGATGTGGAAGAAATATGATTTTCGATGTCGTTACACGCGGAACAATATTTGCATCAAACTCACAATATTGTTATCAACGTTGTAGTTGCAAAAGTGAAGAATTTGTTGAAAAATTTTATCAATGCGAAAAAAAAGATAGAAGTTATTTAAAGAATGGAATATTTCATATCGATTATATAAAAGTAAAAGTTTTTTACAAAATATAATTTTTAATCAAATTTTTAACATTAGCAATTTTTTTTTTTTCCTGTAAAATTGTTGCATTCTAATTATGTTTCTCTATTTAAATTTTTGCAATTTTGTCAATTTTTATTCACAAAAAATAAAAAATTTCAAAAAATTTTAAATTTTAAAATTTAAAATTTTAAATTTTTTTAAAAATTAAATCTATTTTTCTAGGATTCATCTCTTAAATGAATTGAAATTATAAGAAATTCGATAGCATTATTCAAAATTTTACATGGAAACATGAAATTGCTATTAAATCAAGAATATTCACTTAATCGTGCAATATATATATATATATATATAATAATAAATAAATCTTATTTTTGCATATATATATATATATATATATAGAATATTTAACGAACCGCTTTCAGCATTGCCGTCAAAATAATGATAAATATGAGAAAGAAGTTTTTGATTCGGGTTGCCGTTTAGCTGGTCAAAAATGCGGAGCCAATATGGTATTTAGTACTATCCAAATATTTGCTTCTAATCGTAGTTCAGAAAATATTTTCGACTGCATACAGCGATGCATTTGCGCCGATGGTTATGATTATATTGAAGAAAATGGAGAATGTTTTAGAGAAGTTAGAACTTTTATTTTTTTTTCCTGTAAAATTTGTTAAATTATGTTTTAATTATGTTTAAATTTTTGATATCATTAATATTCCCATTTTGTTTTTTTTTTTCTTCCAATTGAGCTTATCAAATTAGCTAATTATATCGCATAGATTGTTTCGAAGCAACATGATTCAGCCGAGGCCTTGAAATAAACCTGTAAAAAATCTGGTGGATGCTAATGTGGACACACATTTCTCACCTCAAATATTTCTCCGAGATAAATATCTCATCTTACTAGTTCTTGGAGATAGCCTGACAAGAAAGATGAGTTCTAACCACTATTTGCGGAGACATCATTTCTTTCGCCACGAGATAAATAGGGAAATAGAGGTGTTCATATCGACAATTTCAGTTATTTTGGTTATGTTTACATCTATCAGCAATAACGATTTTCGAACTAACATTGTTTAACTTTACAAAACAATATAGCAACTGAATTTATAGTTTTGCTAAATTAGCGATCTATCAAAAGAGTTTTAAAAAAAAGATATTATGTAATATATGAAAAGTAATGTTAATGTTATCTTTTTTTAAAAAATAAATTTTCCTCTACAATATTCAATTATGCCTTACACTGGAACATTACTTGTCCCACCTCAAGAGGTATGCAAATTACTCCAGAGTCATATATGTCTTACTCTTAAATATGGGAATGATGCAGTCGTTTTTGGTGATAATTTTCGATGAAATGCAAATTCCAAAACATTATGTCGAAATTGGCAGGGAAATGGACTCAAGGCCAATGTGAATAAAGCTGAAAGCTCTTTCAGCTTATATAGAAATACAGATGGATGATAAAAACACCTATTTTTATCAATTCATTATCGGTTGAGATGTGCTCGACTCGAAATATCTTGGATCCACTCTGACAAAACCTTTATGGAGTCATCGTTAAATCAACATAAAGACGAAAGTCCATGTCCACAATAGCTGAAATTCGCTCTATCTTGCTATATATATGACTGCGAGATGACTGTGGCTAATGAGAGTAGAGGATATTAAAAAGCTTATCTTTAACCATGCATCATATACACTAAAATACATTTTACGGATCAGGTGAGCGAATAAAATCGGATACGATTGCATCCACTTTCGCTCAATTACCTCATGTTAGAAGAAGAGTTTTCCTCTTTTTATTTATTTATTGTATGATTTAGTGGTATTGTGAAGGAGGATACTGCGAATACGGAAAGAAAATTTATGATTATGGTTGTGCGCTTACCAGCTTTAAATGTGGAATCAATATGAAATTCGTTACTTTGCTAGAAGTTGATGATGGAAATTGTGTCCAAATGTGCAGCTGCGCCAGCGAAAAATATGTTCAAATAAATGGCAAGTGCATGAAAGCCGGTGAAACGTCAAAATATCCATCTATTTCGGGTTCGACCAATTTTATGAACTGATTTTGCTGATTATTTAATCTTATCTCACTATTTGCTGTCAAATTTTCTTTCTATCTGTGGTGAGTGTTTTTTTTCGAAATAATAAATATTCAATATTTATTTTAAAGTTAACAAATCACTAAAAAAGAATATTTAATTAAAGAAAATTTTAAAAAAATTTGATTAATAAATTTTTTAACTTCAATTTTTAGATACTGAAAATTCATAAATAATTCAACTTTAGTTTTTTTTCTAAAACTATCATCTCTGATTATCTGATTAAAATTATCATCTCTGATTAGATTCTCTATATTGTTCTGTCAATTTTATCAAAGAATCGCTTGACATCAATGTCATTCAATCAGATTTTTGAGGTTTATTTGTGCCAGTTTATATTCAAATTCAAATGTATAGTTAAGTAGATGAAAAAATTGTGAATAAAAAGCATACATACAACATTTACAAAAAATCAAAAAATCTAATATTTTTAATCTTAGCAATAAGAAGGAATGAAATATTTCCTTACTTAATCATTATTCGCTATTATATTCGCTTTTAGCTGTATTGATAGCTTTTTGCAATATTACTTAATAAAGTTGGTCGAATAAAAATTTATTCAAAAAAGATGCTAATTCATAAAATATTTTCTAGGTTTAGACTATAAATTATTTATAATTTATTTAGTTTTCAGTTTTTTTATATTTAAGATTTTTAGTTTATATAATTTTTTCATTGCCTTTTTTAGAAGATATTCACCGTTTCCAGCAAGATATATGCTGCTATTCCGCTGATATGTCGTGCCAGACTAATTCTTCCAGAGAGTTATTTTTAGAATTAGAATTTAAAACTAATAAGAATTAGATCATCTAACTGCTTAAAAGCTATAAGATTTATTCCTGCCGATAGCTTCCTTATTGATTACTCATGATAATTCTTATCTATTCTTATCAATCAGGAAAATTTTCGAACAGATTTTTTTAAAGAAAAAAGACCAAATTGTCAAATTTTCTACGACGAAATTCTCAAATTAATCTTAAAACCTTTTAGTTGAACTTCTAAATTTCAAAGCAATGCATTCTTTGATGAATTTTATTTCTCTTTTAACTATAATAATTAATACTTCTAAGAATTGCTGATAAGATGATAAGAAAATAATTATATAAAAAACGAGTAAATTATATTTAAAAAACATAAGTTTTAAATAATTCATCAGCTTTTTTACGAAAACATTATCATCCATTGATTTAATTGGACATTGGTCATTTTTATCCGACAAATTCATCGATAGACGGTTATTGTTCGATATTGTTTCTAAAATAGTATGCTGGAAATTCGATATCTGATTTTATGGTGCAAAAAAAGCCATATTTTATCAATCAATATTGATAATCATGAAACTTCGACCCAATATCGGGAATCATCGCATTTAGAATAATTTGTCGTCGTGTATAATTTTTCTAGGAAAATTATATTTGCTTATGGTTGTTAAGCAATTTCAATATTGAAATTCACTATTCTAACAAAAAAGCGATAAACCCAAAATTTGAGCAGAACTTCAGAAATTCAAATTCAGATATACATTTGTATAAACGATCAATTTATATCAAAAATATTCATTATAATTTCTTCTGAAACACCATATATTTGCACTTATATGCCATTGGTTCTTAAATGAGATTGTGGAAGAAGAGCATGTGGGATCACCAGGATAAAATCACAAGAGGATTTGAAGACATCTAAGAAGAAAATTTTAGAAAATATAAGTGGCTTATAGCAATTGTATTTATCACAGTTGTATTTTTATTTGCCTTTTTGTATTTTGTATTGGTTTCAGAGCGAAGAGAAAAAAATGAGAGGCTTTAAGCGGCTATTATCTAAAAATCTAAAAAGGTTAGGCAATGGAGTAGAATTTTCAAAATTTAAAAAGTTGGATGTTTAAAAGAATGTTGAAGCAAGAAAGTAAAAGTCTGGGAGTGCCAATAGAATATTTGCTAAAGTTTTTTGGGAATGTCAAAGAAATCAAACACGACAGATCAATTTTTTCCTAGAATGATGGAAATTTATAATGAAATCAATAATTTTAGCAAGAAAGGAGAGTTTGAAACAATATTACTGTCTGGTTTTACCAATGACCTACGGTAAATTCTTAAATACTTAAGGAGTGACCCGAGATACTTGAAATTAAAGATGCATAATAAAACATGATGGGCAAAGGAGGCCAAATATTTAATAATGGTTGCAAGCTTTCAAAAAATTTTGCCAATTTTAGAGGAAACAGATTTCTATTGATACATGGGAAAAACAAATTTCTTTTTCTAGTAGCTCTCAATGGTTAGGGTGACTTCGTTGGCTAGAAAGTTAAAGCATTTCTAAACTGCACAATCTGATGCCATCGTCGACAGTAATAGAAAGCATTCCTTTTCATATCGTCTAAGTCCATAATAAAAAACTTATAATTAGTAATATTTTTTTTTAAATTTAAAATTTATTTTTTATATTATTAAAATACAGATATTTATGCAATAACATCACTATAGAATTGTCTTCCATGAATTATCAATTATCAATTTTTATTATTAATTTTTTCTAAATTGATTTTCATTCGAAATTATTTATTTATAAATCATTTAATCATAATTTCATTCATTCATATTTTTTGTCAAACGAGAGAAGAGATTGGTTGAATTGGTTGAATTCATGTTTAGAAAATTTTGAATAACAATATTTATGAATTTTTTTAATGTTATTATTTTTTAATTAATTAATTTCTGAATTTAATTTTTTAATTTTTTCAAATTTTGTGAAATAATATTTTCAAAATTATTCAAATGATATGGTATGGTCGCTAATCGTTATTTTAATTTTTAATAAATGCAAATTTTTCACAAAATTATAAAATAATTTCAATATTCTTTTAAATGTTCTCTACGCAAAAAGCATTCGTTTATATCAATTGCGAATCATTTTTTACTTCACACATCACTGATTTATATGAATATTTATTTTTATTTTATTTGATTAATTTCATTCGCAACAATTAATTTAAAATTTCATAAAAAAATTGATAAAAGAAATGTATTATTTGAATCATTGATATAAAGCAGCATTAAAGCATTGATCAAAGAGAACAATGAAACGCTAACGTTCAATATTTATAGTTAAATGCGTGTCTACTGGCTGTTATTTAGTTATTTAGTAAAAATTTTGCCAGAAAGTCTACTAGTGATAAAATTTACAAGTTGCCAGTATTATTCGTGTTTTCCTTACTATCATGGATAAGAATTAAATACTTAGAATATTTCTCTATTTTTCTCTATTAAATAAAAGTTTTAATTTTTTATTATTTTTATATATAATATAATATATAAAAACAACTGTGGCTGAATTTTGTAATTTACCGTTTGTAGCACCAATTTTCATTCTAATTTATTTGCATATTTTTTTCTGCAAATACGACAAATATGCAAATAAGCTAAAATTAGCTTTAAACAAATCCAAATTTATAATAATATTAAATTTTTGTCGATTTACAAGTGGAACTTTATGCCATTATCCAGTTGTAAAAAAAAATCGAGAATAATTATTCCAAACCTATTCAGTTAATCTATTTCTATTTAGAAAATTTAAAATAAAATAATTTTTAAAAATAAATTTAAAATATTCATTATATTCTTTTTTTTTTCATAAAATTCCTTTGAAATCAACCCAAACTAATGGAAGAATGGAAAAAAAAAACTTTTCACTTTGGACTAAATTAAGAAGTTTAAAGAAGTGTTTTTTGGCGTTTTTGATTTTTTTGATTTTTTTGAAAGAAATTTGTCCACATAAATATTTCCTTTTAATAATGAAATAGGCTTTTCAAGTTCCATTGTATTTCGATGTAAATCCGAAATCCGAAATCCGAAAATATATATATATATATATATATGTGTATACATTTTTATATATATTATATAAATATATATTTATATTTTTAATATATATTTAACATAAAACTATACATTTTCTGATATATTTTCAGTATATGAAATTATCTAAATTATATTCTATTAAATGATTTTTATTAATTTCCAATTTCAAAAACAAAAAGGGCCAATGGAAAAGGAAAATTTAAAAAGAACACAGTGATGTCGACGAATGGCCCGATGAAGGATATAGAAGTCCGACGGGAAGAGTCCAAAGTACCTTCTGTGCTTTCGCTATTTCGTGATAGAAACCGTTAGTTCTTGAATTTTTGTTATTTTTGCTCAAAGCAGCAATAAATTTAAAAAATTGCAATCATTTACTCTATTGAGCATGGTTAATCTTATACTTTTTTCTATAGTAAAAATTCTATAGCTATATTATATTGTTCAGATTTGAAAACATTTTAGAATATTTAGAATAAGGGTCTTAAGAAAATTCCATACTTTCTATAGACATTGCCCATCAATTTCGAGATATTTCTCACTAAGGCAACTGCATCGCTGAACACAATCACCAGTATTCTCATTTTTTCCATTATTAATAAATTTCATATTTATACCACAACTAAAATTAGTGAGTACACAACCATAATCGAGGAATTGTCTTCCAAGTTTGCAGTATCCTCCTTCGCAGTACCACTAAATCATATATTTTAAGTGAAAGAAATGATGAAAAGGTCATATTATTATTCAGCAATTTTGTACAATTTTTTGGATTATTCTTCTTAATGGGAATTATTTTTGTTTGAAAAAAGATTTTTAAAAAAAAAATTTTAACTAGTTTTGTACACTCTCCAATTTCTTCCGAGTAATCAGAACCATCTTCACAAATACACCGCTGGATGCATTCAACACTATTGTTGGTAAAAGTGAAATTTTCCGCAATAGCAAAAACCATATTATTTCCACATTTTTTACCAGTTAAATGGCAACCATGGTCAGAAATCTCCTCTTCGAATTCGTAAGGTTCTGAGCAATACTAAAAACGTTATGGATAAAATTTAACAATATTAAAAAGTGATGAAATATAATTTATATTAAAGCTTTGAAGCACCTAATGAAAATTTTTCTCTTCTTTCACCACACACCTTCTTCTAACTCCTCTCACCAATAATAATTAGGCTATCTCTGCTGGCTGCAATGATGAGATGTCTTCAAATGTCTTTACTCGACGTGGTGCCATTGATAATAGTAATAGAAGCCTTTCCTTTTTTCACCGTGAAAGTCCATATATCGCTAGTCTAACTATATGTTCAAAGACTGTATCTTGAATGATCTATCACAGGGTTTGGCAAATAACGAAAAATGACAATTCCTGTGATGGGTGAAGAAGGGCGTGCTAACGAGTAAAATAGATGACACCGTGCAGGTGTCTTTGAGCGAAATTTCGTGATAAGTCAATAAAAGTTTCATCAACAGAAAACGTCAGGTTTCATCAAAACGCGTTATCGGGATAGTAATAATCACTTGGCCGTTTAAGATTAGAGTATCTGAGATATTCGCTATATAACATTGGCCATGTTTCGTTACTGAATACATGCGTATAGTTAATGCGCGCTACAACAAGTTATATGTGTTTTTTTTGTTTTAAGGCGAATTTTCCGACAGCTTTTAAGAAATTTCACCGGAAGAAGGAAGACCTATCTAGCTGCAACTATCCGAGCTAGGATTTCTTATTTATTTGATACCAGATATGTCTTAGATAATTGAAGTTATATCCTTCCTGAAAAAATTAGCATCTAAAAAGAGAAGTATTTCGTTTTATTGATTTGAAAGCAAATTTTCTCTGCTGTCGAAATACTTCTTAACACATTGCTCATTCACTATAAGTAACAATGTTTATTTCTTAAGTTCAGTTGAGCAAAATCCATAAGCTTGTATTATAACTGAAATATTTTGGAGATAATGAATTCACAACTGTCCGCATTTCGGAAGGTTTTACAGTTTCACAGTTTCACATTTTTCTCATACACTGTCAAAATATTTTAGCAAGTCTAAGATTATTTTCTCTCGAATATCATCGTACTGGGTGACCAGCCAAAGCGTCCAGTGCTATCGATAGAATCACATATAGTAGTGAAATTCATATAATATGTAAAATATTTCGTTGCCGATAGCGGTAATGATAAATTTAATCAGTGCAACATCTATTTCTTGATAACAATTCCATAGCATTCAAATATCCGCAGAAAAGAACATTTTAAAAAGAAAAAATATTTCATGATAGAAAAATATTATTAGTGTTTCTACTGATAAAATTTTTTCCAGTTAAATACACAAAAAATTACCTTGATAAAATTGAGGGATACCGTATTATTCGTATTTTTTTCGCAAATCGACCATTTGCTATCGAATTCGAATCCGCTCTTGCAGCGACATTCTTGAATGCATGATGAAGATGGAGGAAGTTTTTGGACGGTAATAAATATCATATTAATACCACACTTGATACCACTTAAACGACAATCAGCATCAAAAAATCTGTCGCCAAATGTACACACTTTTCCTTTGCACTAAAAATCGCTTGTTTTTTTTTTCTAAAATTTGCTTAAATCATAAAAAATATAACGCTAGAAATGAAAATTATTAGGAACCGGAGAAGATTTTTCCAGCGAAATACATCGATTGTTTTTTTCGTAATATCCATGCGCGCATATACATCTCACAATACATTCGAAATTTGTAGTGAATGTTCTATTCGAAACTATAGTGAAGACCATATTTCGGCCACATGAACGCCCTTTCATCACACATCCAAAATCGTAAATTTCTTCCATAAGCTTGCACAATCCACGCATACAATTAAGCACAATTTCCTCACGCTAGAAAGAAAATTTTTTTCATCTTATCATCTTATCTGTTTCATTTTATCAGTGAAAAAATCAGCTAACATTTTTCTGCATTCCCTCTTGTGTTATATTTTGATTTTCATCTTGATGGCGTAGATTAAGTGCATTTCTCTTAATGCATTCATCATCTGCTACCATGGACTCATTATCACAGACGCAATATTGAACACATCGATTAGTCATCGCAAAAGAAGTTGGACTAAACACCATGTTCGCACCACATTTCAGACCAGTCATTTGACATTCCTCATCGTTTATTTTATCGCCAAGTTCGCAAGCTTCATTTTCAAAGCATCGTCGATTTCCAACAAATTCTTCATCATTCTCAAATTCTTCAAGATGAGTAAACTAGCAAATAATATTGATAAAGCCATATTAATATTTATTATTCTTTCGATATCTAATTTCCAAATTGGTCAATTCTCAAATTATGTGTAATTTATATAATAATCATAATAATTAGTTATTGCCACAATTATTCCCATAATTATTTCGATTATTTTTAAATATTTTCCAAAATTATGTGAAAAACCTTGGAGTTAATGCCTATGAATCTTAGATTATGTTCCCTTATGATAAATTTGCCCTGATCATCTTGTTCATTTCAAAATATTCAGGCGAATGAGCTAATCGAACATACCTTTTGAATGTCAATCTCTTTAATACACTGGCCGTTTTGTTCGTTGTAATTATTTTTACAGGAGCAACGTTGAAAACATTCTTCATCTTCATGCCGCAACAAGAATGGAATATCATAAAATCGTACGACTGGACGAAAAACCATATCATTTCCACATTCACTGTTTGTTGATAAGCATCCAAAATCTTTTAATATTTGCCCGATTTTAAGAAATTTCGTTAACAAGTTATTAGTCGTTTGAATGAGTTTCTGAAATATTTTACTTATTCCATTTTATTATTATTATCACCAAAACTTTATTGATTTACTGAATTGATTTAATTAATAGATTAGATCACTTTATCACTTAGATTATCATTGAAATATTGTAACAGTTAACCAATTTTAATATGATCATAATTAATAAAATGCATTTTTAACAAAATTTTTCCTATTTTTTATTAATGAACAAAAAAAGAGAATCTGTTTTAAAATGCAATAGTTGATGAACTCCAAAAAAATTTATGTGAATAATTAATGCTATGAATAAAGACAAATGACAAAAGACAATTAATGCTATGATTTAAAGACAATAACTTAAGAATTTAATGAAATCCTAAAGAAATTCTCATAAAAACCTGTTTATTCTTTTTTTTATTTTCACATTTTCCATTTTTTTCTACGAATTCTTTGTTTGCACATTTACATTCTTGAATACAAATCTCGTCATTAAGTTGTTGCACAGTTATGAATTTCATGTTAATTCCACACTCCAAACCACTGAGTCTACAGCCATAATCATAAATTTTTTTTCTTAGCTGACAAAATCCTCCTTCACAATACCACTAAATTATCATTTATTATCGAACGAATTTGAAGAACTATTTTTGAAATATATATAATAATTATTATTAATTATTAAAATATTTAAAAGTAGTTTCAGATAAATAAAATTCTTCAACTATACTTTAAAAAGTTTTGAAAAAAAGCTGCCTTCTCTCAAAATTTTTTATATTCTTTGTCGAATTCACTAATTTTCACTAATTTACAAAACATTCATCTGATTTTTATTATAGTTAAAAAAAAGAAATGAACTTTTTTCATGCATTGTCCATTTTTCACGAAATATTCAAAATTTTCTTCGCAAGTACATTGTAAGATGCATCCTATAATGTGGCTTTGATTGTTGATATCCTTAAAAACCTCCATAGGAACAAATCTCATATTGGTTCCGCACACGTGACCAGCCAATCTGCAGCCAATGTCAGTAATCTCCTGCGCATGACTATAGTAAGCTTGTGGACAATACTGGAAAAACAATTTTTAAAAAATTTAATTAATATTACAACAAATAAATTAATACTATTATGTTATGCTATAATACAATACTATTAATATAGATGATGAAAATAAAAATCAGTGAGTGCCATTTGATGCCATATATTAGTCCTCAAATTTATCATATTCATTGATAGATACGTGAAAAGGTGAAGTATAATATATGTAATTGCGTGAATAATTTTTTTGTTGGATGGAAATACTAAAATTTCGAAGTGAAATTAATCATCAAATGGCAAAAGTTACTTCAGTAAAGCTATGTGATTGCTTTTCGATTTTAATTTTATCTCTCTTTTTCTCGCAACTAATTGATTTAGCGACATATTCATGTGTAGTTTTGCAAGTGCATCGTTGAATACAGTTTCGAGGTGCCATCAATGGATTAAACTTTTCTTCAATAATTGGAATGAAAATCGCATTTTTTCCACATTTATTCCCAGTTAAACTACAATCGACATCGAAAATTGTTTCACCAATTTTGCATATTCTTTTATTTCCACACTAAATTTATTTAATTATAGGAAAATAATAGAGAAAAAAATAAATAAAATGCATGTAAAACATGCGAAATAAGAATTGCAATACGAGAAACAATACCAAAAAAAGCGAAATAAACACAAATATTATAGCTAATATTAACAGTGGTACCAACACTAATAATGAATCGTGTTTGAAAGAATTCTTTGATAACATTTCTAAGCCTAAGCTTGTTTTTAAACTGGAGAAAAACGCATGCTATGAGTTTAGCTGGCTGACTGATTTGAAATTATTGAACATTCGTCCGTTCCTATTTTTTGGAGTCCAAATTTGTGATCCTTACCACACTTAATAGCGCATTGTATTTTCGAATAAATTTAAAAGAATGATCACAGAAAAAAAAACATCATTAGATAAAACTAATAATTTTAAAGTACAGAAATCTGCAATCGGTAACGAAAACTGTTCAGAATGAGAGGACAAGGTTTCGGTCCAACAAACTGGTGGTTTGCGTGGCTTCAATTCTCCTAGTAATACTAAAAATTAAGCAAGCACAACGAATCAACATCTTATTTTTTTCTTAATATTTATTAATGCAACTAATTTTCTTCTAAAAACTTTTTGTAAACTGAAATAGTAATAAGTATTTAAGATTTTTCTTATAAATATTTCTTATGGATATTATGATTGCAATCACAGAAATCACAATAATAATATGTCAAACGCTTAGTTTATCTTTACCCATTCTTGTGGCCAGTGGAACCAACCTAACCAATAATGTTAAGAGTTGTTAGAGAAAGAAATCATACGTACCGAATTATAAAGTTCTATAGGAGAAATGCTTTCTTTAATGCACTGATCGTTCTTTTGGTAATATCCATCTGCACATTCACATCTCATCAAACATTCGATATTCATATATCCAATTCGCTGTTTTTTAAAAATCGTCTTAAATATCCTATTTGTCCCACAGAAGATCCCTTTTAACATGCATCCAAGATCAGAAATTTCTTTCATGAGTGTACAATTTCCACGCATGCATCTGATTAGACTGTCCTATAAGAAAAAATCACAACAAATTTGTGTTGTAGAAATAAATTCGCGGCGATGGGCTTGTATATCTTATATTTTGCGGGGCTGTACTATTGAATATGAAAGATTAGGAAGATAGAGAAAGCTTGGATGTGGTTTGAACCATTGTTGTGGCCTATATTAATCGCTCGCCTTAACTATTACCACAGCACAGATATGTATACAATAAAATCACACAAAGATAGAATGAAAAATTTTTGTAAAATTTTGAAAAATGTTGAAAAAAAATTTTTTGACATAAAAAAATTATTAAAAAAATTTGCTTTCTTGGCTACTTGGTATGGGTCTTGACCATAGATCCTCTAGCAGAAGCCTACAAGCTTGAATTTTCAACCCAATACTTCAATGTTTTCTTGGACAGAGATGGTGTTGCTGGGATCTGAAGGATCGCTCACTTTTTGCTTAGAGATCATAACTTCTGCATTGCTGTTGCCATTTTGGCCTTCATTTTCCACGCCTCCTCCAGTTTTTTTTTCAGATATAGATATTCCTCTACTTCATATTTTTTTTCCCCGGTCTTCCTATCATTTGATGTTTCTATTGTTAATCTGTCTTCACCATCGTTTTCTAGTCCTTGATCTCCATCTAATCGTCTTAACTTCCGCTCAGTTCATTATCATCCGGCTATATTTTTCCAATTTGAACGACATCCAACTGTTAGATGAATAAGAGAGTCAATGCCTCATTCACTCTTAAAATATAGCCCACTCATGCAAAAATATCCATGTTTTCTAGCAGCCCTTTAAACAACAGTCTATTCTGGTCACCTGGTGCTGCAGTCTCAGTTGTCTACTTAGTACTAGATTCAATTCATGCGATTAAAACTCTAATGTCCTATATAAGATGCGCATCACGACTACTGCACTATTCCTGCACCTTGAGGGCGCATTCAAATAAGAATTTGTTTGGTGAAATATTTTAGGTATGTGCATTGCATCGGAAACTTGTTTTTAACTATATATAAATATTATAAATATTAAACAAATCCGAGGAATCCAAGGAACAACAGAGATCAGAGATCTCTATCCAGGAGATTAAGAAAAGTCAAAATATTGCGCAGAAACGTCAACTCCACAGGCCTTCGATAGAGAAACCGAGTTTAAGTATTACAACCATTAGAACCCACGGTGGGTAAGAAAGAGATTTCATTCTATTGTTTTTCCATAGTATCCGATGGTTCAAAAAATTTATTTTTTATAAATTTGCTTGCTATAACCTAGTATTAAATAATCCTATAACTAATTTAGATTTACCTGTTCATTTGAATCTTTGTCAATCTTTTTAATACAATTGCCATCTTTTTCTTCATATTCATCAGTTACACATGAACAACGCTGAATGCATTTTTGAGAGTTGAATAAATTTTTTGATTTATTGAGCTGCGCAATTGGTTTAAATACCATATTTATTCCACATGTCGTATTGGTTAATCGGCAAACAGAATCATCAAAAATTTCACCAAGCATAGCATAACTGTGATAAAAAGCACTAACTTGAATGATGGCCTAAATCATTCGTGTTTTTAAGATCGATTGTTTAGATATTGTGGTTTTTTTTTGCTAAAACATTTATATTACTTTAAAAATCGCATAAATCCGTTTCTGTAGATATTAATAAATATTTATTGCCTGTCTAATAAATAATGAACGAACATAAGCTATTATCTGTTCTTCATTGCTTAAAAAAGATTGATAGAAAATTATTAATCATTTTGTGCTATTTTTCTTTTTTGCTGTATCGATAGGTCAGTGGCAATATAATTACCATCAGGAATCGAGATTTGGTTTCGAATCCACCAGTTCACTCTTTGCCGATATCGATATCGCCTAACAGGGAAACTCAAAGGACAATTTTAATGATATTCAATTTTATTTATATATATATATCTCCTCAAGAATTTTCTAAAACATAGAAAATTCGATACTGAATAAAAAAAAACTCACAATTATAACCGCATATGACCACATAGTTGAAATTTTGACGTATGAAATGTTATGCAGAAACTTTCATTTTTATAATCTACTTTAAATTATCATATTTCATTTTAAATTATAATTCGTATGATTTCGTCGACAAGTAGATTTTAGAATTCACTAATTTTTAAAAAAATGTTGTTAAAATATTATTGTTGTGTATAGAAAAAAATCCGATTAATAAAACAGGAAAACCTTACTGAGATTTATAAGGATTCAGAAAACGGCGCAAATAGTGTTAAGGTAAAACGAAATACCTTGGAACTTATTGTAAAATTATATAGTAACAATTGAATTAATTAACTATATTGAATTATACATTATTGTGAAATTTTTATTAAATATTCTACGACTTTCGAATATATTTCGATAGAAACCTTTTCAGATCCGATTATCTGTTCATATCAACCGGAAAATAAAATATAATTTATTTGAAGAGGAATGAATGTAGTATTGGAAAAATTTAATGAATAATTCTAACGATGAATGTCAACCATCCAATAACCCTCCATGACTTCATGATTTTTTATTGATAAGCTACCTAGTCTCTAGTCTCTAAAGTTGAGATCCAATAGCAAATGCTAAAACTGCACTGCCCTAACTTCAAATTTTTAAAAAATTTTATTTCAGAATATGGTGTTCCAGATAAGGAATAGCTTAACCATGGTTGCAAGTTGTTTGCTATCCTAACATTAAGCTAAAATTCAGGCATATTTGTGCATTTGTTGCAAATCACGCAAAGTATAAATCATTACAAATCGTTGATATAGTTGACTTCAATTTAATTTGCAATCAATCGGATTTATTCCATGCGAAAATTTTATACGGAAGCGGAAATTTTATTCGGAAATTTTAACTATTTTTCTAAATATTCTAAATTTAATACAAAAAAGATATCACTGTATACTACACTACTAGCCATTTTACTTAAAAATTAAAATTAAAAAATTCAAAATTAAATATCAAAAGAATCTTAATATGCATACAAAATTTCATTAAACTGTTGCTATGAACTGATTATTTCATTTAAAAATTTCATTCATTATTTAAAAATTTAAAATTTAAAATTTTAACCAAAAAGTTTTCAGCTTTTAAGGAATGTTTTATAGTCGAAATACTGACTTTATTTCCCTAAAGCTAATCAAATTGACCATTAGAAATGAGAAGAAAAAAAAACTGTTCACTTTTTGAAAATTTTCGGCAATAACCGATTGAATGATTTTTTGAGATCGGATCAACAATCAGAAAAGAGGAAATAATTTTTAAAATTCATTTAGAAATAAATAAATAGTAAATAAATTATTAAACAAACAATGCAAACCTAATTTTCAAGAATCTAAATGGTACCGACGACCCACTCGTTATCATTTTTTTTTTGTCAGTGACAAGTGAAAAAAGCTTATTTGAAATTAATTTAATAAGTGAAAAAGAATATCTTAAGATGAAATATCTTTAAGAAACATTGCCATTTCGAATAAAAAGAATATTATGGACGAGAAATTTAGAATCCAGAAAATCAGGCAATAATCAGGAAATATTTCATTGCGTATTCATCTTCCAGACTCCAAATAATTAGGCGATGTTCCACCCTTTTTCATACACTCGCCATTCATTGCAATATATTCATTGCTAATGCAACTACATTCTTGAATACAATTTCTCGAATCAATTTTTTCCAAGATAACAAACTTCATATTCACACCACATTTAAAACTGGTAAGCGTACATCCATTATCAAAAATCACCTTTCCAAGTTTGCAGTATCCTCCTTCACAATACCACTAAATCACACGACGAAATATTATGCAAAATATATAAATTTAGTTGAAATATTTCATTTTTTAAAATAATTTAGAATATAGCATTTTGCTTCTTATAAAATCAAACAAATTAGTTCGGTCATGTTGAAATCAGGTGTAAATATAATCAGAAGTTGGAACTATCTCTATTCTCCTATATTCTCAAAACGAAAGAATCATCAGCGAAGGTAGCACTAAGCAATATGTTAGCATCGCTTCTTTTCACTAGCTGTTAAGGCATTTTTTTAGAGAATTAGCTGAAGAGTTAAATACAAGTGAATCCTCAGTCTAACCAAGATTTTTTATCGACAAGTTTGTTTCTGTCAGAAATGCTGGCTGAATCATGGTACTTCGAAGTGATAATTTGAGATTTATGTTTAATTTTTGAATTTTGTTCCATACTGTCATAACAAAAAGAAGGGAGGAACGAAAATCATTACTATTAACCTTAAAAAGGTCTTTACCTCTTTAATACATTGTTCATCATCTTCACTATAATCATAGCCTTCTGCACAAATGCATCGTTGTGTACAATCGGTGTCAACATTTTCGACAGAACTGAATACCATATTTGGTGCGCATTTTTGACCAGTCAAACGACAACCCGAATCAAAAATTTCCTGTCCATATTTAAAATAATTTGGTGAGCAATGCTGAAAGCGATTCATTAAATATATTAATAGGGAAGTAGAGAGAAATGTGATTGGAAAATAGCAGTTTTTTATAGTTTCATATCAGAAGAGGAGATCAGAACAACTTAAAACCTTCCTCAAAATATTTCTAACTATTTAGAAGTTACCTCAATGAAATTGATGTGAAATATCCCGTTTATTGAATGAATCGTTGCTTTTTTTTCGCATTGGAAAAATTTTTCAATAAATTCATCATTTTTACAACTGCAACGTTGATAACAATATTGAGAGTTTGATGCAAATATCGTTCCATGAGTGGTGATAACGAATATCATATTTGTTCCACATTTTTGTCCAGTTAAACGACAATTTTCATCAAAAAATATTTCACCAACTGCACAAATTCGATTTGTGCACTAAAATCAATTGGTAAGTTGAATTTTATAAAAAAATTGTTTATTTTAAAAGAAAGAAGCAATGGTTATTTTTTCTTTAGGTTCGTATAAGCAGAATATCTTATCTTGTCTTCATATCTTATCAGAATATCTTGAAATTGCACATCAAATCATTCAAAAAGCTTTTATATCTTACTGGATTGTACTGAAGAGGAATAAGTTGACGTTCCTTCGGAATGCATTGCCCATTTTTTTCGTAAAATTCGCTAGCACATCCACAAACCACAGTGCATGAAACACCAATAATTTCGGTATCTCCGAGTTCTTCTCTACCAATTATTCGGAATGTCATATTCAGTCCACATGAGCGTCCTTGCAATCCGCAACCATAATCAAGGATTTTTTGATGAAGAGAGCAAGTTCCTTTCAAACAATTTAACAAAACATGCTGAAATTATATAAATAATCCAATATCAAATAACCTATTTCTTCATATAATAACTCTCACCACTATTAATTAAGCTGATTCCGCTGTTTACAACGGTAAGATTTCCAGTAGTTTGATCTGCTACCATTGCAGAAAGTAAAAGTCATATATTATTGCACCGTATAAATTCATATATCGCTGGTTCTCTTGTTCAAAATTTTCAGGATTACATCAGTCCAACTCCTGCCTTTCACGTATAAGCCACACGGCATAATAAGTAAAGAAATATTTAACAACTCCTGTGATGGGCCTTAACCAGTAAAAGCAATGTTCTAATTCAAGATATTTGAAATCAGACAACAATTTCCTCAACAATTCTTTAAAAATGAAAATATGGCACTTTATCAGTTTCATGAATATAAAACGAAAATATTTTTTGCATTAACTCTGAATTCTGTTCTTGCTGCAGTTGTTGACCAATCAAAAAGGATTACGTTGTCAGCGTATTCAAAATTTGTGGTACTGTGCCCTGAACAAATTTGTATAAATTCTCTTGTGGACCGAAAAGCGATATCAGTTATCCATATCGCATATTTTAATCGCACAGAACGCAGCCTCGAAGGATAGCAATTCTTATTTCCTTTCTTATATATATAGACGTGTTCAAATGTACGCTGATAAAATACCTTAATGAGTCGAATGATCTATCATAGAACATCGTCACATTCAGCGTTCCTCCAAAGTTCTGTTATATCTACTGAGTCGAAGGTAGCTGCTATGAAAAATATAACGGTGGATTCCAGATATTTCAAACGATGATCCAACATTTTTCTTAACGTAATAATCTGGTCACCATAGTAGCCCCGATTTGTTCGAGTTCGCTTAGGATGCATCTCGTTGCATCATATTGCCATTAAAAAATTTTTCCGAAGATATCTATAGGCTGATTCCTCGTATCACAGCATGTCCTATCACCTTTCTTAGAAATTGGAAGCTGAATTGCTCATCTGGTGTTATTTTATTCTTCCATACCAGTGAGTACATTTGTTGAAGATAGGTTATGAAGGACTTTGGGACAACCACTTTAAAGAGTTCACCTTTTTCTAGAGTTTTATTCTTACGCTTGTGTATGACAGATTATTTTCTTTTCTACCAGCGATTCACAATTGCAAGCGTGCGGCTCGACAATCCGCTAGAATAACAGATTATGCAACGTGGTTAAGATTGTAATTTCGTACTATTTTACTGATCAGACTTATAGCTGATTTATGAAGATGGAAAAATTCAAGGCCATCTCGCTCCAATAGTGGTTTCTGTTGTCACTATAGTTCTTCATATTCAAATATCTCCTGAAATTCGTGCTTTGCCTTTTCAGGGAACTGGAAAATTGCTTCCGATACGAAATTAGCGCATTTCCTAACAGCAAATCTATCGTGGAGTCAAGTATAGTTTTTCTGTTCAAAACGACTCACGACGTAAATTATAAATATCAGTATCTACTGATGGTTTTGGTCAATTTTATATATTGTATCCTCTCGCATAATTTGGGTGTATTATATTATTCATGGAAATTTGGATTATTGGTGTTCTATATCATGTGATTCTTACTATTCACTCTTCGATAACATGGTCGCCTTCCCGACATAGCTGTATACTTCACTGATTTTAAGATATATTTATTTAATTTGATCCAGTGCTCATCTGCCGCTTCGCACATGTTAATGATGTTCATTTCACTCAGATGCTTCAATGATTGAATTTGAAATGCACTCACTGCTCCCGAATCTTTAATTTAACAAAACTGAAAGATCTTGACTCAATCAAAACATAATGAGCCTTTTCAAGCATGACAATCGTAACGCCATTTCGCCAAAATAATGATAAAGCCACTACTTCTCTTCAGAATAGTTACTCGAAGCCCGAAGGAAAATAGATGTTATCCACATAATAAATTAGAAAGATTGTGGGCAATTACCACTTGATTCGCAAGTTTTTTCATTTTTTCATTTTCATTTTTAAGTTTTTTAACGTCCCACGCTGTTACAGTTCACCATGCGTACAGAGAATCGTTACTAGATTTCGCGCAGTTGCTCTGGCTCATGGACATATTTTATTTACAAGGCTTAAGATGATTTCATGCTTTGATTGTGCATCTATCACCTGTATCACTACATATGGACGCATGGCGCCGTGTCAAGGATATTAAATCCTTTCGTCATAAAATCACTTTGGGACAGAGTTGTAAACTTCAAGTAATCAACTGAATTTTAACTGATAACATGGCAAATTTACTCTTATCATCGAAGACATGGAAAAAAATTGGGAAAGGAATAAAAAAGAATTAAAATATATATGAAGTGTCGGCGATTGTATATTTTAAATATTAACGCGTGGTTTTCATTTATTTTCATTTACTATCCGACCGCTCACAGTCGATCAAAATTATAAATCCAATATCGAATAGAACTAATGCAGCTCTTTTTTATTGAAAAAAAAAAACTTAACTCTTTTCTCTCTCCTTTTCGGTTCGTCAAAATTATTGAAGATTACCGAAGAGTTTCGTTTAGAGCATTGTTCGCTATTTGTTACAAAACTTTCATTATCGCAAAGGCAATATTGTATGCATATATTCATTGGTAAATTTAACACGAATGGAATGAATTCCATATTAATTCCACATTTTTGACCACTTAATTGACAACCTTCATCAGTTATACTATCGCCGAGTGCACAATTTGCGTTTTTAAAACACGGCTGATCAATTGCAGAAATGACCTTCAAATAAAATATGTGCAATAGATATTGTCCAATATTTAGCAGCATAATTTAAGATAAGGGATAGAATGGCTCAGGGGGTTGTCGCTCAATTGGGATCACCGATGCTGAGGTTCGATTCCTTTTAGGAGCAAACCTGCATAAAAATCTGGGTGACACTGGTGATTCACCTGTATTTTTGTCGCCTGGCATATTGCCTAATTGCGACAAGAAAGTGGAGCGAGTTTAACCAGTAATGGTGAGGAAAAAAAATTTAAGATGCAGGAAGATCAGCAAGTGTAGAGTTGAACAACACTCGAAGACGTATCAAATAGCTGGTCTATCAGCTTAGGCTCACCCAAACCCAGATGAGAAATTCCTCACAAAATCATAACAACGTGATACTGTGGAATTTCTTCACCTTATTAAGTAAACAAGTTTACCAGACACAATAGGCAATAGGCAAGGACTAGAAATTAGCATTGGTGATAGCAATATCAAGTGACAGATACTGAGAATAAGCAATGTGAGAAGCTAAAGAAATATCGAGGACTGAAAAAAGGACTCGAGAAGATGGGGAAAGGGAAGCCAAGGTAGTCTTAGATACAGTATGAGTATTAGCAATTGCGACTCGTAAACCAAAAATGCTAAGAATAAAGCAGAATCCTCCAATTTCAAGGCCTGAGGTCTCATGTCAATCACAGTGCATGGCAGAGGGGCTTTTATATTAAATAAATATATGTATATATAATGAAATAGCTTCTAATTATGATTCTCGGCTAAACGAAAATATATTTTCTTCTAAATTTCATCTAATTTTTTGTTCTTCAATTGAATTATTTATTTATTTTGTGCATAATCTCATAGAGTTTTGCATGATTGTCACCGTTTTTTTTAAAATAATAATTCGACTAACACTTGCAGAATTGTTACCGGTATGGGCGAAGTTTCGTAGTTCGTAGTTGCAGTCCTTCTTTCAATACATTGTTTTTTTTTCTCTATGTATATGTCGCTTATACACGAACAACGTTGGACACATTTGTTATGCCATACTGAATTTGTTACATTATAGAACTCAATGATTGGACGAAAAACCATATAATTTCCGCATGTAGTATTGGTTGAAGAACAGCCAAAATCTTCGAATAAATGGCCAAGTATAAGAAGTCTGCGACGGAGTTTACTGGGTTCAGTTGTTGCATAATCCTTTAATTCTTCTTGTTATCTTGCTTATCAAAATTATATTGTTGCGAAAGCGAAAGTACGAAAGTAAAAAAGCTTTATCAAAAGTGGAAAATGGACTCGATCCAGCAGCTTCAACAATCATTGTTCAAAGAATCATTGAAAAGGAGGGTAATAAGGTATTTTTCATTAATTTTTAGTGATACGTCGATGGTAATCTAGCCGATGGTATTGTTGCATTCTAACGAAATAAATTTGGTTTCAGATAAGGCCGAGCTTTCGTGTGCATGGGAATAATACCGTGATACTACGAAAGGAAAAACCATCTGTTTTTTAGATAAATTGAATCACAGATTTTCTCCCCATTCAGTGGGCTTTTATTTCTTTCAAAGGACTATTCACCTTTGATATCAGCTCTTGTGTTTTTCATGTTCAACACTCTTTGCTTAGATTTCCTCTCATTTTCTTTTTAAAAAGTTTTCTCATTTTTTCTCAAAAAGTTTTTTCAAGTTTTCAAGTTTTCCTTTTTCTCATATAATTGAATCTCTTTTACTGATTCGATATATGGTCTTCAAATCTCAACCCACCGTATATTTTGATAAACTGTCTTATCAATACTCTCTTCTTTTTACTCTTTCTTTCATCAAAATATTATTTGTTGATAAAAGTGATAAACTGATAAAATAAATAAATTTGTTCGAATCCAATTGCCAATTTTATGACCACACAAGTAGCATTCTTCTTTTACAATCTCATTTCATTAAACTGACACATATTAAACTGGTATTATAAAGTATTAAAATTTGAAAATTGAAGTTAAAAAATTTTAAGCATCATTTTCTAATGTTTCAGACATAAGTAACAAAACTATATCCCATACTTATTGCACGATATAATTACTGCAATTACGGGTAGGGCGGTACCAACCAAATTTATTCTCCAAAATGGGAAAACACCTTATTCAACCATTTCGAATTTCTTAGAAAAAAAGAATAACCATGAATTTCCATGAAATATTTCAATATATAAGCAATTTATTAAATCATATCTCGATAATCTAGACTAAGAAACTAAGAAATACCTTAGAATTGGAATGTAAAAAGGTGAAATGGCAAAAAAAAATATTTTCCTGAAGAAATTTTCTATACCTTTATAAGGCATTTACCATCGCGTTCGATATATTCAGCACTTTTACATTTGCATATTTGAATGCAATATTCAGCGTCGTTGTTTCTTTGCACGGTGACGAATATCATATTAATTCCACATTCAGTATCGGTTAGTGCACAATCATAATCATAGATTTTTTTTCCAAGCTCACAATATCCTCCTTTACAATACCACTAAATTATACGTTTAATGCGAAATGGCATTTTAATTAGCTTTTTAGTTACCATAAATTGTTGCGTGAAAGAAAATAATACATACTTTTTTAACACATTTTCCATTTTTTTTATAATATATAAAACCTTCTTTACATCGGCAACTTTGGACACATCCTATAATAGTATCCGAATTTTCGCTAAAATATTGCTCCATGGTAACGAAAATCATATTTTCCCCGCATTTTAAGCCAGTCAAACGACAACCGATGTCGGTTATATCTTGTTCGAGATTATAAATGGCGCGTGGACAAAACTGAAATTTCCATATATGAATGAAAGTCGTCATTCTTCCATGATCAATTTTCATGAATTATTATCATATTAGAATATCAATAAATGGTGAATAACATTAATTCATTCAACTAAATGCATAGATTTATTCTTTTATTTGCTAGAAATTTTCCAAAAAAATTCATTTGTATTTTGTAAATTAAATAATATAGAAACAAAATGCTTTTGATCTTAAATAACCTGAAGAATGTCATTTGATGTCATTTCTTGCTTTAATCGAATTTCATCCCTTTCCTCACAATGAAATGCTTTCGGAACAAAGTCCTCGCTTTTACAAGAACATCGTTGGATACAATATCGCGATATTGATGGATAGTTTATTCCTTGGCTAATGATTTTGAATATCATGTTAGTACCACATTTATGCCCAGTTAAATGGCAACCTGCATCAAGGACTATTTCATTGGGTTTGCAAGGCTCCATGTCGCACTAAAAGACTTGCAAATTGACAACGGTGAAAAAGTTCCTTGAAAGGCCTTGGATTAAAAATTAAAGTCTTCATTGCAAATTTTATAATGAATTGAACATAAAATGCAACTGAACCATAAATTAATATATGTATTTAATATATATATAAATTCAACAATAAAATTTAAATAGAGGAAATAGCAAATAGCAAAATTAAAAAATGAATTTTTCAAACCTTTATTTCAAGAAATCCTCAGGGAAAAGCTTTATTTCCATTAAATATAGATATGGCTATAGATGTTTCCATTAGATGAAAAGTTAATTAAATTATTGCTCTCTTCCTTTTAAAAATTATAGAGGAACATTCCCTGTGAGACATTCTGTACACTACGCTTTTGAGGGCCAAGATGGAATATCTGGTCAACACATCCGTATTCTGTTCTGAATCCAACTAGGTTAAGCTGGCGACAAATAAGCCATTGCTTTTTTTAGACTATCGGAAAGGAGTATCTTCGGTTAATTTTGAATGTCATCGGATCGAGTTGATCAGGTTTTATCCTAGTCTTCAGTGCAGCAAATTAAACTGGCGATAGTTCGAACTATTAAAAAGGAAAAGGATGATAAAATATAGCCATTGTTTCTTTTACATCGGAAGACATTGAGCAAAAATCTAGATGAAGCATCAAAAACGAAAGAAAACCATCTAGAAAAGTTGTTAAGAATGCGACATTCTTAAAAGCCCGTCTGGAGTCAGATTCTGAAAATGGAAATTCTCATTGTAAAAACATGTGGCGAGAAGTTCCCATAATGAAGAGATCACTGAGGCGATAATGCAAAAAAGTGCAAAAGTGCTTTCTAGCGCTATTTTCATTTCTATTCTATCATCTTTATCACTATAAAAAAGAGAACATATGAATTGTCTGAAGAAATATAAGAGGAAGAAATATTTTCCATGTCATTATCCTATATCATTTATCATTTTATTATCATTCATTATCTTATTATCATTTTTATGTGTTTATGGTTTGATTACTTACATCAAGAATATAACTAATTATGGTATATTTATGTACCTTCTTCTTCCAACAGCTCTCACCATTACTGGTTAGGCTGACTGGCTATAAGGGTAAGACATCTCGGTCTCATGCTAGTAGTAATAGAAGCCATTCCTTTTTTCCATCGTCTAATATATCATATATCGCTGGTCCTGCTATGTACATTCAAATGTATTTAACTAATTTTATACAAAAAAAGCGCATTCCAAATTATATATTTATATCAATTTTGAATGGTAAAAAACCACCTGACAATCATACGGTTTTACATTCTTATGATATATTTGTTACTGTTAAAGAATAAAAAATAAAAAAAAGAAATGAAATTGAAATTACTCACCGGATTGTAAGCATCTACAGAAATATCACTTTTTTTAATGCATTGCCCGTTCTTTTCGTAATGCCCACTTATGCATACACATTTCACAATGCAGTGAAAATAATTTGAGTCATTTTGAACGCTTAATTTATGAGCAGTAATAAATATCATATTTTGTCCACAAGAACGCTCTTGTAATAAGCAATCCGTATCGAAAATTTCTTGCAAAAGTGCGCATTTTCCACGTAGACAACTATCCAAGCTTCGTTCATGCTGAATATCAAAATTTTTTTAAATTTTTTTTAAAATTATTTATTTTATTAAAGTTTATTCAAGAATAAAAATAAAAGCAATATTTTTTAGATAAAAATCTGCCTAGTATTTGTCGAAAAAAAAACCGAAAGAATTTCTTATTAAAAAAACCATTTCAATGTAATTTGCATATAAGAGCTCAATCCACATATGGGAAGAAAGAATCAGTTGAAGCCGAGCGTAAGGAAAGAAAGAAACGTGATGAACGTGAAAATTTCAACCAATTTTTCCTCTCAAATTAGAATTCAACGCGAGATTCTCCATCTTTAAATTAGCCCGATTCGTCTTCTTGATCCAATTATTGTACTAACTTGATATATTGTTACTATTCCATGGCAGTTCCATGGTAAATGAAAAATAATTTTCTCTTTCGACTTAGGACAATATGATTTGTTTTTACTTATATTATTATTGAGAAGTTAGAACAGTTAAGGCCATAGTATTTTTTAGCCGCTGAGGCTAATCCATCGATGCCTCTCACAAAAATTAGTATTAGTCTTTATAATTCTTCGTTGAAATAAGTAAGTAAGAAAAAAGCAAATATAATACTGAAAAAGCGATAAACAACGTTTTTCTTTTGCTTTTTTTTTATACAAATTATTTCGTTAATTGTTAATTATTAATTAATAAATTTTTATTATTAATAAATAATTTTTATTATTAAATTATTCATTATTAAATTATTATTTTTTTATTAAATTACTAAATTATTTTTTGTTATTATTATTTATTTCCATTTTATTTCCGTTAAAATTATTTCCATTAATTTTACCCTCATATTATTTGGCTAATTGGCATAATTATTTCTATATTGTATGGCTTCATTGGCTACTAAAATAAGCAGCTTAGATGATTTACGCTTTTTTTTTCCATAATATATAACTCTTCACAATTGTAGGCAATTGTAAGCGTTTTCTAATATTTTGAAAAATTACCACTGTGTTCTCTGCAACTTTCTTTTGTTCAATACATTGCCCATTAATCTTCTTATAATTATCTGTCATACACGAACAACGTTGTAAGCAGCTGTTATGCCAAAAAAAATCTTTGAATGTATCATACCATGCGAACGGAACGAATATCATATTTTTTCCGCATATAGTATAAGTCAGTTCACAATCGAAATCTTCGAAATCTTCTATTGCTGATTAGATTGCTGGTTCCACTTAGTTAATCAGACGATTTGCGCCAGAGAATTATCAATATCACTGAATTCATAAGAACTTTAAAACTTTTATATTAAATTATATATTTATATTTTAACCTAGTTTTCAATAATATTTTTCAATAATATTCCTATTTTTCAATAATATTTAATTTGAAATTTTTCTTCTTTATTTGAAAGCACTGCTGGTTTGACTCGGCTAGATTCAGTGGTGATTAGACTGGACTTGACGGATTAGGTATGAGTAGAAAGGGCGATTCTATCGACATACATATGAGTCGCCAATATTTCATTTTGTATGAATTGATGATTAGAAGTAAATAGATTAGTAACTGTCTCTTTGACAAGTGAATATCTTAGTATGTCTTTAAAATATACTAAAATATGTCTCCTTAGTCTCCTTAAGATATAAGATAGTCTTCTTTCATCACATATTGTTCTAATAACAATAGTGCCGGGCTGCCCTGATTCCACACTGATTGATGTAGTTTCAGTAGCCCGTTTCTTATCAGATAGTGCCAAAATTTGGCATGAATCTTGCTAATCTAAGCGACAACCGACTCTATATGCGATTCTCACATTGTTATACAAATAAGCTTTCAGAGTTTCAGAACGTCTTAACCAAGAGTGTTAGCCTCGAGGGTGGAAAAAAGGGTTAATTGCGATTTGAACTGTCTTAGCCACTTCGCCATTTAGGAGATTATATAAATTATTCATACATAAAAAAAATCTTCCCTTTGTAAGTGGTATGGGTCACCTTCAATCTCAGGCCCTGTACCAAATGCTTGAAAGATTAAGGTGAGGCGGATAAATTTGCTGAGAGCCTCGTCCATCCTTATCAATACTATTCATGCGCTTATATAAAATGCGCTTATGTTCTTTTATAAAAATATACGTATATATCATATAGATTTTTTATACTTATATATTTGTTTTTAACACAGAGCATAGTGTAACATATCTTGAATAAGTTGATAATGCACTCCTTTTTGCTGGCAGTTATGATGAAATTATAGAGAGAATTGTACTCAGAGTCAATGTAAATGAAACGAAAGCCTTTTCGTCTTATATAGATGCTGATAAAATAACTATTTCTATGAATTCATCGCCGGTTGAGGCTCAACTTTAAATATTTTTTAAATCCACTCTAAGTCCAAATAGCATAGTAAAAAACTATAATGGTAGATTCTTCCTGTTGATGAAGTTTTATAGACTCGACACGAAATTGCTCTAAAAATGGAACGCCGAGTCTGCTAAACAGCTCTGCGATTTGCTCGATCTTTATATGGCTGGAAAATATGACTGATGAGAGTGGAGGACGTTAGGAAGGTATCTTGCTTTGACCACTCATGTCCAAAATGGATTTTGCGGGTAAAACCTCATATGATTGTATCCATATTTGCTCAATTGCCATTTGCATTAATAGTATCGTTATAGAAAATTGCCTTCGCTGGTTACAGTATAATTTGCTAAACCCTACGATGGATCGTGTCAAGAGCTAGTATACGCAATCAAGGCCCTGACTGATACGGATAAGCAAAATTTTACAGTACAGAGGGACCAGCGATATGTGGACTTTCTACAGTGGAAAAAGGAATGGCTTCTATTATTATCAAAGATGACATCGTGCAGCAGAAATATCTTTATCATATAACAAGCATAGCCATTAATGGTCAGAGGTGTTAGAAGAGATTAATATTTAAACACAATGAATTGCAGCCAATTATTCTATCTTTCCAATGCCTGTCCTCGCATGAGATCATATGAAAGTTTATCTGCCTTAACTCCATAATCTCTCAGATTTTAGTATAAGATTCGAAATTGAGAGCAAACACCACTCATAACAGAAGAGAGGAGGATTATTTTTTACATATATATGTTTCTCTAAAAAAAGTGGTAATTAATATGGTCTGAAACAACAACAGACTGAGTGACAGCCAACGCTCTTTCACTTTCCATTGGAGCTCTCGAGTGAGATCCTCTGAAACAGTGGAAACTTATTTTCAAATATGAAAGTGTAAACTGAGGTTTGAGCCGTTTGAGCCGCACAATGAACTCAAGTCATAAGCCAAAAAATAAAAAATATTAAAATAATAATAGTAGGGAAACAAATTTTAAAAAATGGAAAATAATGGAAAATGGAGTGAAAAACATAATAGAAAGTCAAGAAAATGCTGAATTGAAAATAATATATACAATACATACAACAAAATAATATAATTATGCAAAAATTCAAAAAATTAAATCAAAAATCAAAAAATTAAATAGAAATAAATCAAAAATAAAATCAAAAAATAAAAAAATATAATAGAAAATGAAGAAATTCATACAGCCTCATCTTCATTAAGATAAAAATATAAATGTATAAAGGAAATAAATGATGAAGACTATAAAGCAGCTAGAAATAACTTGATAAGTATGAAAACAGAAACCATGAATGAAACCATGATCATTACATTGACAAGGCGGTACCAAAAGATGAGACACTAAGAGAACTTCTAAAGTATCCAGATTCATGAAACGGAAAAGACCAAGTAGAGAAATTATTGTGGCAAGACCCTCTATGGATTGCACTATCGATAGTTAGAGATAGTTAATATTGAGGAATTTTTAAAAAGCAGATCTGAAGTTCGTAATATTGACATTCATAACAGAGAGACTTTAATCGCAGCAGATAGAAGTTGTACAAAAGAGAAACAATCCAGCACGTGTTAGCAAGAGATAAAAAGCAGGGATAAAACTGCCAAAACAAATATTAGCAATCAACGTACTGTTAAAGCGTACTGTTAAAAATATATGGGTAGTTTCTTTCATGATCTGTAAGAAATAGGATCGCAGGCCTGAAATTTATAATACTTGAGTTGAAGTGAATGGTAATAGATGCTTCGTTGAGAAGCTTTACGCCTACTTTTTGCCGCATACATTCCCAGTTTTGAAAATATATTGAACAATTTTATCAAATTTACTATTAGTAGTTGGCATCTTCCACTTATCTGTCATCTTTTAGGTCGATATTTCAAAATCGAACGAAGAATTTCAAAAGCATTGCCAAAAAAAAATTTTTTAAATTTTCAGCAAATATCAAGAAGAGAATCACAAATAAGTAAGACAACTGCGCTTTTTTTTTACGATTTTCTATGAAAATTCTTACAATTCGCTTAATAAAAAATAATTCTTATAAATTCTTATGAAAATTTTGAATGAAAAAGCGAACAGAAGAAAACAATGCTATGGATCTGACAATTTAAAACTATTAAATAATTAGCATAAATAGGAATGGAAACAAGTTTAAAAAATGAAAAAAAACATTAAAAAAGATAAAGTATTGAATAAAATGTTAAAATTATTATCGACAATGCTTGAAAATACAAAATTTGGCGCAAAATATAAGACTATGTGCTAAGACCATTTTCTATTGTGCTAACTAATGATGGGAGGTGATAAATGTATCGAGAGAAATGCATTTAATCTTTCTTATCAAATATTATGCATGAAAAAATGGAGTAAAATAAAGTTGATCATTTTATTAATTAAAATAAAATTATGAGAAAAAAGAAAATTTTTTTTTGCAATTTTTTTTTTTTTTGCAAATTTTATTTTACAAAAATTACTTCAATTTTATGCGTGAAAGTATATTGAAAGTTATGGAAGAAATTTTGGATATTTGTTGAAAAGGTGCATTTGTGAAAAAGAATTTGGTTCTCATGATTAATTCTAATAAAATATTCAAAGCGAAGATATCAACGATATTTTGTTCATTCGAATTATCTTAGGCATAAGATAAAGTGCGGAGATGATTTATCTCAAACTGAGAATGTAATTCTCTTCGGTTCTAATTGTTTGGGCGACTAGATGTTTCCCATTTAATAAGAATTTTCTTTTCGTCAAATCATACTTTCACGCTTTTCACAAATCATAGACCTTAAATATCCTCTCAACGACCATATTGCTATATTTCCCACTAAAATCCAGATCATCTTATTTAGTTAAGCCTCTAGTAGCCCTTCCCAAACTGCTTTGCTCTCTAGTATTCTGCAACGTGTGATGCAGTTTCAGCAGGACGGTTACCATCAGATAGTCTAGAAGGATCTCGGCAATTTTTACGGTTCCTTCTGATATTTCATTTGCTGAATTAGAAAGAATGGATGTTGGCTGCGATCTGAGCATATTTTCTTGCCATCCACATACGCCTGTCTTAACCACTGTTTCAGTTACCTATTTATATATTTATTTATATTTATCACATAATTTAAAATAGAAATAGAACAAATTTTAACGTGTGCAATTTTAGGCTCAAATTTTTTTTCTCTCGTGGTCAAATGATTTCATTAATTCATTTAGGCGCATAAATATATTTAATTATATATATTTAGTTATATTTAGTTATAAATATATAAATATTTAGTTATTTTTATTTGTTTATTTTATTTATTTTTTTATTTATATATATATTTATTTTTTGTTTTTGTTTTTTATAACCTTTTTTTACGATAAGTTTTTCATTTCAGAAATACCTGATGATCGGAAAAGCGAAACTTCTGAACGCAATTACCATTTTTTTCCTCATATTCATTAGATATACATGAACAACGCTGAATGCATTTTCCATAATTAAATAAATTTTTTGGACTAATGGTCTCCATAATTGTCACAAATTTCATATTTGTTCCACATTTTTTATTAGTTGATCGACAAGCGAAATCATCAATAATCTTGCCCAGCATAGCGTAAGTATGATGTATATCACTAAGTTGAATAATGACCTAAATTATTCTTAAGACTGAGACTAATATTGGTCACAAAATTTTAATTTTAAACCAATGAAAGTCACTTGTAATCCGCGAATCGTTGTTTCCCTCAAGATTTTATATTATTATATTATTTTAAGATTTATGCATACAATTTTTATGGATTAAGCAACGGATTTATTCGAATTAAGCTTGGACAAAATTATGTTATTATCATTGCTTTTCAGTAAATGTCGCAAAGTTTTTGCAAAAAATTGTGAATCATTCATCATGTACTAGTATAATATAATTAATCTAAATTATATTTCCACAGGCATTTGGGGGTAGAATGGCTCAGTGGGTTGTTGCTCGAATGGGAGCGCCGAGATTCGGTCCTCCGCAAAAGCAAACCTGTACAAAATCAGGGTGATGCTGGCGACTCACCTATATTTCTATCGCCAAGGTACTCCATAGTATATTGCTCAATGTGATAAGCCAGTGGAGCGAGTTTAACTAGTAATGGTGAGGACTCATTAAAAAATAAAAAATATTTCCATAAGCTGGTATTTCTCTGGTATTTTATTCGCAATAGCAAAATTTTCATTACAATTTTTACTGCAAAGCGATTTCATAATCTTTCAAAAAGATTTTTTGGGAGTTCAGTATAATTTAATTATAATTAAGCAATTTTTAATTATAATTTAATTATAATTGATTAATTTTTAATTACAATTTTTCATTATAAAAAAAAACTAACAATTAAAGTTGTATATGTCCACATTGCTACAATTTTAATAAATAAAACTGGCAGATAGTCGATTGCATTTATAATCCTCTTTAAATTATCATATTATATTTAAAATTTTTCATGAACCTCTATTAGAAAATTGAATTTATTAAATATTATTAAACGCATCTGAAAAAAGCGAATTAATAAATATTTGTAATTAAATTGGGATTTAAAAAAAAAGTAAATAGTTTAGTAGAGAAGCCAAGCCAAAAATCTCTTCCTCATATCTTGCGGATGATATGGCTCACTTTCAGCAAAGGTCTGGGCAGCTTAAAGGTTCTCAATACTTATCTAGGCGGAAATTCCTATGTCGTTCCTGCGGCAATTTTTCTAGTTTAGGAGACTCTGATTTATTTATTTATTGTAAATGATGAAAAAGTTGAAGTTAGAACAGAGGATGAAAAATTTTAAACTTAAATTTATTTAAACTGAATTTAAAACTGGAAAAAATTGAAAAAAGAAAATGCAAAAGCGCGAAATTAATAAGCAATTCCGAATACCTATGCAATTTTTTATCGGAAAAAAATCCTAAAATTATTTTACGAAATTCTTTGCGGCCATTTAGTTCACACCCTATGTTCATTATATTATAATAGCTAAGTTTATGTTATATATTTACAAAATACGGCCGATTAGCCGTAGCTGTGATTGAACTGCAAAATGGGATATATTAATATGAATATTGAGAATTGCTTCTATTTTTTGATTCTATTTTTCGAAAAATAGTATTAGTATTTTGAAAAATAGTATTTTGAAAAATAGTATTTTGAAATGATAATTAGTAATTTTTATTTTTTCTCATTCTTCTTTTCAATTTCTACCATCTCTACCATTAGCCTTTAATTAATTTAGCCTTTAGAAATTTATATGATCTTATTTTTTTAATTTTAAAAAATAATTCGATTTTTATCTGCAAAATGGTCAAAACCTCATTAGAGTTCAGAATTCGAGTGTGCTCAATGCATTGTTTAGTTTTCTCTCTTTGCATTTATCATTTATACTCGAATAATATTGGCAAATATTTTTTCATGCGATATAAAAAATGCATTTATAATTCCGTAAATAAAAAAAATTTTTTTGAATTTGAATTTTAATTATTATTTATATATGAAAAAATCTTGCATAAGCTGGAAAAATTATTTATTCAATAAATGATGGAAAATCAACAACAATATTTTTTCTGATTCAATGATTTGCCCTAACTAATATGTTTTTTATAATATTAGTAGCGTTGATTCTTAAGAATTTATTTATTTATTATTAGTATTATTATTAGTATTAAATCAAAAAAAAAAAATTAGCGGTCAGGGCCATTTATTATATCAATTTCTGTATAAATTTACTCTCTGTTCATGCAGTTGAAATTTTTGCACGAAAGTTACATAGCTTAAGCTTAAGCTTCATAGATGTACATATATATATATATACATATTTTTTAATATAATTAAATTTTTATATATTTTTCATAAATTATTAGTTTCTAATATGACGAAGAAATGGCGAAGAATTATTGAAAATGAACAATGAACAATTTAAATACTGTCATTCATTTATTGTCTTTCCAAATGTTTTTCAACATAAAAAAATTTAAAAATAAAATTTTGCAAAAAGAAAATAATTTAATGCAAAAAATAGAATTATTGAAAGTTTATTAATTAATACCATAATTAAAATATTAACGAAACGATACTAAAAATATTAATAATATATTGGCAGAATCGTTCATTTCTTTCATATAACTTTTTGGCAAAATTTTTTTTTTGATCCGATAAGCCAACAAGGAAAATTAACCAGGAATCATGTGCACTCTTATAGGAAAGCATAAATTTTTTATTATATTTACGTTTTATATCGGAGGTTTAAGAAAAAGTTTGCAATTCAATTCAAAGTTAACTTACAATTCAAAGTTATCAATTCAATAAGTGCTGCTAGAAAATAGATAATGTTTCGATTATTTATAGGACTTTTAGCAAAAATCTTTTCATAAAGCAGCTTATTAACCAATATAAATACTTTTTTTACATTGTAGTATATGAAATATGGTAAATTTTGAAAAATATTGGAAAAACCATTAATATCTTATGCGATTTATCTAATTTTAATTCGCTTTTCATTTAATTTTTTCTAAAAATTTTTTCTATTCTCAAAATTTCTTTTTTCATTTTTTTATAACTTATTTAAATTTAAATTTATATTTGATGAGCTTTTATCTTTTTGGAATATTTTTTCCATTTAAAATGGTATTATTGAAAGAAAAAAGAAAATTATTTTCTTAATCGCTGCAATGAAAAAATTTATAAATTTTTTCTTATTCATATTTTTTTTTAAAATATTTATATTTCTATATTATATTATTATTAATATTCAAGCGATGGCGTTCGATCACATCAAAAAATTTCGTTTCATTTAGGGTTGAAAGATGAATTTGTCGAGAGATGACTTTATTCACTTACATTTCACTAAATTGAATAAAATATGTTTGAAAAGCTATCGTACTTGCCATCTGGCGGTTTTGTTTGATCGTCGGCCATAACTTCGTTCATAAAATTATTTGATATGGTTGATTTTTCCGTTTTTTTGCATTTAAAAACTCCTTCAATGAAATCGTCGTTCTCGCAACTACATCGTTGCATACAGATTTTTGCCTGACCTTCATTTCGTAAATTTTTTGTAAGGGGTACGAACACCATATTCTTTCCGCATTTACGTCCAGTTAAATAACAACCTACATCAATAACTGCCATGCCGAGAGCGCATTTGGTCTTTTTGCACTAAATCTTTTTTTTTATAAAAAATTAATTAAATAAATTTTTGATATTGAATCTCTCCATAATTGCTTCATATATATATTCACCGAACCAAATTAAGTTCATGAGTGTCATTTTTTTTCTCGATTATGCTTTCTTGATCATAAAAAGAGAAAATAAGAAAAAAATGATAAATGATAATAAAATGATAATGATTTTTTCGCATAAACTAATAGCCCTAATTAACAAGGATTTTTGGGAAAAGTTGCTAAATTTGATCCAACTTACCGGATTTTCGACGGAATTTTCATTATCCACTGATTTAATACATTGACCATCTTCTTCTACATATCCAGCCATGCATAAACATTGAACGATGCATTTTGAATATTCAATAAAAGAAATACGATACTTGCCCTTTTGAATTGCTGAAAAAATCATATTTGGTCCGCATGAACGACCGTCAAGCATGCATCCAATATCGAGAATAACTGCGTTAAAAAAGCATTTTCCTCGCATACAATTCATTATCGAATATTCTCTCTATGAAAATTTTGTAAATATTTACGAAGTTCTTCAACGATGAAATTATTAAGAGAAAATAAAAATTATAAAAATTAAAAAAATTAAAAGCCTTTTTTTTGAATTTTAAATTTATTGAGTTTTAAATGAAATTAATAAATAAATTCTAAAATAATTTTTAGCAAATATTTCAATTCTGAAAAAATTTTACTTGATTTGTTTTTTCATTTCGCTTATTTATCTTTGAATCAGCAAAAATCTTTGGGTTTTTCTTATGACATTTTTTTTTGAATGGAAAAAATTCTTCTTGACAGGTACATTTTTGTATGCAAGAACCATTTATCACTTCGACCAATTCGAACACCATATTGGTACCGCATTTTAATCCATTTAAATGACATTTAGCGTCGTGAATTCTTTGGCCAAGTGAACATTTATATTTTTGACAAATTTCAGTGTGATTTGTTACCTTATAATTTCATAAATAAATGAATTGCAATTTTTTTCGGTGATAAAAAATTGAAGAATTGAAAAAGAAAAGTAAAGCTTTATGTTATATAGTTTAAAAAACTCATAAATTCATACTATGGAAATTTATCAAAAAATATTTTTTAGAAGTTTAGAAGTGTTTGGATTTGCAATGAAAAATAATGAAAAATAATGGCTTATATCATTAAAATTAGCTGTTTATGTGGACGAATTCGTTTCAAAAAATTCAATTCACAAAACACTCAGAAAAAATTCGTGTCTAAAACTCAGAAATTCAATCAAAAATGAAGAGTTTTTTTCTATTATTCTTGGTTAATTTCAAAAATTTTTTAGAAAGAAACTGTGTCGAATCTAATGAATGAATCCAAAAATATTCTAAAACTTTCTTTTTCTTATAACTAGGAATATAGCTGAAGGGGTTTTTGCTCTCAATTTGGAACGGCGATGCTGGAATTCTATTTCCGATAGTAGTAAAAATTTTTTTCAAAAATTCGAGTAACGCCGACTATATTTGTGCTATCTGTTTCATCAAATTTATTATTAAGGAGATTTCAGGTTTTTCTTGCTCAAAAAAAAAAGAAAAAAGAACCTAATGAACCTAATTAAAGAAAAATTGAAATGACTGAATTCAATTCAGGGATGTCCTACTTCCTGCAGGAATCAATCCAAAATTCCCGATACTGCTAGATGATGACTGCACTTCTGTTGCCAAAGGTCTCCCTGGCATATTTGTCTTAAATGACGAAACGTGTCTAACTGGTAATGGCGAGGGCTTATTAAAAAGAATTCCATTAATATTGATAATACGTATAATAATATTGTTATTTTCAAGTATGCAATAGGTAATTTGATAATTTAAAAAGATTACCTTCGAAAATAAGATAGTAGTTTCTTCAGTTGGAATATTCCTTTTAATACATTTACCATCAAGCTCCTCGTATTCTTCAGATATACAAGAACAACGTCGTATGCAATTATTATGTAAAAATGGAGCATTGATTCTTTTAAATGGAATGAATATCATATTTTTACCGCATAAAGTTGCTCGGCAATCATGATCTGCAACTATTTGGCCCAGCTTCGAAGGCTCTTGATAAAATTCACTCACTGATAGCTGAATACTGACCTAAAAGTTTTGTGGGTATTCTTTTTATCGCCACATTTTATTTTTTATTTTATTTTTTATTTTTTTATTTTTGAATCCTCACCACTGCTGCTTAAGCTCGCTCCGCTGGCTTGCCACACTGTGGAAATATTCCAGCGAATTCGTTGGCGATAGATATATAGGTGAATCGCCAACATCCCTCTGATTTTTGGATAGGTTTACTTCTGCTGGAAATAGAATTTCAGCATTGTGCTCCAAATTGAGCAACAACTAATTGAGCCAATCTATCTTCTCATAACGAAAGCACTACTATTCATTGAATTGAATCGATATAAAATTATGTCAGTTTGTATTATTATGGTGTATATTCGGATTCACTTAAAACTGATTTTTGTAGGAAAAATATGAAAATAATACTGAAAATTTGTGCCACTAGTGACAAAATTCTAAATTTCGGCCGCATTCTTACACAATAATAAATAATAATAAATTATATTTAAATTAATAATATTAAATTATATTTAAATTAATTATAAATTATATTTAATATATAATAATAACACACAATCGAAGCACTTATTTAATAGGAAAATATATACAAAATAATTTTCTGAGTGGAAAGGGGAAAATAGATCATTTGAAATCGTGTTAAGAGATAAAAGTTCCCCTATATAATTCCTATCCATGTCATTAAGGAAATCGCGAATAGTGCTGCTAATTTGTATTTCTAACTGATGACAACCTAGTAAAAATTTTTATAACAGTCAATAACAGTCAATAGGGTTAGGGTTAACCTAATCAGAAATTTTGAGCACTCTTAATTACCTATTCTTAAGCGTCTTAATTACCTATTCTATCATTACAGTGCAACGCTATTTCAAACAAAAGTAAAATAATGTATCAAATAAATTGCTAACCAAAATAATCATCCAATTCACCATAATGAAAAATATTCACAATTTGATATAAACGAATAATATTTTGCGTAGAGATTAAATAAAATTTTTTAAAAATTATTTTGCGAATTGATTAATAAATCTTTTATTAAAATAGCGATCGTATTATTTGAATAATTTACAAATAATTTACATATTTTCGGTCATAAATTATAATAAAATGAGTTGATAAATAAATTTTTATATGATTTTGAATAAAAAATAATTTTAAAAAAATTGGATTGAATAAATTTATAAGAAAACGATTTATATAGTGGCATTATTGTATTAATATTTGTATTTTAATCAATGCAAAAATAATAAATTTTAAATTTAAAAAATGAATAAAATATAAAAAAAAGTTCTAAACTACAAAATAGTTTTTTGCTTATCATTGGAAATCTATTTCTTGATTATCCATCTTTAGCTATCTTTAGCTAACTAACTTGACCACTTCTAGACTCGTCGGCCATCTTGTCGGTCAATAATGATAAGCAAATAATGATATAATGATGTTTCACTTTTATGTGCCTCCGTCAAATAGCCCTCTGATGTTCGCAGAGTTCTGTCCTTTTGTTTTAATTCATTTGTAACCTCCCAGAGTTGGTAATAATAATTATTTAAAGCCGCGTATCTCAATTTTTCTTTTTTTTTGCCCTTTCAGCCGTTATAAATTATAAAAATATGATGTTAATTGCCTTCTCTATTTTCTAAAACCGTTTTTCAAATGTTTTCAATCCTTCATCTTTCTCCATATTCTTTCCATGTTCGCAAAATATTTCGCAATATCTTCGTGAATTCCTAAATGTATATGGTAGATATTATGTAAATGCGGTGAATTTGAAGGAAATATTAAGAGATATTCGAAGGTTTGCTAGGATAGAAGTGAAAAACATAAGTATGTGTAAATAAATTTTTCCATTACTCTTCAGTCATATGGGAAATTACAAATTTTAAGTCCCAGTAAACTGCACTTTTTAAATTCAGCTATTCTTGTAAATTTTTGGAAATTGGAAATTTTCATATTTTCTAATAATTCGTTGCAAAATGGAAAAAATCTAACTTTTTAACATATTTCTTTTTTTTTTTTATTTCATTCATTGCCTTCTGTGCATTGCTATAAGCAATCAAAAATATCATTTAAAAAATGGTTGGATCTAGAATCATGAAAAATAATCATATTCATATTTCTCATGCCACCTTTTGATGCATAATTTCTACGAATCCTGATTTATTCCCTACTATACGACTTAATAAATTAAGTATATATATATATATCAGAATATAGGAAATTCAATTGTTAATTTAAGAGATAAATGGTATTTGACATATTATTTTCTTCTATCGAATATTTTCAGTGGTATTATCATTTTTTGCCGCTAAACGATTGATAACTTTTTTACTCAAAAAATTATCATATTAACATACGCTATAGATAAATTCTTAAGAGTAAAGATAACAGTATCTAATAAAATGATAATAATCACTTATGGTTAGTTCCGCTAGCAAAATAAGACATTTCCACCAAAGATGAGGATAGATGAGAAAGAATCCAACGCATGAGGAAAAATCTAAAGCATGAGAAATATATATTTGATTTCACTTGAAGGTACACAAATATTTTTTCTATCAGCGAATTTCTCAGCCACTCAGAAGCAGAATTTTGATGCTCCAAATGCTAATCAAATTATTGGAATTATTCAGTAATATTGTATGTACCACTATTACACATAATAAGAAATATATCGCAATTAAAAATGAAAAAAATGATAAAATATTTTTCCTCTCATTAAATCAAAAAAATATTATTATTGGCTCTCAAATTACTAAACAAATTGTTTTCCAATTTATAAATGATTTGTTCATAATTTTTCAAATGGTTCATTGCTGTTAATTAACTCACAATTTTAAATAATTTCACATTCACATTCAAATTTTTTTATTACAATTGATTATTATTAATAATATTTATGCATTTAGTAAAAATATTATTAATATATATGTAATTAATTCCTATCGTAGATTTTTTAAAAAATTCATGCCGAGAAAAAATTCTCATAACTAAAATTTACAGTAGTAGTTTTCATTTTGATAGATTATGAAAAATATATAGAAAAATGGTATTTAAATTTTTTTTCGTAATTAAAGTTGATTAAAAATTTTTATGAATACAAAAATATTGCGAAAAGCTCAGTTATAATAAATTCCATTATGTCGATTGGTATAATATTTTTCGTTAGTTTTTCAATTCTTTTTCATTATTCTAAATTTTTACATTATAATAATAACTTATGAGTATTTAAAAAAATATGTGTATATATTTATTAATATTTATATATTTATTAATATGCGTTAAGATTCAAGCAATTCAAGCAATTAGACTTGGTAGTCGCATGTCGTTAAACGAATCCACCAGGCTTGGTCAATTTTTGATAGATAGCAAATGTCGACTTACGGATATTTCGTGTGGAGATAACATGGTGTTTCGAACCATCCGTCGATATAACATAGGCAAATCAACTGTGAAATGCATTCAACTTTGCTCATGTGATCTTAACTACATAGAAAAAAATGGTAAATGCATTCAAATACTGGAAAATGGAAAAGTTAGTACCATTTTTATCATTGCCACTTTTAGCCGTCTTTAATTTGATAAGAAAATTTAATTTGATAGAAAGATTCACCTATTATTACCAATTTGCATGAAATGTTATTGTGACATATTTTATTTTATACATGCACATATATATATAATTTAATATTATGATCTCTAGGTTTGAATTTTAAGTTATATTACCTTAAGATTGATTTGTCCTGATTATTTGAGATAATTCATATTTTCTTCCATTGCATGTTTTTTTAGTTCTTTATCAATTCCACGAATTAATTGCAATGCTTTGAAAAAGTTTTGCTTTTTTTCTTCAAATTGCTGGTCCACCTAAAATATTTTCGACCGTATCAGTCCAGGTGTTGATTGCTCACCTCGCCACTCATTACTTAGTTTAGTAAGTAACAAAATATGCATCAAGCGACGGTATTATTTTATGATGGTACTGTTGATGCAATTTCCATACTAAGTGACAAAACTATAACATTTCAAATGATAAAATAATCAGTAAATTTATTCTTAATGCTCAGTTATGTTTTTAATATTTAAGAAATTGTAAAAAATTTGTTTTTCTCTCAAAAAATTTCATCATTAAAATTCATTATTTCTTATTTGTTGTAAGAATTCTAAATTTATATATATATATGAGATTTTTGGCAAGAAATTTTCTTTTTTTTCTTTCTCTTTTTTTCTTTTTGTTTTTTTCCTCCTCTCAAATTTACATTATTTTTTTGTTTTTCATTAATTAATAAATATGAATAAATTGCATTTTTATTAAACTTTCTAAATGCAATTTATTCTCCTCCAACGAATAGAAAAAGAATCAACTAAATTTCATTATATCGACTGCTATAATCCTTTTCAGTAGTTTTATATTTTTTCACTAAATTTTTTTTATGAATTTTTTATTCTACATTATTAATAATAAATGCATTCCATATATTTTTGTTAAAAATTTATATATTCAAATATATTTTTTATATTTTTTTAAAACCTTTCACAAATACAATATTAATATATGTATAAATAATATAAGACAATTCAGATAGTCATAACTGATAACAAAGTGACAGTGAAAGAAGTATTTAAACTTGGTGAATTTCTCGAAGATAGAGGATGCCGACTTACAGATGTTTCTTGCGGAGTTAATTTGGTGTTTCGTACCATCAAAGAATATAGTGATATGCGTAATTCACCATTAGTTATGTGCATTCAACGCTGCTCATGTAATCTTAATCACATTGAAAAAAATGGCAAATGCATCAGTCATGTAAATGAATTGAAAGATGGAAAAGTAAAATTATTCTCAACTATTTTTTTTTCGATATTAAAAATTCACCATTATTAAACATTAGTAAGGTAAACATTTCTATGCAATGCAAATTTCACGCGACCAATAAATCACTACAGAATTCAAGAAAATTAAGAAAAATTGAAATTTTTTCATGGAACCGAGTGATATGACTTTTACGTACCTCGAAATATTAGTCTAATAAAGCAAGCTTTATTGAAATATTTCGTTATTGACAAAAGAAGAAAATTTCAATGATGGGTGCATCCACAATGGTTACTTTGTAATTCCAGAACAGCGGAGTTGGAAAAATGGTATTTGACCGTACGTGCCGATTGACAGGACAAAAATGCGCTAAGAATGCAATTTACGAAATATTTAAAGAAGAAAAAAAGGAAAGATCATTTAATAGTGGTGTCCTATATACCACTGTATGCATTCAAAAATGTGTTTGTAACCATACAATGTTTGTGATAAAAGATGGTTACTGTGTTAATAGAGCTCATTTCACGACCAATCAGCAAATCACTGCTTCTACGATTACTATCAATCCGAGAATAAATATGGTTAGTGGTGTTTACACATCAATTAATTTCTTTTAGTGAAATATTTTTCATAACATGAAATAAAAGATAGTAGGAATCTAAAATCATTGAAATTATTAGATTTTTTATTCACAATTTGTTAAGTTTGGAAGAGTTGTCGAACACATTGGATGTCTATTAGTCAACTCAAGCTGTGGAGCAAATATGGTATTTCGCTTAATTCAATCCGCTATTCTTGGTAAATCTTCGAAACAAAAAAAATGTACTGTGAAATGCTCATGCATGAATGATTATATAGAAAAAGGCCAAGAGTGTATAGAAAAAAGTCGCTTTTCATCTCGAAATTTGCAGGTAGGTCAGTCGAGATATTATCGATAATAATGGGAATAAAAATTTTGAAAATAAACATTCTCATAAATATTCCTGATAAAATTCATACTGTGTTTAAAAAGCAAATAGGCAAATATATTTCTTATAAAATCTCAATTAAGTTTTTTTATTTTATATTGAATGTCTGATAAATAAATTAATATTGAAATTTATATATATATAAATAAATTAATATTAATATTTTTATTATTTTTATATTTTAATATTACGGTTATACGGTTGCGGTTATTTACGGTTATTATACGTTTTATCTTTATATTTTAATTCCATTCCAGTTTTTTTTTTAGCATAATTAATATAATTGCGTTTCTCAAATGCAAATTTTCATATATTCGACTAATTTTATTTTATATTTATGTAACCTATATTATATTACATGATTTATATACATATAACCTTTTTATAGGATGATAAAAGTAAGTTAGCACTTAACGACCAAATTGTTGATTACGGTTGTGAGTTGCGTGAGCATTCATGTGGAGCCAATATGATATTGGTAAAGGTTCATCTAACCTCGTTCCGAACTGGCACTATTTTGCGGTTTAAATGCACATTAAGGTGCCAATGTGTCAGTGGATATGATGAAATGCATGGTCAATGTATCAAGAATTAAAGCGTTGTGCCGAATCACTATCGGTTTGAACCCATTAAGTAAATCATTCATGTGCGAATGTCTTTAGAAATTATCAATAGCCATTCTTCAGAATTATTTTTATTTGAATTAACTCTGTTATTCTGTGAATTGCATTTTGCCAAAATTTCAATCCTTTTTATCAGCTGCTTTCACTTTTATTTAATAAAAGTGTTTATTTATTTATTGGCAACTTTTTTTCAATGATTCACAATATATTTTATTTATAAAAAACTCATATTTTTCTAATTTATCAAATTAAAATAAATAAAATTTCAGTTAAATTTCGATTTGAAATTAGGAAATTATTTTAAATAAATTAGTAAATTATCGAGTAGGATTGTTTGCAGCGATTCATACTCAAAATAAAATTTACTATTAAAAAAGAAAAGTACAAATGGTACCATCGTGAATGTACATGGTGGTGGATTAAGGTGCTTAAATAGTTTGCTGATCATTTGTTAATAGTTGAAAAAGAATTAAGAAGATTTTTGATAATTTAAAAAAGGCCGAAAACTTTTCAAAATCGTTACGATATTTTGCGTTATAAATCGAATGACTGACTATCTATGCGAAACTGTTCAAATAAAAAATTATCTAAAAAAATATAAATATAAAAAAATAAAGAATTACAAAATAAAAAAAAACGATAAATAATTTGCATATGCTTTTGATTATGATTAAATTAAAACTCTTATTAAATAATTCATTATTAACATAAATAATTAATTTTAAAAAATTAAAACCTAAAATCTAACAATAAATCTGAGATTGCATTCAAGATGAAAATATTTTTATTTTCATAATTTATCGACTTCAAACCAATTTTTATGGTACTAAAATGGCATATTTGTGAAATTGTTGAGGAAACTCCGGATTGTTGGACTGAAATTCTTTGTTACTTTCATGTAATCAAATCATATATAAATAAGTGATCTGCTATCTTACTGGAATACTGCTCTAAAAAACAATGAAATGTCAGATCCAGAGAGAAGCGCACAAAATCCAATCCATGAAACAATGCCAAATAGCTCGAGAAATTGAAATTGATCGAAGATCCATGCGAAATTTTCGAGCTTCTCTATATATAATCCGAAAAAGAAAGTCTGGATTAAAAATGAGCTATTGAGCCAGCTATTCCACTAAGACGAAGAAATTAATTTTGACAATGGTGCTTTAAAAACTTTCACTGATTCATCAAAGAAAGACTAAGTTATTTTTGAAGTTTCTCTTAATATATTAATTTTTAACTTTTAAAGTACTTTTTGGTGCTGATTCCTTGCTAATTAATTCTAGAAGCTGTAGGTATCCGATTAAAAATCGAAACTGACCATTGTAATTGCATAACAATTTTTTTTGACGCGTAACAATTACCAAAAATATTTCGACAAATCCACTTTTTTAATTTTTATTCCATGAATAGCACCACTAGCAACATCTTTCAAAGGCTTAACACGTGTCAGGATCAATTTGAGCATATTGAGCATATTTTCCAGTGCTTTTTTTCACTAAATTTGGGTATATGGTACTCTTAAACATTTGATGAAATGGACTTTTTATAGAAATAGTTTTTTAGCTATTAGTAGCATTTCTTAAAGCTCACTTAATGATTTTAATAGCAGTGTTATGTGACTGCGATTCAAAAATAATATTTTAATAGTACTTTTATCATATTCTATGGCGAAATTTTAGTTCACCGCTGAAGCTTATCATCTATCAAGTCTATCTTATCAAGTTCTCCAAGTCCCTTTCTCAAGTCCCACTGATTACACTTAACCCTCTTAACCTAATAATAGCATTATATCCTTTTCGAGTAATCCATACATTCATTCATTCGTACTATTTGAAAAAATTATTTTAGATAAATTTTATTTTTTGGCCTTCCAAGCAATCGACAGGGGTTCGATTCCCCTCGAACGCAGCTGGCGCGAGGAAAATTCGTTCCAATAAATTTATATCAGTATTTTTCCGCTATAAGAATAAATCTTTTTTTTTTCTTTCTGAATTAGTTGGTTAAAAAGCTTTCCCGAAAAGGATATTATCATTTATATTAGTTATGGCAAATTTCTATACTCTATTAATTTTCTGCCAACTTTTCATTAAAAGCGCAATGTGAAACTTTTGGAGACTTTATAAACTTTATAGAAAGATTTTTCTTAGAAGAACAATGAAAACTGATTTGCTAACAATATCTTCCATTTGAATAAGAAAATTGTATTTTTAAAGATTTTTAAACGGAAAATTTAAAATGCGATTTATCCACATCTTTTTATACTCCAGCAAATTAGAAGCCACAAATGGTAAATCTTTAATAAATTTGAGAAGAGAAAACGGAACGAAATGAAATGACTTTTCTCGCCATAGATGAATTAAAAATCGTCTTATAAAAGTCAAAAAAAAAAAATTTATAAATAATATTTGTTATAAATATAAAAAGTGCCAAATTTGAATAGGAAACATTAACGAGAACAATGCAATTTTTCAAATTTCAAAATAATTAAAATAATCTCATTTTGAAAATTGGCGAAGATTTGGTCAATTATTGAAAATAGCCAATTTTTCGATAGTTTAAATATTGTCATGTCGTTCTTCATTATTTCGCCAGAATTTTATCAAGAAAATAAAAATAATCTTGAGAAAAAACAAAATTAAAAATTAAATTTGGCAAAAATATTTAATGCAAATATTTATCAAATTATTATCAATATATTGATAATACGAAATCAATCCTTTTTTTATATTTCTAATACCATGCGATTTTGGTAAAATTTGTTCGATCCGTTAAGTTAGTTGGAAGAACCAAACCAGAAATGGTGTCAACATTTAGAAAAAAAATAAACCATTTCTTATATGTTTAAAAATTTGATAAAATTTTCCACAGCCAGTATTGCGTATGAAATATGAATAAAATTTTTTTTTATTTTTCTCTAAATTTATTAATCATCGAATTATGTTGTTATGCATTTTATCAGTTTCGGTAAGTATTTTATGCTGAAAGGTATAATTTATAGTCGACTTACCATTCGAATTTCATTTTCAATAATCGATTTCAATTACATATTTGTGTTTATATTTTGGATTTTGTAGTGGATCTTGCATGCGTAAAATATGGTACATACATTATTTTAAATAGATTTTTTATGAATCGAGTCCGTCAGTATGAATCAGTCGATATCTGCCGTCTCTTTTCCACTTGAAAATCTAGAATATCTTTACTCGAGAAGTAGATTTTGGTAGATTTTGATGATATTATATATAAGCATTAAAAATCGATTGTTCCATATGCTTTTCAGCTAGAGAGATATCTGAAGCTGAAAAAAACTGGAGATGAAGGAATTGAAGGCCAAAGTCCCATAACTATCCATCGAAATCCTTCAAACTAGAAAATTTACTGTGAATGATTCTAGAAGCAACATTAGAGATCTGCATTCAGATGAGCGCAGATTCCTAGCGATAAAAAGATATTGAAAAACCTTTAGCTTCCGGATTCCTAGTAAAAGGCGCGTCGCTGAGAATGAACGATATTATCCGCAAGTGATAAAAAAAAGATTTTTGACTTAATCATTATACTGTTTACTTTCATAGCTTTAATTCCAATTTAATTTTTTCGCATTTCAGCATTTAATATTATTTAATAAATTCTATTTTTTTGATAAATCTCAACGACAATAATTTTATATGATAATTTAAAGCGGATTACAAAATGAAAATTACTGTCCAATATAATATTTATCAATATTACAACTATGTGGACATATACGACTCTAATTGTTAGTTTTTCTTTTCTTATATTTTTTATATTTCTTATAATAATGTTTTTTTATATTTTTAATATTTTGAGAAATTCCTATAAAAGTAAGTAATATCTCGTTAGTGGAATTTGTCAAGAAAATTTTCCCAATAGTCGACAAAATATCAGGAAAATTGCTTTTAAAAATATACTTTAGGTGGTGTTCTAATTTTTTTACATTCGATCTTATGTAATTAATTATATAATTATGCAGTTATGCAGTTTAACGAAGGAGCGAGAACACATATTTCTATGCAATGCAAAAGCAGTGATAATGACTTGTATGCCCGTTATTTTGAGTGTGGCTGGGGCTTAGATGGCTCAATTTGGAGCGCCAATGAGGGGTTCTGTTCTTTGCAGGAGTAAACCTACCCAAGATGATTCTAGCAGCTTACCTGCACTTCCACAGCCAAGGAACTCCCTGGCGCATCTGCCCAGGGCGATAAGCTAAAGGAGCGAGTCAAACAAGTAATGATGAGACTCTTAAAAAAAAAAAAATATTAGTTCGAATGGACGAGTATATTACAGAAATAAAATATTTGAAGTAATATAAAGCATGTTAATAAGTATATTATGTTAAAACTGGCACAACGTATGGATAACAAATGATTTTCATTGGTTTTGACTTAAAATCACTAAATATCGATCTTAAAAATAAAAATAATTTAGGTCATTATTCAAACTATTGGTTTGCATCATACTTATGCTAGGCTGGGTCAGATTTTTGAAGATTTCGCTTGCCGATCAACTAATGTAATATGTGGAACAAATATGATATTTGTACCAATTATACGATTTAATAATTCAAAAAATTTATTTAATTCTCAAAAATGCATTCAGCGTTGTTCATGCATAACTGATGAATATGAAGAGAAAAATGGCAACTGTGTTGAAAAAATTCACGATTCAGATGAGCAGGTAATTCTAAAATAATACAGTGGTACATTACGGAGTTATAATAAGTAAAATTTATAAAAAATAAAGATAAAATGAATTTTTAAATTTCATCTTATGTGGGGAAAAATAGACGGAATATTTTTTACATTTATATATATTTAGTTTAATAACAAAAGAAAAAAAATTTTGAGCTCAAAATTTTACAAATTGCCTAAAATTTTGTTCAAAATCTTGTAAGAATATACTTATTAAAAGAGAGAGATATATCTATTTTTTTCATAATCTTAAGGCGTGAAATTTAGAAAAAATATTTGAATGAGAATTCGAGTCATAAAGACTGACATCTATTTTTCCAATATAAATCCTTGATCAAAAAACTTCTAAAAGTTTATTTGTTTAACTCCAAGTGAATGAACTCATATAGATCTCAAGAATTGCCACAAAAAAATATATCTTGTATCATGATAGGGCAGGAATGAAACAATATCCAAATAATAATTTTTACAAGCCGAACCGATGGGAAGAGGAGGGAAGTTTTATTAAAGCTAATCTGGACTGTAAGACATGAAGCTTGGTGAGTGCCAAAAAAACTATTCTTTGAAATCAGAAGCATTAAGTGGCTATTTCTCAATCTTACGTCTTCTACTGCTTGAAGATTAAAGACCGAAAAATTTGCGTTAGGAATTTTTTTATCCAAATGCTCTTGCTGCGAGAGATTCGAGGGATTGCGCTCCAAAAGATATGACCAATACCCTTTGAATCAATCACACGATTCCAACACTAAAAAGCATACATGTAAAAAATTTCTTCTTTCAGCCCTAAGGGCATTGAGGGCCATCCTTAACTTCTAATCCTCTACCAAAGATCTGAAAGATTGCTTCTCAGCCTATTAGCTAAGATCAAAATACAGTTCATATACATTTTGCAATAGTTTCATCTAAACAAGGATCCTCAAAACCAGGCAAGAATTCAAGATTCGAATAATAAAAAGAAATAGAATCTGTTCAATAGGATATAAAATGCAAGAGGGAATAGCTTAAAGGTATAGAATCTAGCATTGTCTACAGAAACATTGCAAGTGACCACATAGGATATTCCCCAGAATTGTGCAGAATAATTTGGTTAAGATTCTGTGGCCTTGACCGTTAAATGGTTCCGATAGATTCCAAGAACATGCTCTATGCTCTCAGAAGAATAGAGGTATTGTGTTGAACCTTTCAGCTCTCCCGTAGGGAATATAAGAATGGAGATGACCTATTCCGCGTGGATATATATATTTATATTTAAATATTTAAAGGGGAATAGAATGGCTCAGTGGGTTACTTAATTGGGAGCGCCGATGCTGAGATTCGACCCATAGGAGTAAACCTGTACAAAAATCCGGGTAATGCTGGCGTACACCTTTATTTTTATCGCCAAAGGACTCTCTGGCATATTTATTCAATGCGACAAGCCAGCGCAACGAGTTTAACTAGTAATGGTGAGGACTCTTTAAAAAATAAATATTTAAACATTACTAGTAAATATGAATAGGGGAAGAATGGTCGAATAATAGGACAGCAAAAGGTAAAGAAAAGTCCAACAGCCGTGTCTGCGAGTGCAATAATGCACAAAAATAAAGGCATATGTAATTTCGAAAAGTGTATATTTTACAAGAAAATTCACCACAAATTCATCTGCCCGCTCCCCTCTTCTTCTTATCGCCTTATTTCATTTCCCTTTCTTGCTTTGTTCATAATGATCAACAATGGCGATATGCGAATTTGTATAAAAAAACATTAGATGAGCGAAAAGAATGGTTTTCTTCCATTTTCTCTCTACCATTTTCTCAAGAAGTACGATCTTCAATAATCTTCAAAAAAATATATCGCAAACGGATAATCCACATTTTCCGATTTCTTCGACTTAATGCATGGTGAATATCATGGAATGATGATAAGTAATCAAAAGGAAAAAATTTTTTCTTTATTTTCTTCATAATAATTTTCTTTATGACATGAATATGCCATAATTTTTTTTTTTACTACAGAACACCAATTGTATACGTGGAAATTGTACGCTTATGAAAGAAATTACTGATTTTGATTGTTTATTAGAAGGGCTCTTCTGCGGCACAAATAAGGTATTTAGAACGATAGCCAAATACTGGGAAAATGAATATATCGGTTTTAAATGTTTGGTGAGATGTGAATGTGCTAATGGATATCATCAAAAGAACAATCAATGCATTAAAAAAAGCATTTCTTCTAAAGAAATTCACAATTCGGTACATATAATTATCATTATTGTTATCAATTTATGACAATAAGTGAACTCATTGTAGTATTAATCAAAACTGTCAAAGAAATTATGAAGAATATAATCGCTCAGTGATAACATCTTATCACTCCTAAATCTTTAAAATCTTTTCTAACCGTAGGATGATAAGTCTACTTTCGCAACAATTGAGTTCGGATTGAAAACAAATAGGATGAAGGTAGAGTGAGGATCCTTAGGAAGTTTCTTTTGAATCAGTTATTCCCATAAAGACGCCAACAGAATTTGCAGTAACCTTTACCAATAAATTCTAATTCTAATCACTTCAGTTTACTGCTAATAATGATATAACTATTGGCATAAGCGATGACATTTTCTTCTCGAATTCTCATTTGTCATTTCTTATAATCTCACCTTTAATTCTCTCAGTAAATTTAGTGTGAAAACAATGCATGCAAAATTGGTGAAACAATTCTCGATATCGGTTGCAATTTAACGGGAAATATATGTGCAATGCATGCATTATTCATTCCCATTTCTCAAGAAGAGCCTTATTCATCAATGGTACCTCGAAACTGTATTCAGCGATGCACTTGCGAAAGCATTAAATATGTCGACAAATTAACTCACTGCGAGGAAAAGATAGAAGTTGCGAAACAAACTGAAATACACAACTTTGCTGAAGTAATATTTCTATTCAATGAAAAAAAATTTCATATAATTCTTTTAGGCATCATCAATGAAATAGTTTAAAGTAGAAAAATCTGTTCTCAACAGATTTTGACAAATTTTTTCTGCTAATTTTGCTTAATTTTGTAAAATTTATAAAAGAGCTGAGCTTCTTTATTTATTTATATAATTCAAAATGGATATTTTAATTCCTAATGGTCATCAAATAGATTGAAATTGGCAAACGAATATTTTCAATTTCTAAACTGGTATTGCTATAACGATAATAACTCTAATACTTGTTATACAAATTATTAAATTTTTAGTTTTGTCCAAAAGTTTATTATAATCTTGGAGAGGAGATTGCTGATATTGGATGCAGATTGGCTGGCCAAAAGTGCGGAACTAATATGAAATTTGTTCCTATGGAGACTCTGAAGGCTGCCAAGAATCAAAGCCACACTATAGGGTGCATTTTACGATGTAGCTGTGAAGAAAATTTTGAATATATCAAGCAAAATGAACAATGCATAAGAAAAGTTCATTTATTCCTTTCTTTTAGTTTTATAAAAATTCTTGCGAATATAATAATACTCTATAAATATAGAGAAATATTTGAAAGGTAAAATTCCGAAGTAAATTATTCCGAAGTAAAAGAAATATTTTTAAAACGCTGTGGGATTTTTTACGATATTTTTCTTTGACCTTTCGGTTAATTCTCTGTTAATTGTTTAGGCTTGTTCTATAATTAATCAATGTTAATTTAGTGGTACTGCGATGGAGGATTTTGTCAGCTTAAGAGGAAAATTTATGATTATGGCTGTAAACTTACTGGTTTGGAATGTGGTATTAATATGAAATTTGTTTTTATACGAGAAGTTAGTGACGAGATTTGTATTCAAAAATGTAAATGTGCAAGCGAGGAATTCGTAGAAAAAAATGGAAAATGTGAAGATAAAAAAAAAAAGCCGGTAAAAATCTTATGAAAATTGTTCGTTCATTATCATATTTTCAAAATTTTAAAATTTTTGAAAATCTCAAAATCTCACTATTTTACTAATTTTAATATCAAATCAATCAATTCTTACAATAACTATGAATTATAAATCATAGAAAAAAATGAAAAATATCTTATAGAATATTTCTCGACATACTTCGATGCAAAAATTTCTTAAAGTTGGCCAAATTTTGGAAGATTTCGGATGTTTATCAATTAATAGTGAATGTGGAAGTAATATGGTTTTTCGTCCAATTGTCCGATTTTATAATATATCTTTCTCGTTACGGCAAGAAAAATGTTTTCAACGTTGTAATTGTAAGAATAACTACGACGAAATAAATGGTCTCTGCATTGAACGGATTAATATAGATGAGGTATGTTCGATGTAGTTTATCTATACACATATTGTATATTATATATATATATATATATAAATTATATATAGAAAAAATAATATAATATATTTTTAATATAATATATTTTGAAAAAATATTAAAATAATTAAAATCTCTTTTTATTAATATTAATTGCTATGGGGATAGAATGGCTGAGTGGGTTGTTACTCAATTGGGAACAACGATGAGGTTCCATTCCCAACAGGAATAAACCTGTCCAAAAAACAGGGTGCTAGTGACTCACCTATATTTTTATCGCCAAAGGACTATCTGGCATATTTGTCCAATGCGACAAGCCAGTGTAGCGAGTTCAAACTAATAATGGTGAGTACTCTTTAGAAAAAAATTATTTGAAAATTACTATAGTTTCAGTAATTTCTATGAAATTTTTTATATCTAAATTTAAGCACGTTGAGGAAAATGAAGGGAATCGACGATGCTTTGAAAATGAAATCTGCAAACTAGGCGATAGAGTAAACGATGAGGAATGTCAATTGACTGGTGTGAAATGTGGTGCGAACATGGTTTTTATTCCAACTTCTATTGCGATGACTAATCGATGTGTTCAATACTGCGTCTGTGATAATGAGTCTATGGTAGCAGATGATAAATGTATTAAGAGAAATGCACTTAATCTACGCCATGAAGATGAAAATCAAAATATAACACAAGAGGGAATGCAGAAAAATGTTAGCTGATTTTTTCACTGATAAAATGAAAGAATGAAAGATAAGATGATAAAGTGAAAAAAATTTTTTTTACAGCATGAAAATATTGTTCTCAATTGTATGCGTGGAAAATGTAAACTTATGGAAGAAATTTCGGATTTTGGATGCACGTTGAAAGGACGTCTATGTGGTCGAAATATGGTCTTCAAAACAATTTCTAATGAAATCAATCCAAAATTCAAAAGTAAAAAATGTGTTGTGAAATGTGTTTGTGCAGTTGGATTTTATGAAAAAAATGATCGATGCATTCGGCTGAATAATTCTTCTAATATGGTCAAAAATTTTCTTTATCACTAATTTATCACCAATGTTGTATTTTTTTTTAATAATTAATTTCAGAATTAATTAATTAAATAACCGATTTTTAGACCGAAGAAAAAGTGCGTACATTTAGCGAAAGATTGTTTGATGCTGATTGCATTTTAAGCGGAATCGAATGTGGTATTAATATGATATTTATAACCGTCCAAAAATTTTATCCATCTTCATCATGCATTCAAGAATGTCACTGCAAGAGCGGATTCGAATTCGATAGCAAATTGTCTCTTTGCAAAAAAAGTGCTAACGATGTGATATCTATCAATTTTTTCGAAGTATAAATTTTTCATATATTTTAAATTGATGAAAATTTATCATTTGGAATCAATAGGCATCTCTTCTTTTATTCAATAGATATTTAAATGCTATGAAAACTATTCTGTTTGAAAAAGTGATTTATAATAAAATAACACCAGCATAGAATTAGAATTAGATCAAGATGTGGTTATGTGTTAAATTTTCACGCTAAATAGACTATTAATATCAGTCAACTAATATACAAAACAGCCCAGGTTTTAGTACCAATGACCTTAAATGAGTTGACAATGTTGAGCTTTGCATTGAAAATTACGAGATTTGCAACAGCGAAAATTGTCTCTCAAAACAATAAAATGAATTAATAAATATCTTGAATCTACTAATGATAGCCAGATCTAATGTGAAATCCCAGTTCGCATCTATCCTCTTTGGCTATGCTGGATAGACTAGGTTCTTCGTCGTTCAACACGAGAACTATCGCACTACCTTATATGTTCGATTGCTAAATATCAGTTGTATTTTTAGAACTGCATCGAATTAAGATGCATATCATAATTTTTGCTAGTGAAGTGCAAATCAAACCTCCTAAAAGAAGATAATTTCTATCACATTGAAAGTAACAGGGCTGGAGAGAATATTTCATATTATTAAATATAGGTGGAAAACCTTGTTTCATTGTTTCTCTATATGAAATGTGGAACTATTCTTAAGTCTTAATTGAATAGGCTCGAATATACCTAATGTATTTTTAGCATTGCCCGCAGCCCTATGAATTTGGACAGGAGATCGTTGACTATGGCTGTCATTTAACTGGTGAAAAATGTGGAAAAAATATGGTTTTTACTATTGCACAAAAATTCACTCCATTAAACAATAGTGTTAAATGTATTCAGCGATGTAGCTGTGAAGATGGTTACATGGAAGAATTCGGAGAATGTATTAAAGTGGTTAAAATTTTTTTCTAAAATCGTTTTTCAAGATTAAATTTCTATTTAAAAAAATTAGTCGAAAGATAAAAAAAAAATATTATATATTATATAAAAAATATAAAAAATATTTAAATAATATTTAAAATTCTACTGATTTAGTGGTATTGCGAAGGAGGCTATTGTAAACTTGGAAGGAAATTTTTCGATTATGGTTGTGTGTTTACTAGTTTCACTTGTGGTACAAATATGAAATTCATTACTGAACGAAAAGAGGAAAAAACTGATATATGTATTCAGAGATGTAATTTCATTATTAGTCAATAAATCAATTATGATCAATTATACTTGAAGAAAACTGCAATTTTCTTAAGTTAATCTTTATTATAATAATTTTCAAATAATAATAAACTTTGAATAAATTTTAAAAATTGTATTTTTGCGTGATACAACATAAGACTATATATATTCTGGCATTCATTTATTCATAAGCGGCGATGAGATGCAATTTTTTAAATTTATTCTCATTCTAAGCAAAAATAATAGAGCTTTTAGGCCAATAATCTCGTAGTAAAATAAATTTTTTAATGATTTTTATTAGCAAATATTTTAGAATGAGAAAGTTAATACTTTTATTTTTATTTATTTAACGATACTTAACGAATTTGGCAGTAATTACAATGAATTAATTAATCCTTGTAAAAATTTAGTGAAATTTCAAATTTTACGTCTTCAGTTAACATAGAGTTATGCTTCGAGATCTTTCAAGTTGTCAAGTTGTTAGACTTATATTAGCAATTGTTTTTAGTTTTTTATTACTACTCAGCTTGACTTGCTCTTTTGGCTTGTCGCCGAGACAAACTATACATATAGGTGAGTTGCCACTATCATCATTTTAGATGCTACTGCTAGGATATCAGCGCTTCGAATTGAGCAATAACCCACTGAACCATTCTACTCTCTTTTGTTTTCTCTATTGGCGATTGCAACGAAGAGTGGTGCTTTAGCCGGATTCGAACCCAAGGCTTGACTTTCTATGGATCAATGAATGGGCCACAAAAGATGCTTATTTTTATTATTTATCTCGACGAATTGAACGAATTTCGTAACGGCAATGGCCTAATTATTATGAACCAGGGCAATATTCAACAAAATAAACTTGACATAGTCAACATGCGAAATTTTATTGTTAAAAATAAGTCAGAAAAGTGCACTAAAACAAAATCATTTCATAAAATCTGAAACTGTAAAAAAATCTTGTTGAAAAACCATTCGAAAATTTTACACTGTCCTTTTCTTGAAGCAAAGAATTTTTGATGGAAAGAATTCTCTTTATTAAACTTTTCTGAACGAATTGCAGTTTATATATTATGTGTTGTTAATTCGAAAAAAAATATATTAAAAATTCGATTCAACTTCAAAATTTTAAATTATTTTAAATTACATTATTTTATCTATAAATTTTTTTGAAAAAATAAAAACATATAAACGTGTGAGTGCAATTTAAATTACTATTACTATTATTTCATATTAATAGTACTAACACTCAATAAATTATTATTATTATTATTACTGAAGGGACAGATATATATATATATTTTTGAAAGTCTTCACCATTATTGGTTATACTCGCTTTGTTAACTTGTCGCATTGGACAAATATGCCAGAGTCTCTTAGCAATGGAAATACAGATGAGTCGCCAGCATCACTTTGATTTTTGGACAGGTTTATTCCTGCTGGGAATAGAACCTTTGCATCTCCGGTCCGAACTGAGCAGCAATCTACTGAGCCATCCTATCCCCTATATATATATACAACTAAGAGATAGATAGATTTACAGAGAACCGCTTAATATTGCTGTAAATATATTTATAGACGCCTAATAAAAGGTAATATTTTGTTGTTTAATTTAATACGTGCCACTGCTATGTTAGGATGGGTTGATTATCATATCCTTCTGGTTGCTTCTGGCTGCGGGTTTTTTATTATTTATTATTTATTTGTATCGCCGTATATTATATCATATGGTCGCATAAACATATTACTATATGCGATATAACACATTACAAAATGTAAAAAATATACTAATAAAAATAATTCTTATTTTTATCATTATTACTATTTATCATTATTAATTATTGTTGTTATTAATTATTATTATTTATTATTATTAATTATTATTATTATACCACTTCCATACTATTTTATGTTTTGGAATGGCTTTTTGAGAACATATGCTCTATACAATCATTCTTTTTTAAATTATTCCTTGATATCGTTTTTAAAATTTTAAAATTTAATTTTCAATTTAATTTTAAAATTTGTAAATTTCAAAATTCATTTTTCCTTTAAAATATACGCTGAAGGATTTTTTTTTCAAATGCATAATTGTTTGATTGGATTTCGTATCGCTGATTTTCCAAATTCGATAAGCTTTATTTTTAAGGAGATCCATAATGCATAAGTCGCAATAATCTAAATTTTGCGGCTGGATTAAGGCCACGTAATTAAGAGTTAAAAAAATATTGAAAAAACTTCATATAAGTCTGAGATATGGTGATATGATGTATCATTGATCGATAAGGTCCAAGTCTAACTACACATCTGAATACAACTTTCATTAGGAATGCCAATCTCAACTGTAATGAATTTCATATTGATTCCGCATGCAACATCCGTAAGAACACATCCATAATCGATGATTTTCCTTCCACTTTCGCAATATCCTCCTTCGCAATACCACTGTAAAAATTGTGAAATTAAAAAAAAGAAAAAAACAACCAGTTCGACCGGTAAATAATAAATATATCTCTTAAAAGTGTTATTTTTCGAGACATAAAAAATCTAAATTTTTGTAAATTTTGTAAAAACCTTTCTTATGCATTCTCCTTCTTTATTTTGATAACCCTCTTCACAACTACATCTTTGAATGCATTCGATCGCTGTTCCTAAATGATTAGTTAATTCCTCAAACACATTAACAAACACCATATTCATTCCACATTTTTCACCCGTCAACCGACATTCATAATCAGTTATCTCTTGTCCAAGTTTATATTTAAAGCTGGCACAATACTGCAAATATATCATATTTGGATATATGGATTTTAATTAGTTACAGAACTAAATATTACATATTTTAATATAAAAATTGTTAATTTTAATAAAAAATATAAAAATGTAAATTTTTAAGTGAAAAAATGTTTTAATAAAAAATGCCTTATTTGATATTAAAGAAAAAAAATAATTTCGTTTTTTTTTCACTTATTTACCACAAAATTTTATAAAATAAAATTTATAGAATTATAAGCAAAAAAAGAAAAATAATAAATATAAAAATAACATCAACAAAGTTAACAGTTTGCATTCCAATTTGTAAAGCTTTTTTAATTTCATTATTTTTTTTGCAACGATAAAATTTTCCAATAAATTTGTTTTTGCAACTACAACGTTGAAAACAAAATTCATGTGTTGGCGAAATTTTTCCTCGTGCGACGATGTTAAATATCATATTTTCACCACATTCATGCCTTGTCAAATAGCAACCAATATCGAAAATTATTTCACCAACCATGCAAGCCCTTTCATTGCACTAAAAAATTTTAATTGATAGCGATAGAAGCGGAAAATAAATAATTTGCGAGAGGCTATCGAAGTTAAGTCAAAATTTTCAAGGGAATATTTAATAGTAGAAAGAGATTTTTTATTATTTACCGGATTGTGAAATCTTGTAATTGAATCATTCATTAAAATGCATTCACCATCATTTTCTTTATAATCAACATCACATTCACATTTAACAAAACATTTAGCATACAGCGTTTTGATATTTCCTCTGATAACTGTCTTAAACACCATGTTCTGTCCGCATGGACGCCCTGATAACATGCAACCATGATCAACAATTTCTTGCTTCAGTGAACATTTCCCACGCATGCAATTAATTAGAAATGTATCAGGCTGGAAAACAATTCATTCAAATATGGAGATAGTAAAAAATTTTCAAATATCTTCAGAATGGTTCAGTGGTTTATGTTGTTTTGGTCCATTTTGGTGCATCAGTGCGAAAAACATACTACTGCCAACAAGAGTAAATATTCAATTCAAAATTTAGACAACCTATCTGTACTTCTATAATCACTCTCTGGCGAAATTTCTCTGGTTCACTACAATAAAATTAATAGAGCGAGGTTAAGCAGGAAGAGCCCTTATCCTTTCACATCAAGTTAAAAATGCTTACTGTTTTTGACGTTGATTTCAATACAGAAGTATCATTTTTAAGATCGTCTTGTAGTGTGGATTCATCATCTTCCATCACGCATTGTCCATCTTTTACAATAAAATTTCCACTCTCGCAAATACAATATGATTTACAAAAGTTCAACGATTGAAAATGCCATGAACTAAATACCATATTAATACCACATTTTTGACCGTTTAAATGACATCCAATGTCATTTATGCTGTCACCATATTTATAACTGGCATTAGCAGAACGTATTGGGTTCATTGTAATATTAGGCTTCAAATATTTCATTATATATAAATTATGCTTCTCATTTACGAAATATTTTGAAAAATCACTAAAATGCGATTGAAATACTACATAAGAGAAAGCAATAAATTAATGATACTCTTCAATTTTTTCTGGTCCAACAAATTTATATACTTTATATACTATCAAATTTTTCATAATAGTTTCCAATTGCGGCTAAAGTAAGCTTCAATAATTGCTAATCAAACAGTTCTCTAAAAATTGAACTTTATTAATAGTAATCGAATATTAACCTTAGGTAAATCAAAATGCGATACGTTTGGAAATACAATCCATTCAATGCACCGACCGTCGATCTTCTCGTATTTTTCAGATGCACATGAGCAACGTTGCACGCAGATCTTCTGCCATGGTGAATTATTTATTTTACGGATTTTCATGATTGGCCGAAACACCATATTTTTTCCACATGGCATGTTAATTGATAGGCATCCAAAATCTTCGAATATCTCACCGAGGACAAAAGGTTTCGCATAGAAATTATGGATGGATTGTTGAATTGGTACGACTTCTTGCCTCTTCATTTATTTTCATTAGTGAAGATATTATTCTATTGAAATTATTCGTAATCTTTTAAAGCATATATAATTTCGTCCCGAACTTTTTTTATTTCTATTAATTTTTTCATTAATAAAATTGAATGTCCAAATTTCACCAACCATAGTTTTTTAATGATAATAAAATTTTCTTTTCTTTTTTTTACTAATCCCATCTAATCGCTTTGTGCAGGAAAAAAAGTAAAGAATTAAGGTACGAATAGTACGATATAAGGTACTATAATTTCCCTACTAGAAAAAAAATGGTGTCATAAATTTTTCGAAAAATCTAGATAACCATATGAATACATATAAAAAAAGAAATTATTTCTTGTGTGCTTGGAATTCTCTACATAAAATAATAGTGACGATAAGATGATAATAGTAATGATAATGATAATAGTGATAATAATAGTTAATAAGTGATAATGGCAGATTATTAATTCAATAATAATAATAAGCTAATGAAATAAAACATGGGAAAATTTAGTTTCATTTTGGTTTTAATAAATAAACTAATCTGCTTCTAATTGTAATTTTTATTTTATGTTATGAAATCCTAAATCCTAAAACCCTACATAAATAAGTAAAAGTATCATTCAAAAATGGAATAATTCAGAAGGAAAAATTCCATAAAAATTATTTTACCGATTTGACGCACTGGTCACCTCTCTGTGTGTATTCATCACTTTCGCAATCGCACATCTGGATGCAAATTTCAGCACCATCTTTTTTTATAGGTATGAATTTCATATTGATTCCGCATTTACGACCGGTAAGCTTACAACCATAATCACGTATTTTTCTTCCCAACTGACAATAACCTCCTTCGCAGTACCACTAAATTATAAGTTATTACAAAAGATATTAGTACCACTAAATTATAAGATAATCTACAAAAGATATTAATAAAAATAAAATTAAAATTATTTTATTTTAGAATATTTCATCCATTAAATGATGGAAATTTAAAGTGATTACGGTTATTTATTAATTACATATTAATTTAAGGGATTTCTGATGGAGAAGGGAGAAAAAAAATAGGAATGAAAATAGAAAATAGAAAATCTTAAAATATATTATAATTTATATTTTAAATTTATTTCTGAATGAATGTGAAGTTTTTTTAAAAAAAAAATTCGGACGTGTTTAATGCAATTTTCATTGCCATCGATATATTCATAGCCTTCTTCGCAATTACATCGCTGGGTACATCCTATAATTTTATTTGGAATTTCACCAGCACTAAAAATTGCTATAGTTGCAAAAGCCATATTAATTCCACATTTATGACCTGTCAAACGGCAGCCAATATCGTTTAGTTCCTCTCCAAGCTTATAATATGCTTTCGGACAATGCTGAAATAATTTTCACATATTAAATTTGTCAGATTTTAAAGCGAATTTAATTTCATTATGTTTTTTTTCGATTCTTCGAAATTAAAAACAATGTATCCTATTTTTCATATTTATTTCATGTAAAATTTGTCAATTCGCCATAAAAATTCTAAAAAAAAAAAGTAAAAATAATTACTTTTAGAAAATCGAATGATTGAACTTTATTCTGTAAAGTAACTTTGGGTAATTTTTCGCAATAAAAAATTTTCGAGATAAAATTTTCGCTTTTGCAAATACATTGTTGATAACAATATCGAGATGATGTTGAAAACATTATTCCACGAGTTATTGTAGAAAATATCATGTTTTCGCCACATTTTTGCTTATTTAAATGACAACCGTCATCAAAAATAATATCACCGACCTTGCAGATTTTTCCCCCACACTAAAAATGATACTAGTAGATCAATTTTTTTTACGCTCAAAAAACTATTTCCAAGAAATGATAAAAGATCTTAACTTTTTGAGATTTACAGTGGAAAATGATAAGTAATTTAGTGATAGATTTCATTTAATTAAGATTAGTTAAAATTATGGTGTGAATTTTTTTCCAATCAAATTTCAGTTAATCTGTAAATATTTATGAAACGGGCATGCAGCAAGTTCACTGAATATAATATTGCTTACCGAATTAATAGAATCATTAGAAGGAAATTTTATGCACTGAAAATTTTTTTCCTTATACCCATCTGCACATATACAATTCATGGTACATTTGACATCCAAAATTCCATTGTTTCGTACTATTTCTTTATTAGCGGTCCTGAATACCATATTTAGCCCACAAGAATGTCCTTCGAAAAAGCAGTCGATATCAGAAATCTGTTCAACAATCGTGCATCTTCCGTGCGTGCAAGTTGATATATGTTGCTTATTCTCATTCTCGTTCTGAAAACCTTATCAATACACAATTAATCCAATTAGTCTTGAAAATTTCATTCCGCAAATCTATTAATTCATCTATCACTAACATCTATCACTATCTGATATAACTATTATGTTTTAAAATATTTAAAAAAAGAAGGAAAAGAGTTTATTCTAATAAATCAACAAAGGATCTCCAATCCTATAACGATCCGCACAGGCAAATAAAACCTGATTTTTGCCTATTAGAAGCAACCAAATATGAAATGGTGAAGAAAAAAAGAAAAAAGGAGAGAAAATAACTGCATTTTAAGTTGAATAATTTTAACCATATTAAACATTTTTATCAATTGAAAAATGATGGATTTCGATTAAATTATTTGATTAAATTATTACTTCTTCTTCAGTTGAAATATTCATCATTTTAAAACATATTCCAAAAATTTCCTGGTATTCATCAGTTATGCATGAACAACGTTGAAAGCATATCGAAGATGTTGCATCGCTGAATCGAACGATTGGTATATATATCATATTTTTACCGCATGAAATATTCGTTGATATACATCCGAAATCTTCAAATATATTTCCAAGAAGAAATTTTTGATTATAATGACCAATTGAATTTTGAATAATAGCCTAAAATAATATTTAATCTTTTATTGAAAAACCCGAAAAAATCTGTAAGGTAGAAAAGTAAAAAATGTGAAAAGTAAAAAATTAGAAAAAATTATGCATTCTATTATAGTATAAAAAAAATTATTAACTATTGTAAGCCTGTTAATTTGTTATTTAAAATAACTTCGAAATTAATAAGGAAAATTCAAAGTGGAAGTAAAAAAATAGAAAATAGAAATTTATAAAAACAGAACAATCTGGCACGATTTGCAATATAAAACATTTTATTGTTCATAAAAAATTTATTAATGAGAAAAATTAAATCTATCACTTAAGATCGTAAAAATTTCCTAAAGATTTCCTTTTTCTCCTTAATATTAATTTTAAAATTTAAAGCTTATAAGCTTTAAGCTTGTTTACGTCCTATCGAAATTATTCATAGCAGTTTTTCTTAAATTTTATTTAAATTGAAATTTTAAAAATTTATAAAAAAAATAAAACTAACCAAAATGATAATGATACAGATCAGCATGATTGTTATGAGACAAATAATATTAACTTTGATTTCATATAAATGACAATCGGATCATTGAATGGAATTACGAATTTCCGATATGAATAAAATTTAAAAAATTTCCATATTTATTTTGCCTAATTCAGTGAGAATAATTGGAAATTTTTTATGAATAATTTTTATAAAAACTTTAATAAATAAATTTTTTTGCTAAAATTTAAAATTTAAATATATTTAGAGAAAAATATAAGAGTTTTCATGGAAAATTTTTTCTGCAGAATTATAAGATATTTCCTAAATATTTATTGAATTTGTTGATTTAGAAGATTTTGATATAAGGTTAATTCATATTAAAAAAATTTCTTCTTAAATTGACGGTATAGAATTTACCTAAAATCTTATGTTTCGTCGATATTTTTAGAAATTTTAATTGACTTAAATTGTTCGAAATGCTATTGAAGCACCACTCTCAATAATGCATCTTTTCTTAATATACATTTTTTTTTCAAGAATCCTCACCATTACTGGTTAAATTCGCTCCACTGGCTTGTCGCATTGGGCAATATGCCACGGAGTCTCTTTGGCGATAGAAATACAGGTGAGTCGCCAGCATCACCCGGATGTTCGCGCAGGTTTACTCTTGCAGGTAACCGAACGGCATCGGCGCGCTTTCATTTGAACAACAACCCACTGAGCCATTCTATCTTAAAGCAAATTCAAATTTCATTTTCAAGATTTTAAATTTTAATTTAAATTTTTAAATTTTAAATTTATTTATTTTATATTTTGTATTTTATTCTAATATCTTGATATAATATATAAATATATAATGTAAATCGCTCGCAATCTCTGCTTTCCAAATGATTTATTCTAATATTTCAGAGGATAGTTAAGGATAAAATTTTTGTAGAGCATAGATAAAAGAATTTTTTCGAAACAATACTAATTTTTTCAACACCTTTATCATTATCGCTACTGTCATTATCTTTATTAAACTCTATTAGTCTTTTAAATTATTCTTTTAAATTATTCTTAATTATTTTTTTTAATTAATTCTTAATTATTTTTACAATCCATTATTTTTTTTTGAAATTTCTTTTTTCTAAAAAATTGAGAGGAAATGAAAAAGGATTAAAAATATTTTTTTTATATTTAAATAGAAATTCTACTTATCATTTACGTAAAAATTTCTTAAATTAAGTAATTTTCAATTCTATAAAAAAACATTAATTTAAAATTGAATTCTTAATTTAAAAATATTGTTGCGAAATATTTTTTTTTTTTATACGTTCAGTGTAAATGTGAAACATTTTTATCTTTTTTAAATGCATAGAAATAAAAAAATAACTTTTTTTTCGTTATTAAATTTCGGTTTATAGTTTATTTATCGAAAGGAAAAGATTTACGTTAAAAAGATTTCCTAAAATATTTTTTAATTATAATCGCATACTATTATTGATTTTAAAATCATAAATTTTTCATTTTCATTATTATATTTGTAGAATAAATCATTTTAATTTGTGATTAATTGAGCAGCACCGATGCTTGGAAAGTGAACAGTGTTACTTGCAACACTGTTTAAGTACCATTAAATAGATTTTTAATTCTTTAAAAGGCTTCATAAATGGCTGATGTGAAGTAAATTATTTTAGTGCTTATTGGCAAGATCAATAACATTACCAATATTAGCAGTGAATCGCCGAGAGCATTGCGTCTGCAAAGTATCTCCAGCGAGGGGAGAGAATTAAAAATAACAGTAGAGTAGTAGTCTCATTAGTGAGGGGTACAAAGAGGTTCTTATCTTATCTCCAACCGTATATCAGCTCACAAGAGGTTACTTTTTGGTCTTTTGAGTTCTGAAGAAAGTTGAAGAAGGTGGGGGTGAGTGAAAGGAAAAGAGAAGGGGAAGTGATGGAAAGGAAATGAGGGGCGTTGGGTAAGTCTGCCGTCATCATTCTTCATCGTCATCATTGCGTCGGTGCTACATAGTGCAATCCTCTTTCTCCACCTTTTTGCCATTCGGGTGCATTTGTGCCGCACCAGTTTATTCATGAAAATTTGTTAACATTTGCGATCTTTTTTATATTTTATTTTTATATTTTAAACGGAGCACTGGTTGCGAGCATTAGATAGATATTCATTTGTTTAAATGCCGCGTGGCAAACATATATAAGTTTATAGTGGCCTAGTGGTCTCAACTAAGATATCTCACTTTCTCCGCTGGACATAAACCAAACCAAAGCCAATACGTGAACAGTTAACTGATTTCAAATATTAAACCATAACTGTCGAACTCATTTTCTGGACTCAAATGTTTCGAAATGTTCCTATCACCCTACAGCGCATAATGTTGGAATATATTTATATTTATTGAAAACCAGCCAAGCAGGGCGCAAACGCCATGTGCTTCTATAAATAACAACAGTTAAAATAACAAATAATAAGAATTAATGACAAAAACAAAAATAATAATAAAATAAAATAAACAATTTAAAGATGAAATAAAGAAAATAGTGCAAAATAATATAATATAGTACAATTCGAAATGAATATAATGGAAAAAATCGAGATTTCACATTTCCTGCATGATGTAAATTTCTTAAATAATATCATAAATGATATTATCTAATATTTTTTTAAAGATAGCTGGGGATGGCGCACAAGCTATATCGTTCTGTAGTTTATTCCAGTAATTAATATTACGAATAGAAAAATCATGAATCCTTAGTTTAATTTTGCATATAGGTGGTAATTTTAGTCCATTGGTTCTTGTTGGGTTTGAAGTTAACCTAAAATTATAATATTTTGAACAATCTAGTTTAACATAATCATACAGAATCTTATAAGCAAAAATTAAATCCTGTTTGATACGACGAACTGATGGAAAATATATTTTATATCAAATCGAATAATTTTGAAAAAATCGAATAAATCATTTTTTAATTCAATAAATAATAAAAAATTATAGGGCAATGATCCAACAAATATTATTTCGATCAATTAACTCTAATAATATTGAAACTCAAATGCAAATAATAATTAACATAGTTTAATTTGGCATGATCGAGTAAACTAAATATCGAATTTATGTGAGCCTTTCATGATTTATTCTCCTATGTTTGAGGAAGTACGCAAATTCGATAAAATTCCTTTAGTACAAGAAAAAAAGAAATTTTTGTTGATAAAATGACTCAATGGGCTGTTGTTCACTTCGGAGAGCTAATACTGAGGTTCTATTCCCTGCAGGAGTAAACTTGTTAAAAAATCCGGATGATGCCTGGGCGACTCACCTGTATTTCTATCGCCAAGAGACTCCTTGATACATTTGTCTAGTGCGATAAGCCAACTAAGCGAGTAATGGTGAGGATTTTTAAAAAAAAAAAGTGAGCGAATACGTATATTCAGTAAAATTCCTTTAGTATAAGAAAGGTTGATCATTTCGCGAATTGAACTTATGGATTGATTTTACACATCGATGTTACAGATTTAATTTGCAAATATTTTAATAATATTTTATAAATATTAAAATTGGGAAAAATTCACTCACTCATTGTCAAAAATGATAAAAAATGGCAATCGACAAATCGAATTATAATTTTCACTAGAAGAATTGGTCATTTTTTTCGTGATATCCTATAGCATATTCATTTGCATAGAGAAAATTCGCCTCTTCATTTGGCTATTTTTTTTAAAAATTTGTCAGAAAAATCTCATTTATGCCGCAAAATGCACCTTCTAATATGCATCCAAAATTAGAAATCTTTTTCATGAGCTTAAATTTTCGCACAATTCCATGCAACTAATCAGAGTATCTTATAAGAAAAAATATTGTAGAAAATATATTATAAAAAAATTGTGATACATCAACTAAGAACAAATTTCTTCGTTCAATTATAATTTTAATTAAAATTATATTGGTTTATGTTGATCCATGAAATTTGTACAAAGCCTCTCCATTCGAATGTAGAATGAGCTTTTTTTTTTTCTTTTTTTAAAATGAAAAACCCATTTGAAATTCCGCTTTATTGATGATACAATTGATGATAGTCGGATGTTCGCCCAGTGTTGCATTAATTTCGCCGTGTACACTTCGGTGCCGCTGCCCAGTTCTATGGCGATAATTTATTCTGGCCCATAATTCAGGTTTTGCGACCGAAATTAATTTCTATAATGCTTCGCTCCTTAGGTTTTATTATACTATATACTAAATATAATATTATATGATATTAAGATGGAAAATGAAAAGAATTTTCAAAAATTTAAAATCTCATGATTTAAGGATTAAAAATTATAACATAATTGTAATACTGGGAATTATTCAAAAAAATAAAAGAATATTAAAGGTGAGGATTGTTTTCAAAAGATTAAAAAAATCATTTGGAGGCATATAATCCTGAAAATA